GAGTGGGTAGACTAATGGTGAGTGGGTGGGACCAATGGTGAGTGGGTAGACTAATGGTGGAGTAGAATGGTGAGTGGGTAGACTAATGGTGAGTGAGTGGGTAGACTAATGGTGAGTGGGTAGAGTGGGTAGACTAATGGTGAGTGGGTGACTAATGGGACTAATGGTGAGTGGGTAGACTAATGGTGGTGAGTGGGTAGAGTGCGGGTAGACTAATGGTGAGTGGGTAGTAGACTAATGGTGAGTGAGTGGGTACCACTAATGGTGAGTGGTAGACAATGGTGAGTGGGTAGACTAATGGGTTGTGGGTAGACTAGTGGGTTGTGGGTGGACGAATGGTGAGTGGGTAGACTAATGGGTTGTGGGTAGACTAGTGGTGAGTGGGTGGACGAATGGTGAGTGGGTAGACTAATGGTGAGTGGGTAGACTAATGGGTTGTGAGTAGACTAGTGGTGAGTGGTTGGACGAATGGTGAGTGGGTAGACTAATGGTGAGTGGGTGGACTAATGGTGAGTGGGTAGACTAATGGTGAGTGGGTAGACTAATGGTGAGTGGGTAGACTAATGGTGAGTGGGTAGACTAATGGTGAGTGGGTAGACTAATGGTGAGTGGGTAGACTAATGGTGAGTGGGTAGGCTAATGGGTTGTGCGTAGACTAGTGGGTTGTGGGTGGACGAATTGTGAGTGGGTAGACTAATGGGTTGTGGGTGGACGAATGGTGAGTGAGTGAACGAATGAGTTCCGGCCTGAGATCGAGTGGATGAACGGTTGTGAACCTGTGTGTATAGTTGGTGAATAGGTGAACGAACGAGTGAAGGGCCATGTTTGTGAGTGAACGGACGAACAGATCGATAACTGAATGCCTGTTTGTGGCCGAGTGTTGAAATGGGATAGTATATTCATGATTGCTCCGACGTTCATACAGTTTGGCCGCCCCTCTTTGAAGTCCTTACTCCAATGAACTATAACTTATGCTTGCGTGTAGTGTGTTTCAGTGTGAAAACCGAGTGATGTCAGTTAGCTGCAGTCCGTTGTCCCGTTTCTTATTAAGGGGGGCGGGATGTTCTCCTGTTTTGGCACAAGCACACAGCGACTGACGTACGTGACAGAAACATCCGGCGAGTCACCCCGGAGGAAACCCGGAGACCGACATTCATGCTGGGGAGATTGTACGAATACCGCACGTCACGTCTTCACTCACTTCTGTCATGTCCGATTTCTCGAGCAGAAAATGTAGTTTTGTGAATCAGTTTACAAGCTTTACCCCACTTGTTTCCCAACGAATTCACATTTTAAAGCCCACAGATCATGTCCACCACAATGGAGGGTCGATACAGGATACGGAACGGCTCGGAGCAGGACCTGACAAATCTGCCCCTGGGATGGAATTGTTTAGGTCCAGACTAAATAACTCACAACATCACAAACATTCTTGAGAAACTTTTATTAACACAAAATGCGATTTAGACGGCAGATTCGTTCTGCAGAAAAAGTGAAAAACTATGGTTGATTGTTGCTCCATGTGTAAGTACTAGGTCATCTGTACGCGTACGTGGATTTATGTTGTGTGTAGTCAAATGAAGAACCATTGCCACTGTATTTATTCACTAGGTTAAAATATATGGAGGGGTGTTTTTTATTTTATAAAAAAAACCTAATAGGTTCACCGTTTATTTTATAAAAAAACACACCTAACCAGAGTATACAAATCGTTTTAAAAAACCTACGCCCTTCAACCTTACACTCTAAACCTTAAGTGTTCAAGAAGAACAGTGGACGCGTCCGTGCATGTTCTGAATTGGAACACATAGGCCATATTTAGAACAAGCGTGTTCTGTTTTAGAACACATGTGTTCGAAGTCTGTGAGGTAGGTGTTCTAATTTCAGAACACAATGTGTTATTAGAAGACTGTGATTTCGCAAATGAAATGAATAAAACACTTTTGACATAATCATTAACCTATTATGATATTTGCCGAAGACCCGGGTTTGAATCCCCACATGGGCACAATGTGTGAAGCCCATTTCTGGTGTCCCCCGCCGTGATGTTGCTGGGATATTGCTAAAAGGGGCGTAAAACCAAACTCAGTCAGTCAGTCAGTATTATGATATTTTAGACAATGTTGAACATTATACAAGCGGACATTTAATAAAGATTTTAAGAAAATTGATAATAATTTAACCTTTTCTTCCCAGAAGGAGAATAAAAATACATGTATTTTGCAAGAGTTAAATGATTCCTCAAAATGTTCTAAAAAACTTGGTAAAATCTGGTTATATATGGTTTACAACTGATAAACAACTGAATGAGCAGCCTCTAAAGTAGACTATCAGAACGTATAGTGTTCCTTTACGTTTAATAAAATGAACACGTTAGGGCGGTATCTGTTCTGTAACGTTTGATTTGATATCTGTTCGGACGGCGTGTGTTCTGATTAGAACAGCTGCTGTTCAAACAAACGCTACCGAAAGTCGTTTGGCGCCACAGGTCAAAATGAAAATGCTGAGAGTGATTCAGCTTATCGAAGACAAAAAAGACTCCATCAGGGTGGCAAATCCAACAAGACCGAAAGAGGCCAATAATAGAAGTTAAAAGGGTGAGTGGTATATTAAAATCCATGTGTTACATTATTTTATATCCTGTAATGCTAGGAGACTTATTCAGTAGGTGGTTACCAAGATTCTCCCACAATGTACAAACGTGAATTGGATATTCTTACAAAGTGGAACCTGTTTCGTGTTGACTAAAACCGTTGGATGAGCGTTTTTCGTATTTGTTTGTGGGTGAAATAAAACAGTATTTACATTCAAAAGTGTGTGTCATGAATTAGAGTTCAGTTGAAATTTGAAATCACGTGTATGCCACATCATATCTTTCAAATGAATTATTTAGTGTAAAATTGTATTGTAGGATGTGACCGTTGATGAGATTGACGGGGTTCTGATGACAAAAGCCTCAGAGGTTCCAAAAATCGTCGCTTTCGTCAGATGTGATGCTCTGGCCGGTCTACATTGCTGCCGACACCGTGTCATACAAGGTGAATGTCGACGGTGGCATCATGACCGCGATATTGAAACTGATGGCGATGTACTACATTTTCAATTTAAGCTACCCCAGAGCATACACGAGGGTTTTGTAGGTTCAGAGAAATAGGGAACGTTATCTCATCCTTGCCCGACCCTGAGATATAGGGGCTCTTTTTTGGCGTTTTCTTCAATGATGTGCAACTTCAACTGCATATGTTATGAGATGTGCACAAATGAGTTGTTACAGTTAAAGTTAGCTCCTTCTCCTACACTCCATTTAGCCGTCCGCGGTCTAACAAAAGGATAATAACACGTTTTCGTATTCAATATGGGTGTTAATAAAGTTTTGAATCATTTCATATTGTTATGGTTTTTATTCTTTTATGATAGGCTGGTGGAAGTTTGAGAAAACTAGTGTTCTGAAATAAGGCTCAGAACACTCAAAGGGCGTTCTAAATCTGTTACAGCGTCCGAGGCGGTGTTCCGAGTTGAACACATACAGAACACATAAAGAGTGTCCTGAAATCTAGAACACGAGCGTTCTGTAAGTTGAACACTACTGTTCTGACGGCAGAACACATGGTGTCTAAATCAGAACACTACGACTGCGTTCTAAATCTGTTACAGGAAGGGAGTTCTCGGTGTTCAGAACTAGAACACCTAGGTTTAGAGTGTATTCACTACTGTAATCACAGGGGGTTGGAATCACTGTTTGGACAGATTTTTATAAACTTAACTCTAGACTTTTCCAATCATATATTGTTTGTATATGTTATGATTAATAAATACTTCAAATTTGAACGAAATCGGTGAAGAAATAAAGATTTTAGAAAATTCTACAGCAACACGCATTACATAAATTAAATACACGCAAAAGTCATGATTTCTATTTTATTTAATTATTGTCCAAACAGTGGTTCGAAACCCTGTGTCAGGAGCCACAAACGGGAAGAGGCCGTCTCCCGGACTTAGTTGATGCATGTTATCGTATCCATTTGCCTTGATCAATGCCCATGTCCATCACCGGGTTGTCTGGTCCAGACCGATAGTATATATCTGGGACAATGGTGATTGCAGCGTTAAACAAACACTACTCGAGGCCCTGACCTGTGATGTTCTATTGTTACAGCGTACCTCCAGTTGGCCATACAGGTGCACTTAGCCGCAATGCTACAATATATAGCGTCGCATCATAATAAAATAGAGAAGTGGTTATCCACTAAGTATTATACTTTTCTTAATATATTGCGAGTGTACATGTTCTGCGCAGGTGTGCGACTCTCCCACTCACTTATGCATACCCAATATTCATACAATTGAATTCTTTACAGATAATAATTGTTAACTTCAAAACCTAACATTTAACCTCATATGCTGATGTTTTCAACACCAAAAGCGGGAGTGGCAAATAAATCTGCTGGTTATTGACATGACTTTAAGGCTGTGCTACAACTATAAACTGTAAACTACAAGCTTGTGAGTTGCTCCCGAATCATTTCAAACCAAATTTTTTGAAATGATTCAGGAGGAACTCACAAGCTTTTATTACTTTACGAAATACACAGGAAAAATGTACGTACATCTTAAATAATTTACTAAATTCTGGTCATCTTGTCACCTTTTGTTTGTATAGACAAGTATATACATGTGGCTGTGCAACTATGTATTAATGGAACAAAAATAAAGAAATCATACAAAAATAAACTCTCTTTCCCTTGACAAACCTTATAATGCCAGTCATCCCTTGCAGTCCTGGGCCCCGTTCCACAAAGCGATCGTAGCGCTAAGATGATCGTAACTCCCATTCTTTAACATAGACTTACGACAGTCGTAGCGTTACGATCGCTTTGAGGAACAGGGCCCTGTGCTAGTCTGAAGGATAATGTGGCTTCTCTGACCAATGTCCAGTGACCGTCCTTCAGATGCCCGCCCAAACATGTCATTCATTCATTTACAAATGACAAACGGACATGTTAAAAATCTTACGTTTATTTGTAATAATATTAAACAATATATGAATGAAACTTATGATTCGTATCTATATAAAAATCAGTATCTCAATACCATGGATGATAATGACTATATACAATGTATGATATCAAGGTTTTCATCACGGATGCATTATTAACCAACAGGCCAGGATGTCCAAATAACTTGTCTCTAGCCAAAGAGATTGTACACTATCCATTATGAAAAGGGATGGGTTCTTACATATAGTGCTATAGTCACTGACCCAACAACTTTGTTCATCCAGTGGCGTATATCTCTGTTCTATTATCATCACAAGAGAAAGGAGAAACATAACACTGGATAATCGAGGCTGTTCCTCATACTTCTGATCCTTGGTCAGTGACGACAGGTGGAGCTGGGTTGTCTCCCTTTGCACAATCATCGGTTGTGAAATGTTTAAAAAAAGATGTAAAACACAGAAATAATAATATGGAAGTACACCCATCTGTTGTTTTAAAATCTTGAATAAAACTTTGAGTAATAATGAAACTGATGTATGTGTGTCATCAGTTGACATAATAATAACTCCTTCCTGATGTCTCCCAGCTGAGTATAAATCTGTCCTCCATGGAGACAGGACAGATTCAGTTTCAGTGGCAGATGCAATAAGAACCAATTCTTCACTTTCAAGTAAGGGGATGGCACTACCAATACCGTATTTACTGTAATTAGCACCATGAACTAGCTGGGGGAACTATTCACATGCATAATGTGAAACTACATTGATGAAATTATTGTATATTTGTGTCTCAAATACATTTTTTTTATGGAATGTAAATGATCTTACAATATCCTTTCAACTCTTAAATGTATAAGTCTGTATTCCTATATATTAATCATATTACAACTTGGGTACAAATGTCCCCAAAAATAAGTAATTTCGTTCAGTTTAGGAAAAAGACATTTAGTGAAGGTCTTGTGAAAACACATTTTGCTAAACTGTCTACTACAGCCATGTATACTGGGAATATATACTACATATACAAGTATATGATCGGAATGTACATCTGAAAATTCATGAGAACAATATACCAACTGTATATAGTAATCATCTTCAATACATGCCTATGTACAGGAAATAATGTTGATCTAAATTAGTAATTCCATTAAAGTGAGATTGGCATATTTACACATCTTGGCTAAAACCTTTCTCTATGTTTCAAGAGAACAATTAAAAATCCCTCACATACATTAAACACCATTGTCTGTGACTGGTATTGTAATTTGGATAAGTGAGTTTCAGAATAACACGAAGTAAGGCCTGACACCTGAGCATGGTAGTAATCTACTATGTCTCCTGAAAATTGTTTTGTTATATGATATGTCTTAATGTTGCTGTAGGCTGACATTGAGGCACAGGTGGCTTGATTGGTTGGTTCTTGAATGGACTATCACCTCGGGTGCTGACATGCTGGAGAGTTGGTCAGTATCTGTACTTGAAGTATTCATTGAGGACAAGGGCCAGGATGAGAATCAACAGCACGAACATGGACACAATCCCTGCAGCCGCAACACCCTTGGCGTAGGACCCATACTTTGATGCCTTCACATAATCCAGTCGACTGAAGTAGACCTTTGACTGTTCTGTAAGTAGAAGAATATAATCATAACTGTCATGTTATACATGTCACAAGTATTAGCCGTACAGCTATACCATCCTCCCTTGGCCTACAATCAGCTCTGTAGCCATGGTATCCTGCCTTGGTCTACAATCAGCTCTGTAGCCATGATATCCTGCCTTGGCCTACAATCAGCTTATCAGCTGCCTCCTGGCCTACAATCAGCTCTACAGCCATGGTATCCTGCCCTTGGGCAGCCATGGTATCCTTCCTGGCCTACAATCATCAGTAGCCAGTATCCTGCCTTGGCCTACAATCAGCTCGGTAGCCATGGTATCCTGCCTTGGCCTACAATCAGCTCTGTAGCCATGGTATCCTGCCTTGGCCTACAATCAGCTCTGTAGCCATGGTATCCTGCCTTGGCCTACAATCAGCTCTGTAGCCATGGTATCCTGCCTTGGCCTACAATCAGCTCTGTAGCCATGGTATGGCCTACAATCAGCTCTGTAGCCATGGTATCCTGCCTTGGCCTACAATCAGCTCTGTAGCCATGGTATCCTGCCTGATCTGCTTTATTGTATCCTGCCTTGGCCTACAATCAGCTCTGTAGCCATGGTATCATGGTATCCTATCCTTGGCCTACAATCAGCTCTTGGTCAGCTCAGCCATGGTATACTGCCTTGGCCTACTGTCAGATCCGCTTTATTGTATGCTGCCTTGGCTGCTGCTCTATCATACATACAATCTACCATATATAACCCATTACTTACCTGACAGGAGGATAGCGAAGATTCCAAACAAAGGGTTGATGAAGAGTGAGCAGAAAGCAAAGCCCCAGTGGTCTGCAGGTTTCTTCTCTGGGTTTGGTTGCTTGGTGACGATGGGCAACATGTAGGAGATTTGCGAAGGGGCATAACTGGTGTAGGTGGAGTACAGACTCTTCCTGCTCCCAGACACATAGGAGTAGCTAGATGGCCCATAGCTTGCCATGCTATGTTGTGATGGGTAGCGGTTCATCTCCATCTCGCTTCCTGCCTCCGACCAGCTGTCGCCGCGAGAATTGAGGTACCCGGCCGGGTACCCATGTGACATGATGATTATTCAGACAGTATCTATAAAAAATGCAGTAAAGTAGATATGACAAACACATTTCCATCTTATTATGTATATTTACTAGATAACAAAAGCTAGTTACCCAAACGCATCCAGTTTTATATCATGCGGTACCCCAGTAAGTGAGTGAGTGTTTATGCTGCTTTAGCAATATTCCAGCAGTATTATGGTGAGGGACAACAGAAATTGGCTTCACACATTGTACCAAAATGGGAAATCAAACTCGAGGATGAGCAAACACATTAACCATCAGGTTACACCACTGCCCTAGCACCGATGAATGACAGAAGTCAAAATTCAAACTAGCCAGTTGGGGGAAGATACTTTTCCACTTACACTGTCCACAGCAAAGATTGCTGGTCCTCAGTTAATTTTAAGTATTTCAAAACAGGAAAGGAAGGTTAATCAATAAGGGGAAGAGGTCTGTAACAGGCACCATATATAGTGAAACATCAGTGAACTGTCTGAGATTAGTCACTGAAAGGGGCGGTGGGGTAGCCTAGTGGTTAAAGCGTTATTCGCCACGAGTAAAACCCGGGTTTGAATCCCCACATGGGTACTATGTGTGAAGCCCATTTCTGGTGTCCCCCGCCGTGATGTTGCTAGAATATTGCTAAAAGCGGCGTAAAACCAAACTCAGTCAGTCAGTAGTCACTGAAAATCTGTTGTCCATTTCACAAGAAAGTTTCCCTCGTGCGTTTCATGGTCATATTGTTTGTGCCTCTTTGTGCATTTGTCAGCAATATTCTTTTCTGGTTTTATAAACTTATCTGCACTCCAAAAGAATATGAATAACTTCTTTTGCCCATCCTAGTTCGATCCGTCTGCCAACAATGAGACGGAGAGTAACATAGTCGGTAGTATAACAGTTCACATTCACATCCAATCAAATTACTGTTTACAAGGGCAAAACATGACCTGCAAAACTTTTATTTACTATACGATTCAAATTTGATTCATGTTCTATCCAAAAAATATCAAAAGTTAATTTCTGATTAGCTTACTAGACAGTGGTGTGATGTATGATGGGGTTAATTGTTGTTTTCAAGATTTGCACATACGATACATGCGTGTGATTGTGATACTGATTCGACTCGCCTGAACTAAGTGTCAGCCCACTGAGCATGCCGATAAACAATATTAACACAGGCCGTCTCTTATTGCTTTATGGTTAGTGAGTATGTCTTCACGCTGCTTTTAGCATGTTTAGCAATATCACGCATTGTACCCATGTGGAGATTCAAACCCGGGTCTTCATTGTGAAGTGCAAACCCTTTTAACCACTTGGCTACCATACCACACCTTTTGGGTTAGTGCCTGGAAGGGTTACAAGAACAATCTTTTCTCGAAAGTTGGTAAGAGACCATATTCACAGTTGGATACCATTTCATTAATCGCATTGTCTTTACATAAACAAGTGGCACAAGAACTGGAGCGAGGAACTTGTTTATGGAAGCGTTTGAACGCTTCAGAGAACAAAGTATTTGTAAGTAGTTGCATAAAATCACAAATGGGTCAGTTTGCTCCCAAAGTTTAAATTTTCATTGCAAATCAGCATGCCATTTCATATATAAACTTGATCATTAAACCAGTTGTCAGTGATAGGGTGTTGATATTACACCCATCCAAAGTTGAGATTTCGTATCTTTCTTAATCAAACACTGGCTAAACCAAACTACATGAATCAAGTAATTTTCCGACAAAATCTAATCTTTGTGGTTTTGTTAATTTTGATCTTTCCCACTGAACTTAATCTCTAGCAGAGTTATTTCCGGTAAAGGTAAACAGCCAAAACAGAGATCCCGCACAGGTGCTTGTTTATAAATTATATCGATCAGCATGTACGTCAGAACGGCGCGTTTACAGTTAAACTAATGCCTAAAACTATTTGCTTACCCGTGTTTTTGACCAAAGTGTAGATTCGATACCCGAATACCAAAGATAATTTACCTGAAATATTCAGGTAGAAGCGGAAATGTGTTTTGAAGTAGCATGTATCAAAGTGAGTGCCGTGCGACGTATTCCATGGTCACATCAGTGTCCTACCCAGTGTTATCTGCAACTCTGATTCATCATAAAAAATTAATATCAATTTAAACTGATATCTAAGTAAAACATATCTTTTTGTTATTTATGATATATTTATGTTGATTAAAAATGACAATCAATCTCATTTGGAAGCCTTTACAAGTATCGTTAAGAAAGTAGTACATACCTTTGACGCATGCGCAGATGCGCATAGCATACCTGGCAGGTGAGTAACGAGCTTTGACATTCCGCATGTAGACTTGATCCGGCTTCTATATGACGCATTAAATCGAAGTAGCTCAGAAATGACGAATGTAACTTGGATTTATTGATTAAAGTGGATGCTTTTAAGAATGCTGTATTATCTCAAGAGGTGAAAAGTGGTATCATATTTATCATTAAATTTTGGTATAAGGTTTAGTCAAACCTTATCCTGGGATAACATGCAAACTGTGTCATATATCAGGTCAGGAAAGGTTTTTTTGGGCACATAACAGACCTTTCAGCCAAGTACGTACAAATTAATTTTAGGATATTAGATACTCACACTGTATCTTTCGCTGTGTTGAGCGGAGGTCTCCACACAAAAAATTACAGTACTGAGTGAAAGTGACAGATACACAATATTTAGCTTTTATATAGCGTTTTATATGACATTATCGAATTAGATTCTAAGATGCCTAGCGGTTAGAACAATCGAAAAAAATACATTATCAGACAATAAAGGTATAGTTTTTTGATGACGTAACAATTGAATGACGTTATCCCGTCACTGCGCCATTCTAGTGTGCCCCCTCGTAATCGAACCATTTTACATTACGTCACAATGTAAGCGACGTCACGATGCATGTCAGTTGTCATCGCCTCGTACGGCCTCCTACAGTAAACTACACCGTTGCATCCAGTTTCTTGGTTTGCTGTTGCTTCACGCAGCTAACATCACTGGTGGAAACATTACGTTTATGTTTTACGACGGTTAAAATGTGTCATTTCGACTCACAAGTTTTCAGCGACACGGTAACGTTCGTAATGTTTACATTCCCACAATGCAATTGTGGAATGTCGCTTGACTACTCAACTTCCTCTGGATGTACTGATCTAAACTTACGCTGGTAGTAGAAATGCAACGTTCATATTGCCCCATATGGTTTACGTTAATGACAGATGTAATTAAAATAATTCAGAGAAGATATTTAATCCGAACGTAAACCGTCATCAAACTGTTATCATTTGTTTTTTCTGGTAACGTTCGTCTTAACGTAGGGGGCAGACACATCAATAGAACAGCGCGCCAGTTAGCCCTGTGCGAGGATTCTTAATTTAGGTCACCGACACCGTCGTTTGTTTTCTGCCTTAAATGAATCGTAATTATCTTTAGAAAGTATTAAATTTGGCATCTTAGAAAAGAAATACACTTCGCCCTACCACCATGTATAGTGTAATAAAACACACTTTCGCCCTGAACTATTATAACGTTAAAGCACTCGGACGCAAGCGTCCTCGTGCTTTAACTATAATAGTTCAGGGCAAAAGTGTGTTTTATTACACTATACATGGTGGTAGAGCGAAGTGTATTTCTTAAATATAACGTTAACACAGGGAATCCAAGATGGCTGCCAATTTTTCTTTCAGATTCCCAATATTTTTATGCTTACCGTCAAACGGACATGATGGCCACATTAACAATATTGATGCGACTAGCACGCCTTTAGCGCTGACATGGTTGCCACGCCCACGACACTGATATGATTAGCAAATTAGCTTGCCCGAGATAGAGACAAAGCATGGCTGCCCCTCCCGCCACACGGAGAGGGTTGCCCCGCCCATCACAAGAAGATACGGACATTCCCAGTTTGCCCAGTGATCACAAGGTAGGTAAGGAGATATTTCCTCCACCCACCACAGTGTGACTGACATTACATCGGGTCAACGCCCATTAATGCTTGAGCATCACTCCTCGTGTCGACGACACTTGTTTGCTTTGATTCAGTGCGGCATTGTCCTCAGTGCCAGACGGGGTTCATCTAGTGTACTCTAAAGTCAGCAATTCCAATATTAGTTCGCTTCACGACTCTTGAAGATCAGGCTTAAAAATGGTCTTCGGTAAGCCATGTTTGTTGTAAGAGGTGACGAACTTGATCGGGTGGTCAGGCTCGCTGACTTAGTTGACACATGTCATCGTATTCCAACTGCGTCGATTGGTGCTCATGCTGTTGATCACTGGATTGTGTGGTCCAGACTCCAATATTTACATACCGCCGCCATATCGCTGGAATATTGTTGAGTGCGGCGTTAAACAACAAACCAACCAGCCATGCTTGACGGCCAGAAATAATCTTATTGACATGCAGCAGAAGTCTCTTGTGACCTCGAACTGCAGGGTAATCCACACCGTGTCATGTGTTTAGGTGAATCCTGACTCTCTTTGCCTCCCTTTGATAGGCGTGGTCTTGACTGGCGATGTCGAAAACAACGTTAAGCCAACCCAAGACCTCATGCCAGATTTGGCGTGGATTGGTTATGGTGTTGGGTGGCATTACTATGTCTGACCGAAACCCACTCCACATTCTGCAAGGACGGGTCACTAGACAGTACCGTCGGGACGAAATCGCGCCACTCTATGTTAACCCCTTCTGTGGAGCGTGGGTCGATGTTTTGTCTGTCAGGAATACAACGCATGCGCTGACGGATCGTGAATGTTCACCCCCAGCAGTACAACATCCACAGAGTGCCATGGACAGCCATCTTCCCAAACCCCCGTTGACCGTTCCTAAACATGATATTGCCATTGGGAGACTCGTACACAGTATGCCTGGTGGAGCGACGGTGTCGTTTGGGAAATAACCTATCTTACCGCTATCGTCCTTCCAAATCGTTGGCCTTCCTAACATCTGCTGTGATGATATAACCAGTTTACACTTCGTCCCTTATTGCTACATTACTACAAATATTACTTGAAGCTACCACCCTTTGCAAGTTATTTCCGAATATCCCCAACAGTTTTAAGAGTATATGTATAATTCGGCAATTTCTGTCACGTTCAATCGCCTTTCGTGACCAGCCGTGTGTTTCCAGAACAAGCAAAAGAGTCCAACCAAATGTTAGAAAATAACCATATCCTTCAAAGCTGCTTGATATGTTATTCAATAAAACATTATGAAAGTTAATAGCTAAACCTACCTGTCCATGTAAATGTTCCTTTGTCACAAGTGACATAACCTGCCGGGCAATAATAGTAACCAGCGACATTTAATGGTGGCTAGAGTGAAACAAGCAAGAAATGGCTATTCAAAGAATTTCACACAGGTGTCACAGATGTGCGTTAGACCTTTCATTCTGCAGTGTTTCCGCAACTGTTTTTAAGAATTGTAGAGTTGTGATAACATTTGTTATTTTTGCTCAATCCATTTTTCAATTGTATACACTTTCTTTGTCAGGCCGTTTATTAAGCTTAAACGCCTGTTTGACCTTTATTTTAATTCTATCGTGACGAGACAGCTTGCCATGGTATAACCCAGGAGCAAGGGAATGTCGCTGACAGAGCATGGACCTTGATCAGGGATTCAGAGCACGACCGCCGTATCCTGGTTCGGTTAGGGGATGCAACCCCACATGAAGTTGCGGTGCCAGCGACACTCTTCCGACCACCAGCAATGAACCCATAGTGGAACCTTAATTGTGGCGACAAGCTGGCTGGTTGAAACGACTGGATTAATGAGAAATGTCACGCACTGATTCACGAAATGGTGGTGTAAAACAGTTTTATCCACTACGAGGTCCCCGTCCGAAAATACATACAACAGTATAACCGCACCTCATAATATCAATCTCTTACTCTGCATGAAAGAACTGGAAGTATTTATTGCGTGATATTTATTAAGATATTGCACAATGAACATGTTCTCTCTTTCGATTAGGAACCATTGACATAGAAGATGTGTAATTCCTCGCCAACAACGACATTACCTTGAAGCTTGCATGAAATACAATAACATATTTTCATATCTTCCAGTCCAAAAACAAAACAAGCTTGATGTTGCAACATATATTTCAGGAAGAGGGAGTTCTCAGATACTGAGATCACATGTTTCCTTATATCTTCTTGTATTACTTGGAAGGGATTGTAACTGATTGTTAATAATATCTTCGCTTGAAAAAGTGCAGTGAAGGCTTCTTGGGCCCCAAGGCAGAACGGCCCCAAGTCGAAACGGCCCCAAATTGGCTAAAACGGCCCCAAATGTTTTGGCTGAAATGGCCCCATGACTAAACGGCCCCAAGTGAAAACGGCCCCATATTTGCCAAAATGGCCCCAAAATAATCAGTTTTATTTCAGTGTGTGTCCTTAGTCATAAATGATAGATCAAAACGCATATTTTTCAATTACATGTACTTATTAAATTAATTAACTTTGACATTTCCCTCATGATTTTATTCTGTTTAAATGACCATGAGGCCAATAATACATGTGGAAGATATGAATCAAACGAACTGAATAATGTACAGATCGTCTAACAATATGCACTAAGTTTGACAAATAAAACATTAGATTTCAGAATCAGAATTCAAATTGTTAAAACACATCCATACCATAGAGTCACACATACAGAGATTAAAACAACATTGAAGTAGCAGTTGACTCTGTCGAGTGAATCCTGACAGAGCTGGTGTTTTGACAAACATTAGCAATAGTACATAAATGAATATGATAAAATATAAGTCTATGAACTCAAGACTATGGCATAGTGTTCTCTGTGTCAATGATATACAGTATTTATTGATGGGGATAGATGGTTACTGGACATTCACAATGACACAACGCTGTGTGGTTTGCAATAAGACCGTCGGAAAAACCAGCACGCCATTAGCTGTGATGGTTGTCAACTATGGACACATCGTCTTTGCGGCACAGGGATTTCAGCACTCAGATACAAGGAAATATGCAGAAGCAAAGAAGATATTCCCTTCACATGTGAACCACGTTCACCAGAGCAACAATCCATGGCACAGGATGACCAGTCAATCTGTGGGAATCAGACATTCGGCAATTTCAACATAAGTCTTGGGAAAGCAGAAACTGGTGGACTCTCATGGATTTCCTTATGTCATAAAGGTATCAGTCATGCTTTATAGTTTTATGTCTGAATATAAACGCTACTCAATAGCTCAGTCCTTAACCATTGGTTAATTGTTAACACTGATTCCACTCAAACAACAACTTTCAGAAAACCTATGGAGCTAAAGTGTACTGGCGCTGTAGTGTCCGGAATTCCACCACCACCTGTTCAGCCTCTGTCATACAGACTGGTGAGAAGTTTGAAGGTGGCATCCATCGGCACTGTCATCCTCCAACACCTGGTCAACTTACAACCATTAGGGTCAGAGTGGAGGTGATTATGATCTTTTGTTTAGCTAATTGCATTGATTAGTTACCGGTATTGCCTAAGGAGATTAAATGGATTAACCTAATCATGATTTAATTACCGGTAGCAGCTCGTTGCATTGGTTAGCTACCTATTTACTCATCCCATTGAGTAACTATATATTCTTTTATGATTTTAAAAGGTAAAAGACCAAGCTGTTACAGAACTGTATACATCAGGGATCACCATCGTTGAGAGAGCTCAACAGAAATACATTGACCCAGAGGCGCCAGGTGGACGACAGAAACAGACATCACTCATCAGGTTGGCAAACAGAACCCGAGAGAAACTCAGACCAAAGTTGGCGACCAGCCCCTTGGCATATACAGACTAATCCCTGAATTGCACAGAGAAGCCAGTCTGTTGCCCTTGCAAGTTCGGATGATTCAAGAAGGCCGACTTCGAACCTACCTGCGCAACTCTGCCACAGCTACACAGGAAGATATCTTCGAGGTCTGGAGAGGTTACAAGGATGGAGACCTATCGCTGGGTCAACTTTTGACCAGATGCAGCCAAGTCCATGGACCCATCAGCCGCTGACTTTATATCTAAGAACTGTTCCCTTGTTGGTATCATGCTAGAACCATTGAAAGTCTATTGTCTGTGTCGTTATTCTATTTAATACCCATTATGTAACTTCAGATTACACTAAAATTGAAAACAAATACATGGTCAAGCACGTTAATGGTACTGCTGTGTGTGCCGCAAGTGTACTGTAAGGACTTTTTTCTGTTTTCACTATATGTTACATGTCAATATAAATGTTCAAATATATTTCACGTATTCACAATTGTACGGGGTCATTTCAAGCAATCTCTGGCTGTTTCACTTAGCAACAACGGGGCCGTTTTGCACTGGGGCCGTTTTAGCCAAATTGGGGCCGTTTTAGCCAAGCAAAATTGGGGCCGTTTTGCCATGGGGCCGTTTTAGCCTGATCCCCCTATTTCCTGTGACCAGTGAAGATCCGGGTTATATAATTGATAGTCAGTAACCCATGCTTGTCATATAATAAGACTTACGGGATCGGGTGGTAAGGCTCGCTGACTTGGTTGACACATGTCATCGTATTCCAACTGCGTCGATTGGTGCTCATGCTGTTGATCACTGGATTGTCTTGTCCGGCCTCGATTATTTACAGATCACTGCCATATGGCTACAATATTGCTGAATGCGGCGTAAAACTAAACTCACTCACTCCTACTTCCTGATCAGTCAACGCAAAGCGAAATCCAAAACTAAACATACACATTTTGTATTTGTGTTGCCAATGGATTACGGTCGGCATGTTCCAAACATCTGAATATGACATTGACATGGTAACCTTATGTTTGCTAAATGTACTGTCTTCACGAACACTTAACAGCCATATACAAATGGTGAAGGCACTCTTCCACATACTATTAACTATGGACATTTGCATGGTCGTCGTGTTTTATTCTTCTCACAAGTTCCTCCCAGAAAGCCTCATCCCCTGTATAGGGCAGACATGGATACGCTTCCAGAAACACCGCCACCTCTGGCGGGAGGGATTCCTCATCCAGCACCTCCATGGCAACGGGGATGACAACAGCCTGTCGCGTTTCCATTCCGTGCATGACCGCCATATTGAATTCAAGTTCCCGATCTCTGCTTTCGAAGAAGTCCGAAGTTATCAGCGCCAAAGTTTTCTTGGAGCCCAACACAGCATGCTCAATGATTTCCCGAGTGCTCCTCCCGGACAGAAAGTCAACCTCACTGATTAGACAAGAAATATTATTTTCCTTAAATTTATCGAGTAGTTCTCCTTGTACAAACTGGCGCCAAGTAATGTCATCCTCATCATAGGACACAAAGACATCCCGCAGTCTATTGAAGGACGCAATGTAGTCTGTGGGGTAGAACGGGTTGAGGCGCCGCCTACCAGTGTAGTAAAGATAACGTAACTTCCAGCGTTTGTAGTAGACAACGCTAGCCATCGCTAGGATGAACAGGACCACGATGAACAAACTCAACACTATAGTGAAGAGAGTCTGGCCGTTGCACGTAAACCACAGGGATCTCGCCATGTTATCGAACTGCTCATATGGAATAAATGAACCATTCCTTATGAAACACAAGTTATTTCTAACAGACCGGATTCTGACGTTGGTACGTAGACTCCAGGTCACAAACTCTAGGTTGCCACAGTTGCATTCAAGTGATGGGTTGTCCGATATGTCGATGGTGATGTTGGTAAAAGCGGCTATTTCATCCAGATCCTGAAGCATATGGGTATCCAGCGTTACAAGTTCATTTCTGGATAAATCTAGGTATTTCAGTTTCGTCATATGTCCGATTCTTGCTCCGAGCTTGTTCAATGAATTTTCATCCAACTTCAACTGTTCCAAATTCACTAAATTACGGAACACAGTTTTCGGTAATTGGCGAATTCGGTTTTTGCTAAGGGTAAGAATTTGTAGATTTGCTTGTGATGAGAATATCTCGCCTTGTCCATCTAATGCCAGCGACCATCCCAGATTGTTGTCATGGAGATACAGGTGCGTGAGATTGGCCATGTCTTTGAAGAAGATGGGACTGACATCATTGCACTGGTTGGATGATAGGTCAAATAGCTCCAGATCGTGCAGACCGTACCAAGGACCACCCCAGCAATACAGTATATCTGTCGACATGTTAAGAGACCGAAGGGAATTGCTTGACGTGAATGTGAGATTTGGTAATGTGTATCCCAATCGTATGAAGTCTGCTCTCAGGGTATGAAGAGTTGGGGGCAATGGTATGATGACTATGTGAATACCATAGCCGTACATTGCATCTACATCGTCGTCGTCGTCACAAGGACCCTTTGAATCACTGGACATGTTGAAGTATTCTATGGCTCTGTCTGCTTTGTGTCGGGTCGGTTTGATAGTTCTTGGACTGTCGATACCCGTGTGTATTGTGCCACTGTGACAATATTCTGAAGTCGTTGACAGCTTGGCCATGGAGAACGTCTTGCGTTTCTCCGTCCGTGAATTGATTACTTGATGTCCCATATCCAGGAACTCTATATTTGGTAGTAAGATAATTCCTAGGAGGAAGTTGGCATCTATTAGTTTATTGCCCTTGATTGACAGATATCTGATTGTTCGTGGTAGGTTTAACATTGCCCTTTCGTCCAAACATGTAACCCAGTTGTGGTCAAGAGTAAGTGAGGTGAGCCTGGTCTTGCGAAGATGCTGGAAATATTGACCATATAAGGTCATGAACTCTCCCCTGTTGATTGTGTTTACCATAAGAACCTTTAAGGACGTGTTTATGAAACTCTCAGAAGCAATCATTAAATTTGGAAAACGAAAACGGCCGTTATCAGTCAAGTCTAATACTTCTAACGTTGGCAATGCGTTGAATGCCCGAGGATGTATATGCGCTATACCACATTCGGAAATGTTCAGTTTCAGCGGATGGCTGGTGTTGATGTTTTCAAACATGTTTTCAGTGATATTATACATATAGCAGTAGCCAGCAAACCCGCTAAAATCAAGTTCTTGAAGATTTACAACTGTTTGAAAAGCCTTCCCAAAATGAAGTGTGAAAATCGAGTCTGAACGGAAAACCCGGAGCGCCACGAGACCCGTCAAGTCAGGGTAGTTTGTAGCTCGTGCCAATGTGGCGTCATCAGTATTGTTCTGAATATCTAGTACCTGCAGCTTCGTCAACTCCGAGAAGACACCGACTGGATATGAGTCATTGTTGAGGTGCAAGTGGTTACTTGCCAAGTATAAACGCTCCAATGACCCAAGACCATGCAGGGCACTCCTTTCAAGTTGAGTTAGCGAATTGAAGGATAGGTCAAGGTCACGTAGGAGAGATAACTCGAGGAACGTGTTGTTCTCTAAGATAGTGATGTTGTTGTGTTTAAGATCCAGATGCTGGGTTGTTATTGGGATGTCTTGAGGCACCGAGGTCAGGTTCTTGTTTGAGCAGTCGACAGTTACCTCCCCTTTGATGTTATGATGACATGTACACGGCCATGGGCATGACCAGGCACCTTGCCAGAGAACGGCTATTATCATCCATACAGTTAACGTATTTCTCTCCATGGCCAACGGGAATTCGTGGATTCCTACGATACTGAAGAATTGTTACCGTTGGTCCACTCGGAAATCGTCCAGGGCTTTTTTTAATGTCACATCTGAAATGGAACGTTCAGGCTTAAATATTCCCAGATGGAATATAAAACGGCGTATTACATCCCTTTAAGCAATAATACAGCAATACACCACAAAAGGGCCTCACATAACAACAGAAGCAACAACCATATTGATAATGAGACACAAAAGGGTCACCAGTCTCATTATCACCGCATCCCATTGGGTACCGATTGAAAACTGAGTGAACATAGGCCCAACTTAAATAAAGTCATTAACAAAAGGGAATCATCACATATGCTACATTGTTGAGCTGGACCGAATCCCAAGAAACCTCAAGGATTTAAGCTACTGGACACGTTACCCATCCACCTACTCTCCCCACCGACCAGGCTAGTTCACCTGATTTGTGACCTATGTGTTATACACATAGTCAAGTGCCACAGTACTTAACCCATCTCGGGGATCAAACCTAGAATCAAGAACACTTTACCCACCCAACTACCCCGCCACCCATGGAACAAGCTGCTCCAAACTGAAGTCTCGATGACCTGTTTAAACTGTGTACTGTGCAGGCTGAGCTCCAGTACCTGCTTGTTTACCTAGTCCACAAGGCCATACCACACAGAAGCGGCACGTATCCAGCTGTTTTTAGTGTGTAAAGGCAATGAAAGCAAAGGCAGACAACCAACCGCCACCCCCCCCTAAAGAGTATCTCGTCTACAATTTCACTGAGAAATTTCAGGTAAAAGGGCAGACTTAAAGATTTCGTATTTTTCGGCTCAAGTTTCATTTGGTTTGAAAAAACACAACGCGGCATTTGTTAACTTGCACGGTTTGAATTTCTAGGTTTTCAATCGTGTTTGGTACGGATACGCCCGTCCGAGAAAAGGTATAACCACTGATATGGTCGAAGCATTGTACCCCGATGAGTGAGGATGGTTTTATGCAGCTTCAAACAATATTCCAGCAATATCACGGCGGGGGACACAAAAAATGGGCTGAACACGTTGAGTGTCTCCCTGTATGTGTGGCTCCTGTGTCTCCCCTGTACTATGTGTCTCCCCTGTATGTGTGTCTCCCCTGTATGTGTGCTACGTGTGTCTCTCCCTGTATGTATGCTACTGTGTGTCTCCCTGTATGTATGCTGGCTGTGTGTCTCCCTGTATGTGTGCTACGTGTGTCTCCCTGTATGTGTGCTACGTGTGTCTCCCTGTATGTGTGCTACGTGTGTCTCCCCTGTATGTGTGCTACGTGTGTCTCCCCTGTATGTGCCTGTGTGCTCCCGTGTGTCTCCCTCCCTGTGTGCTACGTGTGTCTCCCCTGTATGTGGCTAGTGTGTCTCCTGTATGTGTGCTACGTGTGCCTCCCTGTATGTGTGTGTCTATGTGTGTGTGTGTCTCCCTGTGTGTGTGTGCTCCCTGTGTCTCCCCTGTATGTGGCTACGTGTGTCTCCCTGTATGTGTGCTACGTGTGTCTCCCTGTATGTGGCTCGTGTGTGTCCGTGTGCTATGTGTGTGTGTGTCTCCCTGTGTGTCCTGTGTGTGTGTCTCCCTGTGTGTGTGCTACGTGTGTCTCCCCTGTATGTGTGCTGTGTGTGTCTCCCTGTATGTGTGCTGTGTGTGTCTCCCTGTGTGTGTGTGTGTGTCTCCCTGTGTGTGTGTGTGTGTGTCTCCCTGTGTGTGTGCTACTGTGTGTCTCCCCTGTATGTGTGCTGTGTGTGTGTCTCCCCTGTGTGTGTGCTGTGTGTCTCCCCTGTGTGTGTGTCTCCTGTGTGTGTGTGTCTCCCTGTGTGTGTGCTGTGTGTCTCTGTGTGTGTGTGCTGTGTGTGTGTCTCCTGTGTGTGCTGTGTGTCTCCCCTGTGTGTGTGTGTGTGTGTCTGTGTGTGTGTGTGTCTGTGTGTGTCTCCCTGTGTGTGTCTGTGTGTCTCCTGTGTGTGTGCTGTGTGTGTCTCCTGTGTGTGTGTGTCTCCTGTGTGTGTGTGTCTGTGTGTGTGTCTGTGTGTGTGTCCTGTGTGTGTGTGTGTGTGTGTGTGTGTCTCCCTGTGTGTGTGCCTGTGTGTGTCTCCCCTGTATGTGTGCTGTGTGTGTCCTGTGTGTGTGTGTGTCTGTGTCTGTGTGTGTGTGTGTGTGTGTCTGTGTGTGTGTGTGTGTGTGTCTGTGTGTGTGTGTGTGTGTGTGTGTCCTCTGTGTGTGCTGTGTGTGTGTCTCCTGTGTGTGTGTGTCTGTGTGTGTGTGTCTGTGTCTCCTGTGTGTCTGTGTGTGTCTCCTCTGTGTGTGTCTCCTGTGTGTGTGTGTGTCTCCTGTGTGTGCCGTGTGTCTCCACTGTGTGTGTGTGTGTGTGTCTGTGTGTGTGCTGTGTGTCTCCCATGTGTGTGTGTGTGTGTGTGTGTGTATGTGTGCTGTGTGTGTCTCCCTGTGTGTGTGCTGTGTGTCTCCCTCCCTGTGTGTGTGTGTGTCTCTCTGTGTGTGCTGTGTGTGTCCCCTGTGTGTGTGTGCTACGTGTGTCTCTCCTGTATGTGGCTGTGTCTCCTGTGTGTGTGCTGTGTGTCTCCCTGTATGTGTGCTCTGTGTGTGTCTCCTGTGTGTGTGCTACGTGTGTCTCCCTATGTGTGCTGTGTGTGTCTCCTGTGTGTGTGTCTCCCTGTGTGTGCTCGTGTGTCCCTGTATGTGTGTACGTGTCTCCCTGTGTGTGTGCTACTGTGTGTCTCTCCCTGTATGTGTGCTACGTGTGTCTCCCTGTATGTGTGCTACGTGTGTCTCCCTGTATGTGTGCTGTGTGTGTCTCCTATGTGTGTCCCCTGTGTGCTACGTGTGTCTCCCCTGTATGTGCTGCTACGTGTGTCTCCCTGTGTGTGTCCCTGTGTGTGTCTCCCCTGTATGTGTGTGTGTCTCATGTGTGTGTCCCTGTGTGTGCTAGTGTTGTGTGTGGCTCGTGTGTCTCCTGTATGTGTGCTAATGTGTGTCTCCCTGTATGTGTGCTACGTGTGTCTCCCTGTATGTGTGCTGTGTGTCTCCCTGTATGTGTGCTACGTGTGTCTCCCCTGTATGTGTGCTACGTGTGTCTCCCCTGTATGTGTGCTACGTGTGTCTCCCCTGTATGTGGCTACGTGTGTCTCCCCTGTATGTGTGCTGTGTGTGTCTCCCTGTATGTGTGCTACGTGTGTCTCCCCTGTATGTGTGTGTGTACGTGTGTCTCCCTGTATGTCTGCTATGTGTGTGTGTCTCCCTGTATGTGTGCTCGTGTGTCTCCCTGTATGTGGCTCGTGTGTCTCCCTGTATGTGTGTGCTCGTGTGTCTCCCTGTATGTGTGCTACGTGTGTCTCCCTGTATGTATGTGGCTCGTGTGTCTCCCCTGTATGTGCTACCCTGTGTGTCTCCCCTGTATGTGTGCTACGTGTGTCTCCCTGTGTGTGCTACGTGTGTCTCCCTGTATGTGTGTGTGTCTCCTGTATGTGTGTGTCTCTCCCCTGTATGTGTGCTCCCTGTGTGCTACGTGTGTCCCTGTATGTGTGTGCTACGTGTGTCTCCTGTATGTGTGCTCGTGTGTCTCCCTGTATGTGTGTCTGTGTGTCTCCCCTGTATGTGGCTACGTGTGTCTCCCTGTATGTGTGCTACGTGTGTCTCCCTGTATGTGTGCTCGTGTGTCTCCCTGTATGTGTGCTACGTGTGTCTCCCTGTATGTGGCTGTGTGTCTCCCTGTATGTGTGCTACGTGTGTCTCCCTGTATGTGGCTACGTGTGTCTCCCTGTGTGTGTGCTACGTGTGTCTCCCTGTATGTGCTCGTGTGTCCCCCATGTATGTGGCTACGTGTGTCCCCTGTATGTGTGCTACGTGTGTCTCCCTGTATGTATGTGTGCTACGTGTGTCTCCCTGTATGTGTGCTACGTGTGTCTCCCTGTATGTGTGCTACGTGTGTCTCCTGTATGTATGTGTGTCTCCCTGTGTGTCTCTCTGTGTGTCTCCCTGTGTGTGCTCTCTCCCTGTGTATGTGTGTCTCCCCTGTATGTGGCTCGTGTGTCTCCCTGTGTGTGTGGCTACGTGTGTCCCTCCCTGTATGTGGCCTGTGTGTCTCCCTGTATGTGGCTGTGTGTCTCCCTGTATGTGTGCTACGTGTGTCTCCCCTGTATGTGTGCTACGTGTGTCTCCCTGTATGTGTGCTATGTGTCTCCCTGTATGTGCCTGTGTGTCTCCCCTGTCCCTGTGTGCTACGTGTGTCTCCCCCTGTGTGTGTGTCTCCCTGTATGTGTGTGTCTCCCTGTATGTGCTCGTGTGTCTCCCTGTATGTGTGCTACGTGTGTCTCCCTGTGTGTGCCTGTGTGTCTCCCTGTATGTGTGCTACTGTGTCTCTCCCTGTATGTGTGTGTCTCCCTGTATGTGTGTGTCTCCCTGTATGTGCTCGTGTGTCTCCCTGTATGTGTGCTCGTGTGTCTCCCTGTATGTGTGCTACGTGTGTCTCCCCTGTATGTGTGCTGTGTGTGTCTCCCCTGTATGTGTGCCTGTGTGTCTCCCTGTGTGTGTGTGCTCATGTGTGTGTCTCCCTGTATGTGTGCTCGTGTGTCTCCCTGTATGTGTGTCTACGTGTGTCTCCCTGTGTGTGTGCTAATGTGTGTGTCTCCCTGTATGTGGCTGTGTGTCTCTCTGTGTGTGTGTGTGTGTCCCTGTGTGTGGCTGTGTGTGTGTCTCCTGTGTGTGTCCCTGTGTGTGTGTGCTGTGTGTGTCTCCCTGTGTGTGTGTGTGTGTCTCTCCTGTGTGTGTCCTGTGTGTGTGTGTGTGTGTGTGTGTCTGTGTGTGTGTCTCCCTGTGTGTGTCTCTGTGTGTCTCCCTGTGTGTGTGTCTGTGTGTGTGTCTCCTGTGTGTCTCCGTGTGTCTCCTGTGTGTGTGTGTGTCTCCTGTGTGTGTGTGTGTGTGTCTCCTGTGTGTGTGTCTGTGTGTGTCCTGTGTGTGTCTGTGTGTGTGTCCCTGTGTCTCCTCTGTGTGTCTCCTGTGTGTGTGTGTGTGTCTCCCTGTGTGTGTGTCTGTGTGTCTGTGTGTCCTGTGTGTGTGTGTGTGTGTCTCCTGTGTGTGTGCTGTGTGTGTCTCCTGTGTGTGTGTGTGTGTGTCTCTCTGTGGTGCTGTGTGTCTGTGTGTGTGTGTGTGTGTGTCCCCTGTGTGTGTGTGTGTGTCTGTGTGTGTGTGTGTCCGTGTGTGTGTGTGTGTGTCCTGTGTGTCTCCCATGTGTCTGTGTGTGTGTGTCTGTGTGTGTGTGTCCTGTGTGTGTGTGTGTGTGTCCCCTGTGTGTGTGTGTGTCCTGTGTGTGTGTGTGTGTGTCCTGTGTGTGTGTGTGTGTGTCTGTGTGTCTGTGTGTCTGTGTGTGTCCTCTGTCTGTGTGTGTCTGTGTGTGTCTCTGTGTGTGTGTGTGTGTGTCTCTGTGTGCTGTGTCTCCCTGTGTGTGTGTCTCCTGTGTGTGTGTGTGTGTGTGTGTGTGTGTGTCTGTGTGTGTGTCCTGTGTGTGTGTGTGTGTGTGTGTGTCCTGTGTGTGTGTGTGTGTGTCTGTGTGTGTGTGTGTGTGTCTGTTTCCTGTGTGTGTGTGTGTGTCTCTGTGTGTGTGTGTGTGTGTGTCTCTGTGTGTGTGTGTGTGTGTGTCCTGTGTGTCTCCTGTGTGTGTGTCTGTGTGTGTGTGTGTGTGTCTCCTGTGTGTCTCCCTGTGTGTGTGTGTGTGTGTGTGTGTCCTGTGTGTGTGTCTCCTGTGTGTGTGTGTGTGTGTGTGTGTGTGTGTGTCCCTGTGTGTGTGTGTGTCTGTGTGTGTGTGTGTGTGTCTCTGTGTGTGTGTGCCACTTGTGTGTGTCCCTGTGTGTGTCCTGTGTGTGTCCTCTCCTGTGTGTGTCGTGTGTCTGTGTGTGTGTGTGTGTCTCCTGTGTGTGTGTGTGTGTGTGTGTGTGTGTGTGTGTGTCTGTGTGTGTGTGTGTGTGTGTGTCCTGTGTGTGTGTCCCCTGTGTGTGTGCTGTGTGTGTGTGTGTGTGTGTGTGTGTGTCTCCTGTGTGTGTGTGTGTGTGTGTGTGTGTGTGTGTGTGTGTGTGTGTGTGTGTGTGTGTGTGTGTCTGTGTGTGTGTGTGTGTGTCTGTGTGTCTCTGTGTGTGTGTCTGTGTCTGTGTGTGTGTGTCTCCTGTGTGTGTGCTGTGTGTCTCCTGTGTGTGTGTGTGTCTCCTGTGTGTGTGTGTGTCTGTGTGTGTGTGTGTGTATGTGTGTGTGTCTGTGTGTATGTCCTCTGTGTGTGTGTGTGTGTGTGCTGTGTGTGTCCCTGTGTGTGTGTGTCTGTGTGTGTCTCCCTGTGTGTGTCCTGTGTGTCTCCCTTCCTGTGTGTGTGTGTCTGTGTGTGTGTGTGTCCTGTGTGTGTGTGTCCTGTGTGTGTGTGTGTGTGTGTGTGTGTCATGTGTCTGTGTGTGTGTGTCCTGTGTGTGTGTGTGTGTGTCCCCTGTATGTGTGCTCGTGTGTCTCCCCTGTATGTGTGCCTCTGTGTGTCTCCCTGTGTGTGTGCTGTGTGTCTCCTGTGTGTGTGTGTCGTGTGTCTCCTGTGTGTGTCCTGTGTGTGTGTCTCCCCTGTGTGTGTGCCTGTGTGTCTCCCTGTGTGTCTGTGTGTCTCCCCTGTGTGGCCTGTGTCTCTGTGTGTGTGTCGTGTGTCTCCCTGTATGTGTGTGTGTCTCCCTGTATGTGTGTGCTTACGTGTGTCTCCCTGTATGTGTGCTGTGTGTGTGTCTCCCCTGTATGTGTGCCTGTGTGTCTCCCCTGTATGTGTGCTCTGTGTGTCTCCCTGTGTGTGTGCTGTGTGTGTGTCCCCTGTATGTGTGCTGTGTGTCCCTGTGTGTGTGTACGTGTGTCTCCCTGTATGTGTGCTACGTGTGTCTCCCCTGTATGTGTGCTGTGTGTCTATATGTGGCTCATTGTGTCTCCCGTGTATGTGTGCTCGTGTGTCTCCCTGTGTGTGGCTCGTGTGTCTCCCTGTGTGTGTCTCCTGTATGTGGTGTGTGTCCCTGTATGTGTGCTACGTGTGTCTCCCTGTATGTGTGCTACGTGTGTCTCCCTGTATGTGTGCTACGTGTGTCTCCCTGTATGTGGCTCGTGTGTCTCCCTGTATGTGGCTCGTGTGTCTCCCTGTATGTGGCTACGTGTGTCTCCCTGTATGTGGCTCGTGTGTCTCCCTGTATGTGGCTCGTGTGTCTCCTAATATGTGGCTCGTGTGTCTCCTAATATGTGTGCTACGTGTGTCTCCCTGTATGTGTGCTACGTGTGTCACCCTGTATGTGTGCTACGTGTGTCTCCCTGTATGTGGCTCGTGTGTCTCCCTGTATGTGTGCTACGTGTGTCTCCCTGTATGTGTGCTACGTGTGTCTCCCTGTATGTGTGCTACGTGTGTCTCCCTGTATGTGTGCTAAGTGTGTCTCCCTGTATGTGGCTCGTGTGTCTCCCTGTATGTGGCTCGTGTGTCTCCCTGTATGTGGCTAGTGTCTCCCTGTATGTGGCTCGTGTGTCTCCCTGTATGTGGCTCGTGTGTCTCCCTGTATGTGTGCTACGTGTGTCTCCCTGTATGTGTGGCTCGTGTGTCTCCCTGTATGTGGCTAGTGTCTCCCTGTATGTGGATCGTCTGTCTCCCTGTATGTGGCTCGTGTGTCTTCCTGTATGTGGCTCGTGTGTCTCCCTGTATGTGGCTCGTGTGTCTCCGAATATGTGGCTACGTGTGTCTCCCTGTATGTGTTACGTGTGTCTCCCTGTATGTGTGCTACGTGTGTCTCCCAGTGACACTACTATGCCTTGAGTGACACAACTATACCTTCAGTGACACAACTATACCTTCAGTGACACAACTATACCCTTAGTGACACTACTATGCCTTGAGTGACACAACTATACCTTCAGTGACACAACTATACCTTCAGTGACACAACTATACCCTTAGTGACACTACTATACCTTCAGTGACAGTACTATGCCTTCAGTGACACAACTATACCTTCAAGGTCACAACTATACCCTTATGACACAACTATGCCTTAGTGACACAACTATGCCTTCAGTGACACTACTATGCCTTCAGTAACACAACTATACCTTCAGTGACACAACTATACCTCCAGAGACACTACTATACCTTAGTGACACAACTATACCTTCAGTGACACAACTATACCTTCAGGGTCACAACTATACCTTCAAGGTCACAACTATACCCTTAGTGACACAACTGTGCCTTCAGTGACACTACTATGCCTGACACACAACTATACCTTCAGTGACACAACTATACCTTACCTGCTATGCCTTCAGTGACACAACTATGCCTTCAGTGACACAACTATACCTTCAGTGACACAACTATACCTTCAGTGACACTACTATACCTTCAGTGACAGAACTATGCCTTCAGTGACACAACTATACCTTCAGAGACACAACTATACCTTCAGTGACACTACTATACCTTCAGTGACACAACTATACCTCCAGTGACACTACTATACCTCCAGTGACACTACTATACCTCCAGTGACACTACTATACCTTCAGAGACACAACTATACCTCCAGTGACACTACTTTACCTTCAGTGACACAACTATACCTCCAGTGACACACCTATGCCTTCAGAGACACAACTATACCTTCAGAGACACTACTATGCCTTCAGAGACACTACTATGCCTTCAGAGACACACTACTATACCTTCAGTGACACAAATATACCTTCAGTGACACAACTATACCTTCAGTGACACACCTTTACCTTCAGAGACACACCTATGCCTTCAGAGACACAACTATACCTTCAGAGACACACCTTTACCTTCAGTGACACTACTATACCTCCAGTGACACAACTGTACCTTCAGTGTCACAACTGTGCCTTCAGTGAAACAACTATGCTTTCAGTGATGTAACTATTCCTTCAGTGAGACAACTATGCTTTCAGTGACACTACTATACCTCCAGTGACACAACTATACCTTCAGAGACACAAATATACCTCCAGTGACACACCTATGCCTTCAGAGACACAACTATACCTTCAGAGACACACCTTTACCTCCAGTGACACTACCATACCTCCAGTGACACAACTATACCTTCAGAGACACAAATATACCTTCAGTGACACTACTATACCTCCAGTGACACAACTGTACCTTCAGTGTCACAACTGTGCCTTCAGTGAAACAACTATGCTTTCAGTGATGTAACTATTCCTTCAGTGAGACAACTATGCTTTCAGTGACACTACCATACCTCCAGTGACACAAATATACCTTCAGTGACACAAATATACCTTCAGTGACACAAATATACCTTCAGTGACACTACTATACCTTCAGTGACACTACTATACCTTCAGTGACACAACTGTGCCTTCAGTGATGTAACTATGCCTTCAGTGACACAATTTTACCCCCATTCGTGAGGCATTTACACTGTGGTGACTTTACTATCACGCTGATGAAAACACCGTCCTTATTTAGACTATACGTTCTTATTTGGGTGCGCAGAAAACATACCTTGTTGTCTGCTGCCGAACAGTTCCCGCCTGGCGTGTAGCGTGGAGTGCAGGATGACAATATGCCCCAGTAGCGACAGTGTGGTGAGTGCACTGCTCGTCCCATGCTTATAGAGATAGTCCTCGTTTATTGTGTATACTGCCACGCTACGGTTTTTGTGGTACCCTCGAAAACAGTCCGCTTCAACAGAATGAGATTGAAGTGGGTGTTACCGGTTTATATATATAAACCTACCATGCATATCAACCTGTGATAACGTACTTACATTGCCGATGCTGACTGCGGTGTTGCAGTAATAACGACGCAGAAAATGCTCGTTCGATTATTAATACACGTGTTACGGACTACACACTACTGGCTGGCCTACATGCTATGTGATGGTTCCCTAACTGCATGCATGAGTGACTATAATAGTGCTTACGGTGACGCCAGTAGGATGTTCAGAAACGTCAACAGACGGTTAGGTGATTGAAAACAAATCCTATCTGCATTTGCTGTTGCAACGTGTTACCATTCCGTGCAGTTACTGCGTCCACATAATTTTATGGACGGTGCAGCAGTGACATCACAATTGTTCACGAGGTGTACTCCAAATACAATGGGGCATCTGCCTTTGAAGATTCTGTTTCGGACTCCGTTGTCACCCCCGGGTTTCAGATTCACCAGGAAATACTATGTATGACCAGTTGTAACACAGTTTCCGTGCATGAGAGTTCATTCACACTGTGCTATTGCAACTTCTATTGTGCAGATTTTATTGAATTGAACTTTCTTTAAATAACTGCGAAACAGTTCAACATACTTCTTGATATTTCGAATTTATAGCGATGTTTTCAGTCTCATACTGACATTGAGACAAGGGAGTTTCCATGACTGTTTCTTCGTGTGAGTGAGTAAGTCACTTATCGGATCTCAGATATTGTATAGACAAGGACATATGCTTGTTTTGACTGACTACGCACATGTATATCATGTGGATCGATATATTTATGTAACCATACAGTCTGACCCGCCTCAAGCCCAACCATCGTCCAGCAAATTGTGGATTGACATTCGCTGTATGTTGTGTATGTTGACTGTATAATTAGGAAATATGCTATTTGAAAGTCCGAATTATGGATTGTCTGTCCTAAGTTAATACATTGTGTTAATCTCAAACTTTCGGCATGGAACCTACGGAATTCGTCCACGGGGGCAATTCCGAGTAGGTTATTCTATATGTTTATACGATACAAAAAGCAAACAACATCATAAACCCAACCCGACAGAAATATAAAAATTCCAACGAAAACAAACATAGGAAATGTTTGTTGTCTGGAAATGTTTGTTGAGAAATGTTTATTGAGATGAAGTTTCCAAATCAATTATGACCTCATGCACACTGAATGACGTCATTTTCTATTCTTGTCATTGATGCATTGTGTCGTATCACTGATTCAACTGACCACATAGCACAAAGAATCGCTAACATGTGCCAATATCGGATAGCTATTACACATTAGCATTCTACACTTATCGGTAAACCATTCATCATCAAAAGCCTTCACGGGAGATATCGTTACAATGAAAAGGAAGCCCAATGGTTACAGATCATTGTGGCGTCACCAGCTACCATGACGTAACAATAAAATGATATTAACTGTCTCCCTGCAACTGAAGATTGTCCTTTGATCAAATATGAAGCGAAACGATTCATGCACCGTGGGAATCGATTTGGGGTGAAATAATAACCGCCAAGCGAGGAGTTCTGATAACCACCTAGGTAGTTATTATCATATAATCCCCTAGGGCGGTAACCAGACCCTTGAGAGGTCATTCACAAAAAATATTAACCCCAGATATTGAAACGATAATAAACCCACGTGGTATATGGGTGCATAACATCCGATCACAACGTCCTATAATGCTGCGACGTCAACGAAATGCTGCACGCCTGACATGGTCAAGACAACGTCTAACTAAGACCTCTTCACAGTGGGGAGATTACATCTGGAGGACCATCAGCAATCAGTGTATGTCAGTGATCTGAAGTTCAACGAAGTAAAAAATGTACCACAAAACACGGTAAATCCGAGAAACGATAGAAATTGACGGTAGCTGTAAATGTTAACTGACTAAGCCACAAGCGCACTGAGCCAATTCCTCACGCGCTATCTCACGGGGACTCACGTGACCTGATGCCGAAGGAGAATCAGTGATGCACTGAAACTTGTAAGCGCACATATCAACGCTGGTCGACACTTCCATCGACTCGTGTTGATGTATTTGATATCAGGTGACAGAAGGGCGAGATTTTCTATTTGTCATGAGAACACGTTCAGAGATAGACGGATCTCAGTGCTATCCGACAAGTCTATGGCACTGGAGAGTTGGTCTCTGTTTTCAGACATTTGTCTTCACGTTATGTCTAGAGGGTCATGATTAATGCGAATCTGGGATTCGAACCCACGTGTAGCCACCAGGCCCCAGCTAGGCGAGGACAAGAACAAACTAAATGTAAAGGTGGGACCAGACGTCTGTGTCGATAGTTACCTGACTGAATGCCATGTTCCTGTGCAAGACGGTGTGTTGTCTGGTTGAATGCCATGTTCCTGTGCAAGACGGTGTGTTGTCTGGTTGAATGCCATGTTCCTGTGCAAGACGGTGTGTTGTCTGGTAGAATGCCATGTTCCTGTGCAAGACGGTGTGTTGTCTGGTTGAATGACATGTTCCTGTGCAAGACGGTGTGTTGTCTGGTAGAATGCCATGTTCCTGTGCAAGACGGTGTGTTGTCTGGTTGAATGACATGTTCCTATGCAAGACGGTGTGTTGTCTGGTTGAATGCCATGTTCCTGTGCAAGACGGTGGGTTGTCTGGTTGAATGCCATGTTCCTATGCAAGACGGTGTGTTGTCTGGTTGAATGCCATGTTCCTCTGCAAGACGGTGTATTGTCTGGTTGAATGACATGCTCCTGTGCAAGATGTATTGTCTGGTTGAATGACATGCTCCTGTGCAAGATGTATTGTCTGGTTGAATGACATGCTCCTGTGCAAGATGTATAGTCTGGTAAAATGCCATGTTCCAGTGCAAGATGTATTGTCTGGCTGAAGGCCATGTTCCTGTGCAACACGGCGTGTTGTTTGGTTGAATGCCATGTTCCTGTGCAAGATGTATTGTCTGGTGGAATGCCATGTTCCTATGCAAGACGGTGTGTTGTCTGGTTGAATGCCATGTTCCTGTGCAAGATGTATTGTCTGGTTGAATGACATGCTCCTGTGCAAGATGTATTGTCTGGTAAAATGCCATGTTCCAGTGCAAGATGTATTGTCTGGCTGAAGGCCATGTTCCTGTGCAAGATGGTGTGTTGTCTAGCTGAAGGCCATGTTCCATTACTAGATGGCGTTTTGTCTAGCTGAAGGCCATGTTCCTGTGCAGGATGATGTGTTGTCTGGCTGAAGGCCATGTTCTTGTGCAGGATGGTGTGTTGTCTAACTGAAGGCCATGTTCCATTACTAGATGGCGTGTTGTCTAGCTGAAGGCCATGTTCCTGTGCAGGATGGCGTGTTGTCTGGCTGAAGGCCGTGTTCCTGTGCAGGATGGCGTGTTGTCTAGCTGAAGGCCATGTTCCTGTGCAGGATGGTGTGTTGTCTAGCTGAAGGCCATGTTCTTGTGCAGGATGGGGTGTTGTCTAGCTGAAGGCCATGTTCCTGTGCAGAATGGTGTGTTGTCTAGCTGAAGGCCATGTTCCTGTGCAGGATGGGGTGTTGTCTAGCTGAAGGCCATGTTCCTGTGCAGGATGGTGTCTTGTCTAGCTGAAGGCCATGCTCCTGTGCAGGATGGGGTGTTGTCTAGCTGAGGAGCATGTTCCTGTGCAGGATGGTGTGTTGTCTAGCTGAGGAGCATGTTCCTGTGCAGGATGGGGTGTTGTCTAGCTGAAGGCCATGTTCCTGTGCAGGATGGCGTGTTGTCTGGCTGATGGCCATGTTCCTGTGCAGGATGGTATGTTGTCTAGCTGAGGACCATGTTCCTGTGCAGGATGGGGTGTTGTCTAGCTGAAGGCCATGTTCTTGTGCAGGATGGTCTCTTGTCTAGCTGAAGGCCATGTTCCTGTGCAGGATGGTGTCTTGTCTGGCTGAAGGCCATGTTCCTGTGCAGGATGGTGTGTTGTCTAGCTGAAGACCATGTTCCTGTGCAGGATGGGGTGTTGTCTAGCTGAAGACCATGTTCTTGTGCAGGATGGTGTGTTGTCTAGCTGAAGGCCATGTTCCTGTGCAGGATGGTGTCTTGTCTAGCTGAAGGCCATGTTCCTTGCAGGATAGTGTCTTGTCTAGCTGAAGGCCATGTTCCTGTGCAGGATGGTGTGTTGTCCAGCTGAAGGCCATGTTCCTGTGCAGGATGGTGTCTTGTCTGGCTGAAGGACCATGTTCCTGTGCAGGATGGTGTGTTGTCTGGCTGAAGGCCATGTTCCTGTGCAGGATGGTGTCTTGTCTAGCTGAAGGCCATGTTCCTGTGCAGGATGGTGTCTTGTCTAGCTGAAGGTCATGTTCCTGTGCAGGATGGTGTCTTGTCTAGCTGAAGGCCATGTTCCTGTGCAGGATGGCGTCTTGTCTAGCTGAAGGCCATGCTTCTGTGCAAAATGCAGTGTGGCTGTGATGGAGGTCGTCTTACTGCACTGATTGTTGTTTAACTGGGCTAAAAGTTGTTGCTGTGTAAGTGCAATGTAAGAATTGCAACTTACATCAAGTAACTGAGTTGACAGGTTACTCACTGTGCTTGACTGAATGCTGTGTTGATGGACTGAACAGTTGGTCTGCCTGATTACCACTGTTAGTGGTCTCAATTTGCAGAATGCTATACTACTGGGCCATGAACAGTGTTATTATGCTAAGTTCAGCTACTTCAGGTATTTCTGCCAATGAACAACAGGACACAAGCAAAGGATAAAACTATTATAATCTTATGAGGAGTGGTTACTTACAAATGATATCTTGTTAATGGGTAAAAGGGAAGGGAAGCCATCATTACTTTGTTCACAGTCAAAGTTTATCAACAACAACACAATGTCACAGCAGATACACTCGAGAGAGTTATGAGTGAACAAGTACAGACTGGCACTCATTGTTGCCACAACATGGCTGTATCCAACCCTAGGACTGTAATCAATTTGGTTGTTGTTCCCATGGTTATGTGTTAAAAACATGTCTTCAGAAAGATACAACCCAAAAAAGATACAGGCAAACATACAACCTGTCTGGCACCTGGTTCTGCTGCACAACATGCATGTTAAATACATTGTATAACAAAATGTGGAACATTGTAGCTCATGATCAACCTACATGTGTGACATAACAGCTGCTATACAACCTACATGTGGGACATAACAGCTGCTATACAACCTACATATGGGACATAGCAGCTGCTATACAACCAAAATGTCGGACATAACAGCTGCTATACAATACACTTGTGGAACATAACAGTTGATATACAAACAAAATGTGGAACATTACAGCTGATGATCAACCTGCATGTGATACATAACAGTTGATATACAGCATGAATGTGGAACATAACACCTGAAGGTCAAGCTGTATGATACAAACACCATTTGCAAGAACCAATACGGAATCAATACTTCATTGTATTCATATATTCTGATAAAACTATTTATAGCAAAGACATGGCATGGTGTGAAATGGTGTACAACACCCCTTCAAACACTGAGGAATTGTACACCAAGGTGAACATGAAAATGTGTATTTTCAGACAGGTGAGGAATGGTTATTACAATCAAGATACACACAAACACATTTTGCACAGAAAACATGACCACTGAACATGACCACTAAACCTCCCTGTTGTGCACTAGAAAGACTTAAAGGACTGGCTTACTTCCAGTCACAGGTAAACAACCACACACAGGCTGTGTTGTTCAACAAAACCGTGATACTATAGTTGTACAACAACCAGGTTTTTCTATAAGTTTTCAGGTTGCACAACAACCACATATGCCTTGGTGAGAGACTGACAAGATGCTAAGAAAAATTGCTTCCTCAAAACAGGTTTCAAAGCGAAGTAAAGACCACACAACTGAACAAAACCTTCCCAAAAAGCTAAAACAAAGGGGGCGAAATATAAGCAATAACTTTTAATGAGCTGGTTAACAAACATACAATCTGTGATACCCGACATACCCATGATGGTCGCTTACACCAGGATGTCTGTCGGGAAATATGTGAAACAGCTTGTGTTCATTGTATAAATACATGATTCACAGACAATATGAAGTACATTCTGTGTGAACTACATTCTGTGTGAACTACATCCCGTGTGTTTGAATAAATCTGTCAAATATGGGAAGGGTGAAGGTTAACTGATTGTTGAGGCAATATGGGCTAGACTGTCAACAGATGAGACAGGGAAACCAATACTGAATCAGGTGCATCATACTTACAAGAAATAATCAGAACACTAGAGTGTGTCTGCTGTTGGTGAACCTGGCATTGACGCACAGTTGATGTACATACAGTTGATGTACATACAGTTGAAGTACATACAGTTGATGTGTCTGTGGGTGGCATACAATTATGACTTTTACAGTTAGCATACCAACAGTTGACATGTCCACCGGTTGCATGTTAGCCTCATAAATACCTTCAGTAGACATACCCTTAGTTGACAGTCTCTACAGTTGAACTACCAAAAGTTGAAGTACCAACAGTTGATGTGCCTACAGTTGACACCAATGCAGTTGATCATTGGGTGTACGTAGATGGCTACAAATGCTAAAGGAGGCTTTGTATGTGCCTACTCAAAAGACAATCATTGAGAACATGTGTGCCTACTGTAGAAACAATAACTGAGCTAATGTATTTGCCTAGTATAGAGACAATAGCAGAATATGCATACTGAAGGGACAATAACTGCGGTCGTGTGTGTGCCTACTGAAGCGACAATAACTGAGGTCATGGGTGTGCCTACTGAAGGACAAAAACTGAAGTTATATATGTGCCTACTGAAGGGACAATAACTGGTCATACGTGTGCCTACTGAAGGGACAATAACTGAGGTCATGTGTGTGCCTACTGAAGGGACAATAACTGAGGTCATGTGTTTGCCTACTGAAGGGACAATAACTGAGGTCATGTGTGTGCCTACTGAAGGGACAATAACTGAAGTTATACATGTGCCTACCGAAGGGACAATAACTGAGGTCATGTGTGTGCCTACTGAAGAGACAATAACTGAGGTCATGTGTGTGCCTACTGAAGGGACAATAACTGAGGTCATGTGTGTGCCTACTGAAGGGACAATAACTGAGGTCATGTGTGTGCCTACTGAAGGGACAATAACTGAAGTTATACATGTGCCTACCGAAGGGACAATAACTGAGGTCATGTGTGTGCCTACTGAAGGGACAATAACTGAAGTTATACATGTGCCTACTGAAGGTACAATAACTGAGGTCATGTGAGTGCCTACTGAAGGGACAATAACTGAAGTTATACATGTGCCTACTGAAGGGACAATAACTGAGGTCATGTGTGTGCCTACTGAAGAGACAATACCTGAGGTCATGTGTTTGCCTACTGAAGGGACAAACACTGCTGGTAGATATTTGCCTATAGATGATCCAGCTGCCTGTGCAGTAACAGCATACCGAAAGTGCTTTGGTTTGAGCATGTGTACTTTGGTTTCGCTGTTTTCTCAGTTGACTGTACGTACTATGTACAACACTCTTCAACACACTGAGTATTGACAAAGAATCAATGTGTGCTGCCACACCTTGCATCTACCAGCCTGTATGTTAGACAGTCACAACATTGGGATGTGACTTGACGTGACATCAACCACATTCTGTACTGCTCTGTGACATGGTACCACCCACTTTCATTCAATACTGGTGTCACCTTGTCACTGTTTCGGTTTGGGCTCCATTTGTGATACACACTATTTAACCAAAAAAACTTAAATAATCAAATGGTCCTAAACTTCTTTTGTGTGGTATCCAAAATGCACACAATGTGTATGATATCTTCCAAAATATCCACCAGTAAAATATGGAGTGCTTCAACTGCCTTTTTTGGGTCTAAGTGAAAAGTCACTTGGCATAAAACATCTTTATTATCTTAACATCAATCCTATTTCATTAGCAAATGGTGTCTAATCGCTTGAGGATGAACTTCGCGAGCGTCTTCGGCTGCGTCGACGTGAACTACCACTGCTGCTCCTACTACTGCTGCTTCTTCGTCGACGTGACCTTGACCTACTTCGAGACCGACCTCGACTATCACTACGTCTGAAAGGACAGAGAAAACATATTGTGATAAAAACACTTTCATAGTAGGGAATGTTCTTTTTGGAAAACAGAAGCAGTTCCTTCAGCACTATTTCCTCATGGCCACACCAAATACAAACAGCTTCAACACAACGTCTTCCACATAAAGTATCACCCCTGTATTTAGCCAAATTAGAAACTAAATGGTCTGATGAAATTACTTGCTATCTAAGACAACACATGATCCTAAACACGGCAATCCCCAGCCTACTGCTGTTTTAGAAACAGTGACATCACAAACTGGATTATGAAAACGTGCTCAATGCAGTACAACATTTTGACAGAAAGCCCCCAGCCTTCAGTGACCTAACGAAAGTGTGTGAGATGGTTTAACGTCGCTTTTTTTAACTACCACCGTTTCAGCAGTCTGAATTGTTGTCTTGGAACAGGTAAAAATAAAAATGCGAAAAAACACATAACCAGCAAATGGCGCAGGATCTGTTGGATACATTTGACAAGGTTTTATTAAAGAATTGAAATTTTTTGAGTTGTGCAAATCCTACCCCTTATGAGTCTAAGTACATAAGACAAAGAAAATATCCATCAACAGCACAAGCACCACTTCAGGATCTGTTTGAAAAATATTTTGGAATTGTTTTTGCTTTATGCCCTAGAAATGATTACACTTTAGAGATGGACAGACAGATGAAGTGTCAACTTTATCTCTAATTACATTCCAGAACATTTGAAGGTGCAAGCATGTGCTGGTAACATCATACAATCAGCGAATACCAACCAACACTTAAAACGGCTGTGACAAAAGCCTGGAAATCCAATGAAAGTCACACAATCAGTTTTCGTCTTCCTAAAGTAAAACTCTTATGAATGCCCTTGATATATTATGTGCAGTTCCCAAGCAACAATCACGTCAACCACATAACCCATCTGTGGGAGGAATCTGTTGTAACAGATGGAATCCTGACATAACAAAAGTCAATGGCTACTCACTGGGAGTAGCGAATGAAAACTACCTGCTAAAAATAGCATTACACCACAATCGCCTCCATCATGAGATGGTGACATCTAGAAATTGCATCTCGTCATCTCTACACTAACCACTGGTATTCTATAGGCTATATGACTTTGGCCCATACAAATGATGAATGTCTTGGCAAAAAGACCCAGGTGATATGTTTGTGATACAGGTGATGTATTTCACGTCTTGTGGTTTCAACGCCAGATTCAAGCAAAACCTTAAAGTATGGTGCATCATAAGGCCTCTGATCTTCCACTGACTGCTGACAGTGTGACCAACTGAAGGATATATCTATGACTGTTTTGGATATGGGATATTGATTATTAAATAATAGTTGTTTTTCAGTTGTTTCCCAACAGCTACATATATTCTGCTATAAACTTCTTCTTGCAAACTGATTCATCAAAACCAAGTGGCCAAATGACAATTAGAAGCCACAGATCAAAAGCAAGAGGATGATCAGTATAATGTGGCACTGACCTTCTACGTCTTGCTGGGCTGGTTCGTCGTCTGTAGCCATCTGATGAACGACTTCTGAGGATTAAAACCAATAAAATATGAACCAAACTGACTGCATTAAACTAAATTGAGGGTGTTATGGTCGGAATAGCCGAGTTATAACAAGCGAGTAAAAATAAGTCTATGAATGAACCATGACTACAGAATGTTTGTTTCCCTCAGAAATGAAAGATCTAATTAAATATATACCAATGATGATCTTTGATTACAAACTTACAATGTAAACATACCGTCTAACAAAGATCTCGTACATAAATATGCATTATTTGGTCCCAAACAGAAAACATTGAAATAAGGCATGAAATGAGAGTACCTTGACTTTGACCTTGAACGTCTTTGAGGTGAACGTGACCGTCTGAGAGGCCTTGGTGATCTTGATCTTCTGATGGGCCTTGGTGACCTTGACCTTCTAGGTGATCTTGATCTTCTTGGAGGTGTTCTTCTCCGTCTTGGTGATCGCGATCTTCTTGATGACCACCTAGGTGATCTTGACCTTGATCTACGAGGTGATCGTCTCCTTGGAGATCTAGATCGTCTTTGTGACCTTGACCTTCTTATTCTTGGTGAGCGGGATCTTCTTGGGGGCGACCATCTCCTAGGTGATCTTGACCTCCTCCTAGGGGATCGTGACTTTCTCCGTTGTGTTGATTTTGATCTAGATCTAGAACGAGATCTACGAGGAGATCTACGTGGAGATCTACGTGGTGACCTGCGTGGTGATCTTCGTGGAGATCTGCGGGGAGATCTTCGTGGAGATCTGCGTTGTCTAGGAGGAGACTGACGTCTTGGTGATGTGCGAGATGGTGATCTTCTCCGAGGGGATAAATCTCTTCTAACTGGTCGAGCAGGTTTGTCTCCATTCTGGCTAAGAGACCGACCAGCTGACCTCTTTCGCGGAGGAGTTGACTTTCTAGAACTGGAAGAAGATGATCTATGTCGCCTAGGAGGAGAAGTGGAAGAACTTGAACTCCTCCGACCTTTTTCTGCTTGTGAAGAGCTCCTTTCCAGAATTTTGGGAGCAAGTTTCACTATTCTTTGGTCTAAGGAAGACCTTTTTTGACCTTCATCAGATGGTTGTTTTTGTGGACTGCGTGACCTTGAGCTGCTATTGGATGACCTTGTCTTCCGTCTTTTCTTTTCCTGGTCGCTATCTTGGGGACTTGACCTCTCTCTGCCTCGAACACTGACATTTTTTCCCCTCTCAACTTCTCTCTCCATCCCTCGAAGAACCATTCTGTCATCACCTGTGACTTGCCGTCCTTCTTGTCTGCAAAAAGAAGATTCAGTTAGAGTGTGGGCGTCAAAGGTAGAATTACTGATTTGAACATCTTATTTTCTTCTGAATTTGACACCTTCAACATAAAAAAGTGCCCATAAGAATAAAAAGCTAACAAAACTAAATAATATATATATATATATATATATATATATATACAAAATCACATTTTGCCATGTCTGTCATAGAAAATCACCAAACTGAATATATATATATATATATATTTTCTATGACAGACATGGCAAAAGGTGCCTTTGTATTTGAAATGACCACGATGTATGAAATACACTGATTTCATTATTTTTGTGTTTTTTATCTGATTGAAAATGATTTGATTTCCCCAAATAAACTAAATTTTCAAAGTGTTTATGTCACCACTAGTGACCTTGACATTGCACAAATGTAATACAAAATTTGATACAATCCAGACCCTACCAATTATCACATACATTAATTTTTCTCCAATTCTTGTCATAAATGCTTGAAATATATTGTTATCATTTTTACATTAAGAAAGGAGAATTTAACTGCAAAATGTAGATATTTCCTGTGAAGTGTAAAACTCATCATTGTCATTTACAGCATACAGAGTAATGAATACATGAGAAAACTTCATTTTATCTTATGTCGAAGTCTTACAATACTCTGAGGCAAAATATCATTGAGATAGTGGAGTTAAAATGCCGCAATGTCAAACATAGCAAAGTTATGCCCCCTTTCCTTTGTGCACAAGTTTACCTCACATCAGTAAAAACTTGCTTTCATCAATGATATAATTTTTCATCAAATTGCTGAAATCAGATTCCTACAAGGAATATGCAAATGACATTCATCTATTATAACATCCAAAAAATTCCATAAGACATAAGTGCCGGTCATGGAAAGTACTTCAGTTCTGTATCACTGCAGGTAATGGCTCCAGATGTACCCATCAATCCAGTGGAGATGAAATATGGTGAGTATCACTGCAGGTAATGGCTCCAGACGTACCCATCAATCCAGTGGAGATGACTGACTGACTGAGTTTAGTTTTCCAGTGGAGATGAAATATGGTGAGTTGCAGCAATATTCCAGCAATATCAATCCAGGGGACACCAGATATGGAGCTTCACTCATTGTACCCATGTGAGGGATTCGAACCGGGTCTTCGGCTCACGATCCAGCCAATGCTTTGAACCACTAGACTACCTGCAGGTAACCGCCCCCCAGTGGAGATGAAATATGGTGAGTATCACTGCAGGTAATGGCTCCAGATGTACCCATCAATCCAGTGGAGTTGAAATATGGTGAGAATGCAAACATACATTCTGGCAACTTTCCATCCACCGCCAGTGAGATGAGTTGAAGTTAACATCTAAGTGATACATACCTGGCTAGCTCCGATGTTGCCACAGCAACTTGTCCTATAGGTGGCAGCGGTGGGGTACGGATGCGTGCCCGTGGCCCTGTTCCCCCAGATTCTGGGCCACTGTTTGCTCTGAACACCTGTAACATGAGACAAATTCCTCCACATGGCACATCCAATCAGGACACACATCTTCATATCTCCAATCAAGAGGCATATTCACATTCACACCATTCAATGGAGGCATTCACACTCCAATCTGAGACACACATTCTCACCTGCAATCAAGAGGCATATTTCAGTCCTCCAATAAAGGAGATCACATCCAATCCATAATTTCACATCTCCAATCAAGAGGCATATTCACATCTGCAATCAAGAGACACATTCACATCTTCAATCAAATTTCAACACCTCCAATCTGGAGATAATTTCACATCCAATTTCACACCTCCAATCAGGAGACACATTCACATCACCACATAATTTCACACCTCCAATCAAGAGGCACATTCACAATCAGGATCTGCAATCACAGGAGATAATTTCACACCTCCAATCAGGAGGAGATAATTTCACACCTCCAATCAGGAGAGGCACATTCACACCTCCAATCAGGAGATAATTTCACACCTCCAATCATCACCAATCAGGAGATAATTTCACACCTCCAATCAGGAGATAATTCACACCTCCAATCAGGAGATAATTTCACACCTCCAATCAGGAGACACTTTCACATCACCAATCAGGAGACACATTCACATCACCAATCAGGAGATAATTTCACACCTCCAATCAGGAGATAATTTCACACCTCCAATCAGAGACACATTCCATCAATCAGGGAGATAATTTCACACCTCCAATCAGGGAGATGACACATTCACATCCACTCTTCACACATCAGGAGACACACATCACCAATCAGGAGATAATTCACACCTCCAATCAGGAGATAATTTCACACCTCCAATCAGGAGACACATTCACATCACCAATCAGGAGATAATTCACACCTCCAATCAGGAAATAATTTCACACCTCCAATCAGGAGATAATTTCACACCTGCAATCAGGAGACACATTCACATCACCAATCAGGACACACATTCACACCTGCAGACCTCCTTTCTGAACCCATCCCAGATCTCCAAATAGATGAAGTGAGATGAACATCCACTCTTACACACTCACCATACGCGCTGATCGGAACTCTTCCTCTCTCTCTCCATCGTCTGGATCAGGTGGGGGCTGCCAGGTGATCCGTTCCTACACAGCAGATATGATAGAATTAAGGATTCAACCACTCCCCAGAAGAAAGGGAAGCAGGGTGCACACATGTATTCACACTAAACTACATGCATAAAGGGACATGTCAAAAAGGATATAACTTGTTTATAAATAATAAAGTAATTCTTTCTAACAGATTGTATAAGAACTTACTAGTGTAATCATTCCATTTGGTGATAGAATACAACACAGGTGTCACCGTGTGCAAGTTTTGTGACTTTACAATATGCTGCATCAATGTCACTGAGTAATCCCCAGTGGATCTCACCAGAAGTCACATGTGAAAGTTTGAAGCCATACCTCTGCCTTCTTTTTCTCTTTCTTTTGGGCTTCGTCTGATTGTGAATCAGCCTCAGAATCTGAGTTACTTGCTGATCTGGAGGAGGACTTGCTGGATGAAGAACTAGATGACCTTGACCTTTTTCTTTGTGGTTGTGTTTCAGGAGGTTTGACAGGATTAGCTGCCACTGGGTGCTCTGACCCTCCCTCAAGGTCGTACTGGATTCTGCTAACCAGTCGCCGGTCTGGTGCATTGTGGGGCATGCTGACTGGGATATCAGCTGGTGGATGTGGTTCTCCAGGCAGAGGAATTTCAGGATACAGTGAGGTTGGTTCCGGTCTAAGAAATAAATCACAACACAATCTGCACATAACTATCTTATTGGTTTTCTTTCCATACGACCCTCCACTCAAGTTTTGTTTAAGAGTGACAACTTATGACCTGTAGTTAAGGATATCACATCCCAATACTCATCTTACATTTCAATCTGGTCCTGTAGATTGATTCACTCGTGACACAGCTGAACAAAACAAACACATAATGATCTATATCTCTTGACTAAGTCGTGGTCAATAGGGGTGAAACAGTATGCTCTTACCACGAGGTACGGTACGTATTGGGGTACAAGGCCTTTGGTTCAGCAATTTTGGTTCCGTATATGAGAACTTACATCTGGGAAAATAGATTTTGTCAAAATGATTCGATTTTAAGACACTTAAAAAAAAGTTTTTAAAGGTTAATAAAATGATGGTACGAAAATTGAAAATACCGAATTTATGGATTGCATTACGGCATACCGAACCGAAGGCAAAATAACTTGGTTCTACTAATACCACAATATACCCTATCACCCCTAGTGGTCAACACATGGAGACTGATACGGAAACATGGAATGAAGTTCATAGATCAGTCTGATCATGTGTTTTGTTTGTTTTGTAGCTTACAGATGTATTCAGCAATATTGTCGCTTTAGGATGATGGTCCGTACATAACTGACTCTGGATCAGACAATCTAGTTGTTGATACACCTCAAGCTGTAGTTGAATCATAGCCTTATCAAATTTGCCAAGTCAGAACATCTGTATACCAGTAGGTGCTCAGGACCAACTTTAACTGGGAATCCCCAGAGTATGATCACAATAGGAATCCCCAGTGTATGACCACAACAGGAATCCCTAGTGTATGACCACAACAGGAATCCCCAGTGTATGACCACAATAGGAATCCCCAGTGTATGACCACAATAGGAATCCCTAGTGTATGACCACAACAGGAATCCCTAGTATATGACCACAACAGGAATCCCCAACTGAATGACCACAATAGGAATCCCCAGTATATGACCACAATAGGAAGCCCCAGTGTAGGACCACAACAGGAATCCCCAGTATATGACCACAATAGGAAGCCCAAGTATATGACCACAATAGGAATCCCCAGTGTATGACCACAACAGGAATCCCCAGTGTATGACCACAATAGGAATCCCCAGTGTATGACCACAACAGGAATCCCCAGTATATGACCACAATAGGAATCCCCAGTATATGACCACAATAGGAATCCCCAGTGTATGACCACAACAGGAATCCCCAGTGTATGACCATAACAGGTATCCCCAGTGTATGACCACAACAGGAATCCCCAGTGTATGACCATAACAGGAATCCCCAGTGTATGACCACAACAGGTATCCCCAGTGTATGACCACAATAGGAAGCCCCAGTATATGACCACAATAGGAATCCCCACTGAATGACTACAAAGGAATTCACACTGTATGACCACAAAAGGACGTGAGGTGAAATGGGGTTTTACTGACTCCGAGCTGACCAGTCCTTGTTGTTCCCATCAATGCCGATCGCCAGTCAGGGACCAACAAGTACCATATTTTAACGTCTTTTAGTATGGGACGGTCGCGGGTTCGATCCCCGGCCGCGTCATACTAAAAGATATTAAAATATGGTACTTGTTGGTCCCATTTCTCCGGGCCCATGATGTAACCACTACACCATGGAGGCGGTCCGACCACATAAGGAATTCACACTGTATGACCGCTACAGGTCAAACCAAGAAGCCACACAGGATGCTGATCATGTCAGAACTCCACCATCAGCAAACAATATCCATTAAAAAAACGTGAAAAATACATTTGGTTTTCATGGAAACATTAATAGAACAGTAAATCAAGATTTGTGCCATCGATACAATTGATCAAGACCACAGTCAACACCAGCTGTACACTTTCTAGCAGAAGCTCACACACCTTCTTGTTTCCACAACAGTGTTGGCCTCCTTCGGCAAGAGTGACTTCTGGCCAGGCTTCCAGTGTGTGGGGGGAGGACTGACAGACGTCGGGTGGAGAGACCTGAGGGAAGAACCACCAACATTGACACAGACATGACACTGTCAAGCCTATAACAGGCATAGACAAACAAGCCACAGTTGTTGCATTTTAAGCTTCAGTAAAATTGGAGACACACACCCAACACATAGTCACCCTCCCAATTTCAAAATATTTGCGATAAAAAACTTAAAAGGTTCACAGGCTACTTTTTAAAATGCATGATTTTAATCTGTCTGAACTTTTAACTTGTGATCTACATAAAGCACAGATTTTCATGTGTTAATCACTTGACATCAGACTGAGGACATCTTAGCTCAAAACATTTACTACAACCAGGGCAAGTTCAAGTTGACTTTTCAATTTGATTATCATAAATATCCACCTGTCCTGTGAAATAGGTTTCACTCCAACCAACCATCTACTTGTTCAGCATCCAGCACTAAGTGGACAACTGGGCTCTGTCTAACATCAGAATCATTAACACTGACTAGATTGGGACCCCTAATTTCACACTGAAATATACATTCAGAAGGAAGCAACCATTTTCATTGATCTCTTCAAATCATTTGGTTTCTTGATTGCCAGTTACAATATATGAGCATGACACATTAAGTTTACACCTTCAGGCATAGAATGAGTGAGGTGAGGTGAAATTGGATTTAACGTCGTGCTTGAGAATATTCGCTAATATGACGACATAGAATGAGTGAGTGACTTTGCTTGTAACACTGCTTTAAACAATTCCTCTGAATCCACGACAGGTCAGCTAAACATGGCAGGCAAGTTGTAGTGATGCATGTCTCAGATATTTATGACATACTGACAAATCGAAAAGCATAACAGCACAAACCGGGATCTGAACCTGTGTTCATAGTTTCTGGCATACCCAAGGGACGCAACTCTTCACAGTGTACTGTGGCACCTTAGACGACCGAGCCACCATCCTGAACAAAATTGTCAAATACAGCTAGACCACATCAGACTTACCTGTGAAAATGTTTCAGCTCCTGTTGTCTCTTTTCTCGAGCTTTCCTTTCAGTTGAACTCGACCTTCGGCGGTCTCTCGACCTTTCTCGTGATCTGCGTGGCCGGTCAGAATCTGAGTCAGAAGAGTCTGATGAACGTCTGCTCTGCTGTTGAGATCTCAACTCAGCTGCTTTCCTTTGACGCTCCTTTCGTGATCTTTCTGTGTCAGAGTCTGAGGACGACCTATCTCGTTTTGATGGTCTTCGTGTCCGCTCTTGGTCAGCTGGTGATTTCCTGTGTGTTCCGTTTCTTTTGTTGTCATCATCAGACTCAGAGGAAGATGATCTTCTTGCATGGGCTTGATTGTCTCTTGATCTCATATTTGGGTTTGAACGAGATGTTTGTGTATTGTGCCCTCTTCTGTCCGGAGCACTATGCCGACTGTTTTCCCGCCTTATCCGTGGCCCAGGTCTTTCTTCAGAACTACTGGGATCTCTTCTCTTTCGGGCATCTCTTGTGTCTGATCGTCCGGAATCATTCCTCGACCGTCTGCTAGTACTGCCTCTTTGTTCCCCGGGATGACTCTCTAGCAGAGAGATTGGCATGTCTTGCTCTGCTGCCTTCATTGTCATCAGAATCCTTGGAAGACGATCTTGCCCTACGCCGACCACGTTCTACAAATGCACGTCGTTCATTCACCTGCCGATTTGGCTCCTCCCTTTCATTCTGTCTGCTTCCATGTTTTGGAAATCTATCGTCTCTGGGTGGAGGTCTATCAGCCTGTCTATTTGTGACTCTCTCATCTCTCCGCTCCACTGACTCATTTCTTCTTTCCATCTGCCTTTGTCCAACCTGCATTCCTCTCCCAAATTCCTCTCTTCGTTCTCTTGACCTATCTCCATGTCCTGTCACCTGCTTTCTGTCAGATCTCTCTGACTTGTCCTCCAGATGGCGTGACCTCTCAGTGCCGTTGTGTCCTCTGTCTGAACTGGCTGCTGCACTCTCGTCTTCACTCTCAGCAGAAGAGTCCACCTCGGGGGAAGCTTCCGGAGACTTCCCACGATCTTTCTTCTTCTTGTGTTTCCCATGTTTCTTATGCTTTTTGTGGTGTCTGGAAATAACCACTTTGTAATTAAATACATGCTGTATTGACTCTGAGCTGAGTGGAATCGTACTACTAATTCTAACAGAAGTTGATCATAGGTTGCAGGGATAAGACATTACCATTCCCCAATATAGCAGGTGTTGCTGATCATATCAGTTTTAGATGGTAAATACAACTATTTGAAGATACAAACACTTCCACTTTGTCATACATAAGAAAAATCTTCTGATGTTTATATGAAATACATTTTTCACATATCTAAATGAATCTCACTTTTTCTCCTTCTTGTGCTTCTTCTTGTCAGGTTTACCAGACTGTTCCCTGGAACATCACACATTGTCTCATAACATTCAGAGTTCTACAGTTGTGTGACATAGATCACGTAGCTGATTGTGGATAATGATTCACATGGATAATGTTGACTGGTCAACTATTCATTTTACTGTTAAGAAACATGGATTATGTAGCAAAGGTTGGAAAACATTTCACTGGAGCCAAATAAAAAGTGTATCTGTAGGTTTGTATTCAGAACGGAAAACAGAAATGACTAGGGGCTTTGAAATGTTTGCTGTATTCCACTGATACAGTCCAGTGACTGATGGCACTCACCTGTTACTGGGTGTAGGCTGACCCCTTTCTTGCTGTTGTTGCTGCTGTTGTTGTCTCTGACCTTGACGAGACTGATTCAGCCGGTCACCTTTCTCCCACCGTTTCTCTGCTTCCTTCTCTGCCTCACTTAGGGGCTTTAGCCGATTCATTTCTCTCTTCCAGTGGCGGCGTCTCACTTCGCGATCGACTACGAGACCGATACCTCTGCACACAGGAAAGTCTGATTCAGTTTACTTTAATCAACTGATCCTTACAAGGGTTTCATCAACAGCTCTTGTAACATCATCAACCACTCTTACATCATGAAGCAAGCAAGTACAGTTTTCCGCGGCTTGTGGCAATATTCCAGCAGTATGACAGTGGGGGACAATAGAAGTGGATTGCCCCATTTTTCACTGATATAGATGAGGTGAATCTCTCAAAAAACAAACTCATCTAACTAGTCCATTTACACTGCTCATAAATACGGACGGTTCATACTATTTTATGGGAAGTGGGTGTGGGTGGGTGGGTGGGTGGGGTGGTGTCATTGATTTTGTACAAGACATGCAGGGGCAGTCTATTACTATGTACATATTATTACTATGTCTGGACCAGACAATCCAGTGATTAACAGCATGAGCATCGATCTATGCAACTGGGATACGATGGCATGTGTCAACCAAGTCAGTGAGTCTGACCACCCGATCCCGTTAGTTGTCTCTTATGACGAACATGTGTTACTGAAGATCAACCCAGACAAATCAGAATATAATGATCTTGTCAAAATGACCTTTGAAGTGCAGACATTAAACAGCAAACTGTCAAGAAGTTGAACAAAAAGAAGCAGGGCCTACCACGCTGCCCCGCCCCTTGATCTTCCTCCCTGTCCTGGAGTAGTTCACCTGCCCGCCTCGATATACGGAATCCTTTCTGGTGGAGCACGTCGGCCATAACCAGGGGGAGACCGCTCTTTACTGCAAAAGAGATATGAATTAGTATGGACAACATGTAGGAATACGACATGTAAGAATACAACATGTAAGAATACAACATGTCAGAACACAACATGTCAGAATACAACATGTAAGAATACAACAAATGTTGTCAATGCCACTGATAAAATGTAATTTACATAGTACTAAGCTTAAGATATGATTAAACTTAAGCTCATTATATAATAGCAAACTCTTTAGAGTTTGTTAGTTAATATACTTATATGATATAGATATAATGCTGAGCTTAAGATATGAATAAGCTTTAGCTACATATATAATAGCAAAAAACTCTGTAGAGTTTGTTAGCTAATATATTTTTATAATATGAGTATAGTACTGTGCTTAAGCTATAATTAACTTTAAGCTACATATATATAATAGCCAAACTCTGTAGAGTTTGTTAGCTAATATATTTTATAATATGAGTATAGTTTATAATATTAGTATAGTACTGGAGCTTAAGATATAATTAAGTGCTTAAGCTACATATATATAGCAAAACTCTGTAGGGTTTTGTTAGCTAACTATATTTTTACAATATGAGGTATAGTAGTGTGCTTAAGATATAATTAACTTAAGCTACATATATATAAGCAAAAACTCATTAGAGTTTGTTAGAAGCTAATATATTTTTACAATATGAGTATAGTAGTGTGCTTAAGATATAATGAACTTAAGCTACATATATAATAGCAAAACTCCAGTAGAGTTTGTTAGCTAATATATTTTACAATATGAGTATAGTATTGTGCTTAAGATATTATTAACTTAAGCTACATATATAATAGCCAAAAACTCTGTAGAGGTTTATTAGCTAATATGTTTATAGTGTAACCATAGTACTAAGCTTAAGATAAGATTAGACTTAAGCTAAATGTATATAGCAAAATAAACTCCTTAGAGTTTATTAACTAATATACTTTTATGTTAAAACATAGTACTGAGCTTAAGTTATGATGAAACTTAAGCTATATATGTATAATAACAAAACTCAAACCATTAGGGTTTTGTTAGCTATCTGCTTTATAATGTAAACATACTGCTTAAGATATGATGAAAACTTAAGCTAATTGTATAATGAGCTTAAAACAACCCCTTTAGAGTTTGTTAGCTATGATATAAACCTAGTATTGAGCTTATGAAGGAAAACTTAAGCTACATATATAATAGTAAAGAACTCCAGTAGAGTTTGTTAGCTAATACATGTTATAATGTAACCATAAAAGCTTAAAATATGATGAAACTTTAATGAGAAATATATAATAGCAAAACCCTCTTTTTAGAGTTTTGATAAGCTAATATACCTATATGATATAAACATGGTACTGCTGCTTAAGATATGAATAAGCTTAAGTTACATATATAATAGCTAAAACTCTGTAGAGTTTGTTAGCTAATGCTATGTTATAATATAATCCATATTGCTTAGAAATATGATGATGCTTAAGCCAAATAGCAAAAAACTCTTTGGGAGTTTGTTAGCTAATCTACTTATATGATATAAACATAGTACTAAGCTTAAGATATGAATAAACTTAAGCTACCTATATAATAGCAAAACTCCTTAGAGTTTGTTAGCCAATATATTTTAATAATATGAGTATAGTACTATGCTTTAAGGTATAATTTAGCTTAAGTTACCTATATAATAGTAAAACTCCGTAGAGTTTGTTAGCTTCTAATTAACTTAAGCTATGTATAAAATAGCCAAAAACTCTGTAGAGTTTGTTAGCTAATGCATTTATCATGTAACCATAGTATTACTCTTAAGATATGAATAACTTAAAGGTAAATATATATAATAACAAACTCTGTAGAGTTGTTAGCTTATATATTGTATGATGTAATAATCATAGTACTGTGATGATAAAAAGGAACTTAAGAAGTAAATTATATATAGCATGAAGCTATTTAGTATTGTTATAAGATAAGTAAAAAATCTGTTAGATTGACTTATCTTCTCAGGAACTGTCAGCTGTTGTCACGAGGACCATGGGATCAATTGGTGTATACCTGAGGCGTCCTCGGTGGTGATATCTCTCAGATAATGGTTTGCAACCACCATATCGAGTTCCAGAAATAAACCCTCCATTATTTCAATCACATTTGTGTAGAACAATTGTAGAAGTTAAGCTATAATATCATGAGTATTAAGCTCATGGAGGTCCGGAATAGGTCCATCCGCGATATGCACGTATGACAGTTCTGATCCAAATGGAGATATAGTACATGAGACTTCACTCTAAGTAAGAAGTTGATGATAGAGGGAAATAATCTGTTGCATTTTTCCTCCTGTTTGGTTTGGTGGAGATAAATTTACAGTGCTCTTGCTGGCCATCTTGATAGAATCATGCGTATCATGGGGTCCAAGCATGTCATCCAGGCGTTGTTCATAAACCTCACTTGTGAAGTGTTGGAGCACTATATTCATATCCCAGGTTGGGCGGAAATTTTCGTTTTATTCTCCAAACAGAAGTTTAGTAGGTTTACTAACCATCTAGTTGTGTTAGTCGCTTTGATGAGAATTCAGCTGTAGTCTGAAGCAGCTGTGGATTTAGATCCACTTGTATCTTTTCGTCCTAGGTAATTAGCTGCGAAGTCCTTGGACGATGTAGGTGCACAACCAGGTGTGTCTGTCCTCGTTGAACTTTTTATGTAAAATCGCCTGACTGCCGATCCCTCGTCTTAACTTGACAGGGGAGGTCTCTAACTGAAGAAAGGCAGTCTAATCATGAATGTTCAGGTTAACTGGACTGTAATGAGGCTTGCTTTCGTTCACTGATATATATAGTTGTCACTTGTGGCGTAAGTCTTGAACTGTGAATAGAGATCGACCTCTGTGTAGGTCGTTGTCCCTCATGCGTCCAATCAGAACAAGGCATTTTGATTCTGCATATAATACCAGCTGTGATGTCACCGGTGTAGCGAGGAAAAAACCCACCTTGAATAAATTCTTGTAAATTAAGTTGATATTAGCATAAACGTCGGTCTTCACCGTAGCTTCCCGAAGTTATCCGAAAGTGACCACGTGTTTGAGGGTTAATGGTAACCGCCAGCGAAACCTCCGCCAAATATCTGCATCTGTAATTTTATGCTGGGTAGGTTATTTTCCTGGTTAGTAAATTGAAAGTAATTTCAGTTTTGAATATAATTCCGACTTCCTTATATATAAAGGGTATAAACAACTTGCAAGTTGTGAGCTTGTAGACTGTATACATGAATGTATCGTCATAATTGTAGAATTAACGTTGAACTTGTTGTACATATTTCTTCTCAGAAACTTTGACGCATTAAGAGTTATACCTCGCTGTAACAAGGCTGCTGTTCAATTTTCGATATTGAATTGTCTGCAGATATGCGTAATGATCACGCATGTGAATAATCGATATCGCCGTCCGGGATTGTATATTAGCAATTTATAATGGAATAGTTGATTTCGTGAAGATCTATGAAATGTCGATTTGACTAATAATACAGTGACGCTCTGTGTTGTAAATAGCCTGAGCAATTATCTTGGCAGTAGGCTTATAGGATCGCATCTGGCATACAGTTGATAATCAACTTATCGCGGCGTCTTGAACGGACTGACGAAAGTAGCCATATATGACGAAAGTGGCTAGTATATGGAAACCTTGGAGGAGACTTCCTCGGTGAACTGAGACTTCGCGAAGTTCGAAGTATCCCTTCTAGATCTTCTGGGTGAAGTAGACTTGGAGCCATTTAGCCTTCGCGACCATCGCGAAGGTGTCGAATCAAAGCCGATTAGTATATATATATATATATAATATATATATGAGCTTTGCTTCGCGTGAACAGCCTCTGTGTTTAACAGGATGTGGGATCGGTATTGGCGCTTGCCTAAATAGAAATAAGCATGGATCATCTTATCATATTCAGAAGTCGCGGTTACGAGAATCTGGTGATAAGTGTTTAATTGATCGTTCTAGATCTATTTAGGCCAGCGAACATACCGCCCTCGGTCATGGATTCAACAGAACCAATATACGATTGTAGTTCTTATACTTGATATCGATGATCAACTTGTCTATGGGTTGATCTTCGAGGAGACTTGTGAGGGGAGGCGTTGATAGTTTCGCTAAGCTCTTGTATAGTCCCTCGATGTCCTTCTAGATGATGATGATCTGGATTCAGGTGTCCTCGGCATGCCTCGAAGCGAAGCTTCCTCTGCGTCCGGTCCGGGGAGCGACGATATGACCTTAGCGAAGGCTTCCGTGATGTCTGATGGTCGAGTCCACATCTAGGGATGAAACCGCATAAGGTGATGATCTATCCTGCCTTTCGCGAAGTCCTTGGCGAAGGCTGTACATCTAGGTTCTTTCCGCCGAAGGCTGTACATCTAGGTCCTTCACGTCAAGGTGGTCGAGGGCTTCGCCTTCGCTGAAGGTGACATCGCCCTGGCTGCTACGTTGGCCGGGGGGTGCCTCTGGGGTGTTGTGTCACGTTGGAGCCTTCGGCTGAAGCTTCGGACCCTGCTACGCCAGATATTGGTCCTCCATGATGTTCATAATTTGTCGCATCATGTCTTCTGGGATGGTCTGCATGTACGAGGTCGCCGGTGCTTTATCTGCGGTGTTAATGGAGGGGTCCACCGGAAAATGCGTCCGACATCAGTGTAGAGGCATCAGGCTACATGGTGATCTCTGCTGATGTCGTTGTAGCTGTCACCGGTCGATTTCTTGTGAAATGCGTGCGGGGATGATGATCAGCTGATCATCGTAGAGGAGTCCAGGTCATCGGCTGGAACAATCTCGGTTGAGAAAGTCCTAGTAGACTTCGTTGATTTTCCCTCAGAGGTCGCAGCTGCCCTGGGTGTGCGGCGCCTGCGTTGAGTGTTGGTAATGATGGGACCCTCAGGACCCGATCATACGATATATCGCGTTGGTACATCAGGCTGCATGCTGATCTGTGCCGACATCGGTCAATCTTTGATGTACATCCCATTATGATGACCGGCTGATCATCATACAGGCCCAAAACCCGATGGGAGCGGTCTCGGTTGTTGAGATGTAGTAGAAAAACCCTCTAGTCTTATGCTGCGGCGATGGGATGTCTGGGGAAGCAGGATGCTTCTTGGAGATGGCGGACTCGCCCCACACCTCTCCACCACTCTGGCGGAACAAAAATTATTTAATTTCAAACCTCTGTTTTTCTTCCTCTTCTTCCTTTTGTTGGCCTCGGAATAGAAACTTTTGAAAAGGGATGTCTGGAATTTCATCAGATCTGATTTCAGCAAATACTGTGGGGACTTTGTCCTTCTCCTCTGTCTCCTCCCTGAAATGGTCACACTTTGATAAACAGACACCTTGCTAATTAACGAGGGGTTGCGTTGTTGTTTACCACCCTGCACAGTGTCTTCCTCCAATATTTCATCAGAGTTAAGACGGGAAACATTTTAAGACAACACAACTAGTGGCGAGTAGAGTGGATTTCATTCCAGACAATCCAGTGACAACACGAGTATCATCCATACAACTGGGATATGATAACATGCAATCAACCAAGCCACCAAGCCTGACCACTGACAAGTCATCTCAATTAGGCTCTCAGCACTAACTTTCTCACCTGGAATCCCAACAGGTATACACCTCCCATTAAGGTCATGACTAAGCTTTGAAACTTAGATCAAAATACTTGAAACCTACTGAGGGTCTTCATCATTGAAACAAGTCTTACGCTGGTTCCTTCTTCTCTCTGCTCTCTTTTTTTCGTTTCTTTTCTTGCTTCTTCTTCTTTTTCTTCCTCTTCTCGTCCTCACTGCTGGAGGACTCAGATGAGCTGGAGGAAGAGGCTTCAGTGCTAGATTCCCCACTCTCCGAGGCTGGCTTTTTCTTTTTAGCTGAACAAATATAAAGACAACCCTAGATACAGAAGTTCACTTTTACACTCACAAAGCACAGCCCCAAAGCACTCACATTAATGGCAGACTAATTGTATCAACATTCAGTGTTCATGCAAGTTGACAGAAATGAAAGGTCGTTACGTCCACATATGTAAAAGTGGGGCCATTTTAAAAATTACTCTGAACATTTATCATCATCGATCATTTATTGCCACAATGGTTCCAAATAAGTACATCAACAAAAATCAATATGATGAATTTGTGCATTTAGAAAAGCGTATCTTTTATGCAATACTTGGGAATAGTGAAAGTCAGAGTAAGCTCAGTTATCAACAGTACACAAAATAACCAAGCCAAGTGTGGGAAAGTAATCTCAAAAGTTTAGACTTGTACATCTTAATCATCAATATGGTTGCCTTTGAGATCACAGATCAGTCAATGGCTACAAGTGTTAGACTCTGTTTCAGAACACTTTCTGATGTACAGTGAGCAAACAATCAGTCTGATCAAACTCCAGTATTGTAGAAAATTGTAGATAATTCAACCACATGTACTACAGTCTGTTTATTTTCTGAAGTGTCGGTACATGATCTGAAATAAACTTACATTTGACTTTGAGTTGCCGGACGAGCTCCCCACAGTTTGTGATGAGCACCTCGCTCTGAGGGCGGCACTTGGCGTCAGTGGGCTGGTTCTCTACCAGCCTCACCACCTCCTGGCCACTGATCACGTGGCCAAACACCACATGGACCCTGGACGACACCACAATATAAACATTTAGAGTTTGCAAGACAGTTATGCATGGATTCTTCCTGAAGAAGACAGAGGTAGAGAAACAAAGACTCAATTATCAAACAAGGCACCTATTGTTGATTCAAATCATTCAGGTATATATGCATCGAAATGTTGACTCTTTTTTGAAGATCAAGGAAGTTCATTTCTGTCAAGTCTGTGAATTAAGGATAAAACTTTAGATTCATTGTGCTACAACTTAGCTATCAGATCTATCATGTCTATTATCGCAAAATCATTACGGACACAGTAGAGGCAAAACCGTTTTTAATGTTGTTGTTGTAGTAGCAGTTTCAGCTTTCAGAATGGTAAAAATACATACATGTACAGAGCTCCAGATAAGATTTAGCTCATGTGGGTACTATACCCACTGTATTTTTATGGAGTAGGTATTATGAATGTTGAGTGGGTATTTCATTTTCAGTTACCCACTGCTTTCAAATATGTGTGTATTTCAGTCATTTTACTCACCTAAGTATTATGTCATTGAGTAAGTTTACTATGTAGGTATGTTCTGCCTTATGTCATATCTAATCAAAACCAACTTAAATATAATGGAAATGATTTCATAAAAAATCACTCATCTTATACCGACAGTACAACACTTGTCCTATACTAACAGTACAACTTGATAGCAATCGATGTCTTTTTCATAATGCAAGCTATTTTTATAAATATATGCCGCACGCATTTGTTTTAAACTTTTTGCGTATCTAACATTTTAAATGCGTAATTGGTACGCAACAATTATTTTTCAATGCGTAACTGGAAATTTTCTATGCGTATTTTACCCGGATACGCAGCATATCTGGGCCTCTGCATGTAGAACCCCACTACTAAGTCCATATGTACTAAAAGGTGCATCACAACTTAAAAAATTAAAAATGTAAAGTGGACATAAACAGCTTTATTAAACACGGTTATAATAGGGCAACTTAAGTCAATCGTCTTTCTAACAGTATTTTCTTTCAGGAAATCCAAAACGTACATGCACTTGATACCTACATACATTCTTCATGCTAATATTTGTATAGCACCAATATCCTGCTCAGCTGCTCAAAGGCGCTTTGTTTTCCCTTGATCATTAGATGTCAATCTCAATGGCAGATCATATTTTCAATCTCAACTCCCTGGGGACCATACAACTCTTGCAGCTACTAGGTGCACCAAGTTAATGTGGCTTTCCTATACTTATGGGGTACCCATTCACAGCTGGGTGGACTGGGACACATAGTCACAGTACTGCATGTTGCTGTACCTGCAACTAGGTGTTTTATTTGCACGCATTCATGTGGCCACCATATGTCATTTACCAACGTATTTGTGGGTTCTTTTAAGTGCACAGGGTTATGTACTGAACACTAGGGGTTGTGACAACACTGAAACAGTCTGCACACAAAGTTGACACTAAGGTTTTTTACACCCGGTAACAGGTGGGCACGATCCTCGCACGATAAGCTTGCTGGATCACTAGCCTGGCGCCTTGAACAGCTCGCCCACCACGCCAGTTGATCTATCCCGTCATCAGTGACTGTGCCAGTATTCTAAATTTGCTACTTTCCTACAAATATGATCATCTAAAAAATCAGATCCAAGTATAGCTAAGAATGTTTTTAAAGATATGAAAAACGAATGCTGAAGTGAACATTCTGACATATTGCAGAGTGTTTATATAACTTGGAAAACAATGGCTTCCTAATAATCCAACACCTATATTGAGCGTTCTACTTTCAATGTGAGAAAAATTAATGTATATTTTCAAACATTGATAATCACTAATTCTAAAATTCTACTGTGTTTCATGCAAGAACAAACATGTGTACATTTTCCCTTTAAGATGAATAACTCACAATATTTTGTACAACAAAAGTTGACAAAAAGAAAGAAAGAGAGAGAAAGGAGATGGGGTGCAATGAATGGGTTGTATGAAATATGCAAAAATGGTACTAAAGAAATTGCTTATTGAAAAACATTCAAGGCAAGTCTTGTAAGTCTATGAAGAAAATCCAGTGAATTCAGGTTAACATGCTGAAATCTTCAAAGTGTTGGAGTGACCTTGAAAATTATGTGAAGGTCACCAAAATTGACAGGGCCCTCCGCCTTCATTAGATGAAGCCTGGTGTCAAATATGAAAAAAATCCAGTGAATGTTTTTTGCGAAATCTTGCTGACTATCTTAACATGCAATTTTACATGCTGAACTCTTCAAAGTGTCCTTGTGACCTTGAAAATTAAGTGAAGGTCACCAAAATCGACCGGGCCTTGCACTTTCCCTAGATGAAGCTTGGTGTCAAATATGAAAAAAGTCCATTGAATGGTTCTTGAGATATCTCGCTGACCATAATAACACGCAGGTTAACATACTGAAATCTTCAAAGTGTCACTGTGACGTTGAAAATTAAGTGAAGGTCACCAAAATCACTGACAAGAGTGAAATGTTAAAGTTCCCTTGTGACCTTGAAATGAAAGTCAAGGTCACCAAACATGACTGGGACCTTTCTTATACTGTGATGAACCTAGGTACCAAATATGAAAAGAATCTAGTCAACGGTTCTTAAGATATTCCAAATCGTACGGAGAGACGGAGCCTAATACTATATCCGCTGCTTCGAGCTAAACTAGCGGTGGGGGATAATTATGGGAAGGGTGGGGGATAGCGAGTTCTGTAAACGTACTTATTTTCGCGTGGTGCAATTTTCGCGGAATTGACAGTTTAGACTACATCGCGCGGTCAATTATTCGCGCAATCAGTAATTGCCGGAACTGCCAGCTGTCTCTTTGGCTGCCACTAATAGCAGTGAAAACAAACAGAGTGGCTTAACCTGTCAGGCGGCGTTTATTGCTTACTCACAGGAAATCCCTATCTGTGCGATATACTAGTACACAGTAATCCGTTTACTCACGGAAGAGATGAAAAACACATCAGTCTTATGTTCCGAATTCTGACGATCTGACGAATTAACTTCTACTGTATATAAAGCTCTTTGCGATTTCAAACAAGCCGGGTTGTTGTGAATGAGATGATTGAGTGTTAAGTGACTATTCGCTTCATGATGTACTGGTAAAAAAAATCTTAATGAATAAATAAAATACTGCTGTATTATTTCTTTCCAAGTTGTTTCATGGTAATCTGTTTTGTATCAAACCATCTGTCATGCGACCAATTTCCATGGCGGCCACAACACACATTGCTGTTTTCGCTAATTCGGCGATGGGATTTTGCTCATTATTTAATTGTTTTGGGAAATCCATTACAGCGACAGTTAAGTAAGATTCTTTATGCTACTATCAGTCGTCATTTTAAGATTCCCGTAGATTTCTGTCTTCAAACTTGATGTGTTATGGTAACAACTCAGGGCTTAGCGTGGCTGGACTGAATGAATGACAGGTTTATTCGCTGATGTATAAATTTTCGCGCTAAAATGTTTTACCTAAAAGCGAAAATAAAAGCTCTTGTGAAATATATCGTTTACAGTAATTGATTCTGTACATGACATGCAAGGGGGTCACTTACTTTGTACCTAAATTGTACCTGAATTTGGGGGTGGGGGTGGGTGGGGTTGTTCCATTAACATCGTACATGCTTCAAAACAAATATCGTCATCACCCCACCCAGCCATAAATTATGAACGGTCCCTAACACAGATCTTCGTGGGCACAATTGTTCATGAGAAAATACTGTCTAATGGCCTGGGCCCGTTCCTCAAAGCGATCGAAGCGCCACGACAGTCGTAAGTCTATGTTAAAGTATGGGAGTTACGATCACCTTAGCGCTACGATCGCTTTGAGGAACGGGGACCAGTAAACATCAAGACAGAACACAGGCAATAATTGGGGTACTACAGGCTATTAGTTGGGATTTAAAGAGCAATCTGTATGACAGGCTATCAGCTAGGATGTAACATTTATGTATAAGGCACAATCAGCTTGGGTAAGAAGCATAATCAGTGAGGATAGGATGGGAAAAAAGTTGGGCTTCGACATGCAATCAGTTGGGGTATGACTCGCTGTCAGTTTTGGTATAAGATGCTATTACTTCGGGCATGACATGCTATCAGTTCAGGTATGATGCTCTATCAGCTGGGGTATGCAATCAGTTCAGGTATGATGCTCTATCAGCTGGGGTATGCAATCAGTTCAGGTATGATGCTCTATCAGCTGGGGTATGCAATCAGTTCAGGTGTGATGCTCTAACAGCTGGGGTATGCAATCAGTTCAGGTATGATGCTCTATCAGCTGGGGTATGCAATCAGTTCAGGTATGATGCTCTATCAGCTGGGGTATGCAATCAGTTCAGGTATGATGCTCTATCAGCTGGGGTATGCAATCACTTCAGGTATGATGCTCTATCAGCTGGGGTATGCAATCAGTTCAGGTATGATGCTCTATCAGCTGGGGTATGCAATCAGTTCAGGTATGATGCTCTATCAGCTGGGGTATGCAATCTGTTCAGGTGTGATGTGCTATCAACTCAGTCATACAATGTGACCAGCTAATCTTTGAAGTCAGTTACTATGACAACTTGACAATAGCATAGAGACTTACCCATCGAGGTGAGGTGTACATTTTGTCGTTCTGAAGCAGATAGAAACATAACATAATTAACTTTATATCTACAGACACATTCCAAAGAGAATCCTGATTTGTTTTCTGTAATCTGAAGGCACATGTTCTTAGTTTTCACATTGGAATCTGGATAACAATGGATGTCATAATTCAAATTCACATTTCATGAAATACATATATTGGTGTTCCAAAAGTTTGAATAATTGCTTGAAAACATGAACAATATATATATATTGAATATGACCCTTCTGATAATTGACATGAAGGTGCATTTTAACAAAAGCCACATTGATCGAAAATCCAAAACTCCAACACAGACTTACGATAATCGCAACACTAAGAATAAACTCTGTGGGGCTCAGGCGGACAGATCATTGGATAAGTTGAAAAAAAGGGCAAGCATTCATCAAATGTCACCAAATGCTTTTGAAATCATATGATTTGCTAATTTCATTAATTCCATTTATGGCAACAGCTAAAATGCAGCTGCTTATCACTGGATCTGATTGTCGGTGCGCTTCTTCCGCCTCTTTACACAACCATGCGACTAAGACCATGTGCTTCAGCTGCCTAATGTAGTCTTTACCTAACCTTGAGTCAACAATAAATAATAAGAATTATCTTTTAATAACATGACTACAAATTCCACAGGATAATTTCAATCTGTACAACAAAGCTATCATCGGTCCCTTACATCCATATTGTCAGTATAGGATGAGAGATAGGACATGGATCTCGTTAAGGTATTCCATGGGGCATGTACTGACAGGTAATGCTGTTTGTGTCGTGTTAACCGTTACCTGATAGTTCACGGCTTGATGCAGTTGACTCTGTGCACAATGCAAAATGTGACAAATATACATGTTTAATATCATGACAAATATAACAAATTATACAATTCAAACCATAATGTCTGCAACACATGTATTTAAATAGCTAAGGAACCCTTAACATAACTTGTGGTACCATTTCTGACAGAACTGTTCAAAAAGGCCACACTTACTTTTAAACTTTTTTAAAGAAAAGATTTTATCTTGTTGAAACATACCACTGTTTCTATATTTGTCAATTTTTAATCCTCTAAATTAGCGGAGAGCATAGTGCACCAGAAATGTTTTTCTAAACAAGGATCCACAAATAAATATTCTGAATCAATGTTTATTAAACAAACCAACAATACTTTCATGTAAAATGTTTTTTCTGAATACCAGTCTACTTGTAGTTGATGAGACAAATATAAAGAAAAACAGTAACTGACTTGCTATAAAACAAAGATACAATACACCTGTCAACAGGCCTTTTCCTGTATATGGTCGGTAAAGTATTTTAAGTAAGTGTGGCCTTGCAGACATACAGTCCGGCCAGAAACCATTAACTCTTTCCAACCCTACCAGATTTCTTTGTTTGATCATGAAAGCCTCCATGACAATTTCTGTATGGTGTTTCTCAACTTCAACCCATTACTCAAACATTCTCTTATTCTTTTTATCCTTATACAAATACAAGTAACGTCCAAATCATATTGCATCACTATTGCAAATGTTTCATAAAACACCACAGATATGTCAGATGTCAATTGTACAGTAAGTACAAATGAAGTTAGCACAGCACATTCCAAAACACTTGTATACTTGATGAAAAGATTACCTTCACAACAAATTTATTTGTTGAAAATGATTTCCAAATGACATTTGAGATGATCTATCAGTGCTTTTAAGAAATTGTGTTTTTAGCGGTGCCCTTCCATCAAATACACATGGCTTTCTCTACAACACTGTTTTGCAGGTTCACATTCTTTTAACTTATCTAAGAACATGCTCAAGGATGCCTGCTTGTTGGAATTTAAGTATTAATGTTTAAGTGTACATGAAAAGTAATGAATGATGAATGAGTCTTCCTGAAATTTTGTAAATCTGAAAATAACCTAATAACAGACGCCTGTTCTGAACAGACGACATGGCTTATCTTTGAGTCAGCATGAAAATATTCAGAGTTTCAAGACTGATGGACAGATTAATATATGAACAATATCTCTGGATTCTATCCTCAGTGACACTATGATGTATTTTGCAGTGACACTATGATGTAAATGTCAAACGGTAATAGCTTGTGGAAGCTGTACATTTAAATAAGCTCATGAAACATACCTTTTCTTCTGTATTACTTAATTAAAGAATACTTTTAGACAGTGTTGATTGGACTGGTTGGTTTTTAGTAGGGCTGGTTTGTCTTAAAAGTTGTCAGCCCTGTGGTCTGGTACAAATGGTGGGGGAGTTTCACATTTTTACACTGCTAAATATATTGCTAAGATCCTTTTGACTGAGATTTTACTTACAAAGGACTGATTACAGGCCCCAAATCTGACTGACAACTCACTTGTGACACCCCTATCAGGACCCTCATACAAACATTTCACTCTGTGCAGTATATTTTCCAAATAAGACCCAGAACTAAATAATTTCTGAACATATAGTCTTATGTTTCTCACAAGTATCACTATTATGATGGATAATTAAATCACAAATCACAAAAACCAGCCTCAAACTAATGCAGGCATCCTTGCATGGACGTACAGACATGTATTTCAATCATGTATTAATCATTCACTAAACAGAAGTTCAAAATTCAGCATAGTTACTACAGTTTTAGCAATCTGTCACCTTTGTGATGTCCAATGTTGAAGCTGAAACAAAGGCTGAAAGGCAATCACTGGTTATAAGGAACAAACACATGAGCTGACCTGAAACTGCCCTACTTTACGCTGATACAACATGGCAATAAAGTCCTGTGCTGGGAATGTGCTGCATGGATATGCTGACTCAACACAAATACCGACAGCGAGTCGTGGGTACTTACATGAAGAACTGAGATCCATTTGTATCCTTGCCACGATTGGCCATTGACAAGAGAAACTCTTTGTCATGTTTCAAGATGAAATTTTCATCTGTAAAAAATAAGCATAATTTAATGAGTGTGTCCAGCACATTTAGCATCAATACGCACCTATGATTGTAAGTTTGTGACCTCAGCAGGTGTTGGTCATTGAAATATATCTTGATTACAAACTTCCACTGCAACATAGTAACAGATCTACACACTATCATTGAATCATAAGCCATCAGTAACTGAATCACTCACTGATACTGAATTATCCATACACTATACCCAGGCCTACCAAAGAAAACTTTCCCACTGTGTAGACAAACGCAGAAAAGTCCACATTAATCGTGGAAATAGCAACATAAACATATTACCTCGCTACTGAAAAAGTAAAAACGGCAACGAAAGATTATGAAACTACAACAGTTTTAGATCAGCGAACTTTGACCTCTACTGCGCATGCTCATTAGGATCCGAGCTTCTTTCAAATTTCTGAGCAACCGTGAATCGCCTCGCATAGAAAAAGTATTGAATATGTCGAAATAATTCCTGTCAATCATTTCATACGAATGGAAAGTAAAGTAAACAAGTGTGCACACAAGTATCATGATGATAAATGCCAAATAACACAACAGAAATACTTTAAAAAGAGAATGTAACTTTCGTCCAAGCTGGAAAATGTCAACATGTGGTCGAGACTTCCTCTTCCATGTGCTCATGCGAAAAATCCAAGTTGCAGGCTCTTCGGGTTTTATATCCAGTTTTAGCGATTTTAAATTTGCTGTTTTTACTGTTTCAGTAGCGAGGTATTATGTTTATGTTGCTATTTCCATGATTACTGTGGGCTTTTCTGCATTTTTCTGCACAGTGGGAAAGTTTTCTTTGGTAGGCTTGATACCAAACTGAATCATCTTACGCACTATCATGAATCATGAATCACTGTCACTACATTGAATCATCTTCACATCACCAATAAATTGTCTATTCTACTGATTCCTTTATACAGTATGACAGAATCATCTATAAACCATCAATGAATCATTAACACACTATTACCTAATTGTCTACATGTTATTATCATCTAACTCCAAACCACAACAATGAATCTTTTTGCACTCAAACTGAATCATCTACATGCTGTCACTAGTGCTGGTTATGGCAGATCGATAATCGGAGCTCTGTCATCAACGTCGTACTTAAGAATATTTGCCTCCAATGATGTGCATGCGTGTATATGTGTGGCTGCTTGTGCTAGCCCAGACTGGTTTTATACGGCTAGCTCACTGAGATACCATGCATTAATACCCCACTCAAACACATTATACTGACTCCAAACCAACCAGTCTTTGTTGTACCCATTAATGCCCAGCGCCAGGCAGGGACCAACAAGTACCAAATTTTAACGTCTTTTGGTATGACGTGGCCATTGATTTTAATCATAAACCCCACCACAATAACTGGACACAATCATAACACTGTGTTACCGAAACAGACCCGATTAATACATCAAGATGATCGGGGATACTTCCTGTTGAGATACACACGCATGTATGTTGTTTACATAGCAGTTTTACAAGTCAGGAAAGCACATCAGTTGTTTGTGCCTTGATTCCACAAACATAACAATAAGAAACATACTTTCATCAGTTTATTTGATGCTTCATTTTTTATGAATGTCAGTTAGTCTCCCGAGCCCATTGATAATCACTGACACAAGGGAGATCATTCGACTGATTGAATATTCCATTAATTGCTGAATCATTAAATGTTACTGTCAAATTCTGACATAAACTTATTGAAATCTCTACCCACAATCACTTAATAACTGTTGAGTCATCAAATATTTAAAATTAAGTATGCAGTCATTGCCAAACTGGTCCTAGACTCAATGATGGAATAATCTGGACTGAAGGATGTAATTATCAATCTATCTAGTCTAATCAACAAAACACAAAATGTTTACCAATTTGAAAATATGGCATTCACGCGGGTATGACATGATTGTAAGTTGTAACTGATTTACTGTTGAGTCAATATTGATACTATTTGTTCCACACATCTTCTCAGTGTCTTCAGACTAGCAAGTGGACAAATATGAGCAGACATTAATGCTCACTTTCTGGAGAGTCACTGTGTGACTTAATTATTTCATGAAAATTGTCTCGGATTACTTGGCTTTTTTCTGACAATGCATCAGTTAGACACTCACCTGGAAACACCCCTCCATAAATGGACTCTCCCCCTGTTCCATCGCCTGTAACACAGAAAAACATTCACTCTTTACCTGGGATGGACAACATACATGCTCTGACAACATATATTGTTAGAGCTGCTGAGCACCTTTTTGATGGAAACAAGGTCATCCACAAATAATTTTTATTATTGTCATGAAATATTTTATTGTTGGATTTCCATCATCCTCATTCATTGTGACAACGATATTCTGTGCTAGACAAGTGTAAAACAACATACACAAAACAACACATGTACACACACGCACTCATGCACACCGACACTGGGTAGAGATTTCTGTTAACCTACCTTTAGTGAAGTCTCCGCCTTGGATCATGAAGTCCTTCACAACGCGATGAAAGGGGGAGTTCTTGAAGTGGAGGGGGTGCTCCGACTTTGCAGTCATGCCCTTTTCGCCTGCAACACCATAAGCTGTTAGTCAGTGGGTGTCACATTGTGAATTTCAAGTAACACATGGGACACCCAGTCGGGCTGGCTTTAACTAAATTTGCCAATAATTTGTGACTGCTAACCAAGCACATTCTGTTGAATTCTACATACTAGTACACTTGTATTCGTTATCGTCCAGATAAGCAAATACTTGGAGACAGAATTTCTAGATGAGCTAGATTTAGAAACCTCAGATCTCTAACCAAGTGAGCTAACACAAGGGAGGGAATGGTGTCTTCTTTCCTTAGCAATTTCTTGAACTTGATGTCTATGATTTGTACAGATTATTGACTCATATCAGTTGTAACTACAATCTAGCAGGTGACAAGTTAACTGATTCTGTATGGGAAATGTTTAAGTACAACATAAACGCCAGGCTAACAGGAAGGCACACTGCAAAATCTACACTTGTCTTACCTGTGCATAGTGCTCGGAAGTTATCACAAGTCTTCGGACACACATCCGAGAACAGCTCGATGACAACTCTACCAGCTGGAGGAAAAGAAATTATTCAATTTTAACTATTGGCGACATAAAAATTTTTCGCAATTCATTATTTGACAGAAACATGAACCATACAGGTTATCACTAGAAACCTATTATTTGTGTCAACACACACTGGCACCAAATCATCAATGAAGCAATAGAGGACACTGGTTTCAACTTCAAGAATAAAGATGTCAAAATCTTGTATTCATGGACTGGTAAGGAACAAAAAATCAAGTTTTCAAATAAGGTGTGAAACTTCCAGTTTGAGTTTTATACAAAATTTACAACCTACTGACATGGATACTGTCACAGACTATTCAGTGACGACAGTGAGACTATTCAGTGAGACTATTCAGTGACGACAGTGAGACTATTCAGTGACGACAGTGAGACTATTCAGTGACGACAGTGAGACTATTCAGTGACGACAGTGAGACTATTCAGTGACAACAGTGAGACTATTCAGTGACAACAGTGAGACTATTCAGTGACAACAGTGAGACAACAGTGAGACTATTTGGTGACAACAGTGAGACTATTCAGTGACAACAGTGAGACTATTCAGTGACAACAGTGAGACTATTCAGTGACAACAGTGAGACTATTCAGTGACAACAGTGAGACTATTCAGTGACAACAGTGAGACTATTCAGTGACAACAGTGAGACTATTCAGTGACAACAGTGAGACTATTCAGTGACAACAGTGAGACTATTCAGTGACAACAGTGAGACTATTTGGTGACAACAGTGAGACTATTCAGTGACAACAGTGAGACTATTTGGTGACAACAGTGACACTATTCAGTGAGACTATTCAGTGACGACAGTGAGACTATTCAGTGAGACTATTCAGTGACAACAGTGAGACTATTCAGTGACAACAGTGAGACTATTTGGTGACAACAGTGAGACTATTCAGTGACAACAGTGAGACTATTCAGTGACAACAGTGAGACTATTCAGTGACAACAGTGAGACTATTCAGTGACAACAGTGAGACTATTCAGTGAGACTATTCAGTGGCGATAGTGAGACTATTCAGTGAGACTATTGGCGACATAATTTTTTTCAGCAATTCATTATTTGACAGAAACATGAACCATACAGGTTATCACTAGAAAACCTATTATTTGTGTCAACACACACTGGCACCAAATCATCAATGAAGCAATAGAGGACACTGGTTTCAACTTCAAGACTGACAAAAGATGTCAAAATCTTCTATTCATGGACTGGTAAGGAACAAAAATCAAGTTTTCAAATAAGGTGTGAAACTTCCAGTTTGAGTTTTATACAAAATTTACAACCTTCCGACATGGATACTGTCAACAGTGAGACTATTCAGTGACAACAGTGAGACTATTCAGTGGCGACAGTGAGACTATTCAGTGACTACAGTGAGACTATTCAGTGAGACTATTCAGTGACAACAGTGAGACTATTCAGTGACAACAGTGAGACTATTTGGTGGTGAGACTATTCAGTGACAACAGTGAGACTATTCAGTGACAACAGTGACACTATTCAGTGACGAAAGTGAGACTATTCAGTGACAACAGTGAGACTATTCAGTGAGACTATTCAACAGTGAGACTACAGTGAGGCTATTCAGTGGCGACAGTGAGACTATTCAACAGTGAGACTATTCAGTGACAACAGTGAGACTATTTTGGTGACAACAGTGAGACTATTCAGTGACAACAGCAGTGACAACTGAGACTATTCAGTGACCGACAGTGACACTATTCAGTGACAACAGTGAGACTATTCAGTGACAACAGTGACACTATTCAGTGACAACAGTGAGACTATTCAGTGACAACAGTGAGACTATTCGGTGACAACAGTGAGACTATTCAGTGACAACAGTGAGACTATTCAGTGAGACTATTCAGTGACGACAAGTGAGACTATTCAGTGACGACAGTGAGACTATTCAGTGACAACAGTGAGACTATTTGGTGACAACAGTGAGACTATTCAGTGACAACAGTGAGACTATTCAGTGGCGACAGTGACACTATTCAGTGACGAAAAGTGAGACTATTTGGTGGTGACAGTGAGACTATTCAGTGACAACAGTGAGACTATTCAGTGACAACAGTGAGACTATTCAGTGACAACAGTGAGACTATTCAGTGACAACAGTGAGACTATTCAGTGACGACAGTGAGACTATTCAGTGAGACTATTCAGTGACAACAGTGAGACTATTCAGTGACAACAGTGAGACTATTCAGTGACAACAGTGAGACTATTTGGTGACAACAGTGAGACTATTCAGTGACAACAGTGAGACTATTCAGTGGCGACAACAGTGAGACTATTCAGTGAGACTATTCAGTGAGACTATTCAGTGACGACAGTGAGACTATTCAGTGACGACAGTGAGACTATTCAGTGAGACTATTCAGTGACGACAGTGAGACTATTCAGTGACGACAGTGAGACTATTCAGTGACAACAGTGAGACTATTCAGTGACAACAGTGACACTATTCAGTGACGTGAGACAGTGACAACAGACTATTCAGTGACAACAGTGAGACTATTCAGTGACAACAGTGAGACTATTTGGTGACAACAGTGAGACTATTCAGTGACAACAGTGAGACTATTCAGTGACAACAGTGAGACTATTCAGTGACAACAGTGACACTATTCAGTGACAACAGTGAGACTATTCAGTGACCACAGTGAGACTATTCAGTGACGACAGTGAGACTATTCTGTGACAACAGTGAGACTATTTGGTGACAACAGTGACACTATTCAGTGACAACAGTGCGACACTGAGACTATTCAGTGAGTGGCAGTGACACAGTGAGACTATTCAGTGACAACAGTGAGACTATTCGGTGACAACAGTGATGACAGTGAGACTATTCAGTGACAACAGTTAGACTATTCAGTGACAACAGTGAGACTATTCAGTGACAACAGTGAGACTATTTGGTGACAACAGTGAGACTATTCAGTGACAACAGTGAGACTATTCAGTGACAACAGTGAGACTATTCAGTGACAACAGTGAGACTATTTGGTGACAACAGTGAGACTATTTGGTGACAACAGTGAGACTATTCAGTGACAACAGTGAGACTATTCAGTGACAACAGTGAGACTATTCAGTGACAACAGTGAGACTATTCAGTGACAACAGTGAGACTATTTGGTGACAACAGTGAGACTATTCTGGTGACAACAGTGAGACTATTCAGTGACAACAGTGAGACTATTCAGTGACAACAGTGAGACTATTCAGTGACAACAGTGAGACTATTCAGTGACAACAGTGAGACTATTTGGTGACAACAGTGAGACTATTCAGTGACAACAGTGAGACTATTTGGTGACAACAGTGAGACTATTCAGTGACAACAGTGAGACTATTCAGTGAGACTATTCAGTGACAACAGTGAGACTATTCAGTGACAACAGTGAGACTATTCAGTGACAACAGTGAGACTATTTGGTGACAACAGTGAGACGATGTGAGGACCCACCTGGCTGTGCTCCTATCTGTATGTCCAGGAAGCAGCGCGGCCTGTAGTTACCTCCGACAGTCATCCTAGAAATAAAGCAGTAAGCATTACACAGACATCAGTGCTCAAACACACAGTGGCATCATGCAGCATGAATCACAAGAGTATCTTGTCTGAGGTCCAAGATACATTTGTATCATGAACACTGGCTCAGCCCAACACTTGTCTTGGTTAACCCCATCCTGTATTCCAGAGAAGGCTTAGCACTATATGTATGACCTACTTCTTGATTACATCGTCATCACTTTCACAGCACAGAGACCACAATGATAACAGGCAGAGTGTCTGTAATAAGATTTTTGGATTGTGTAAAGCTGGTAGCCCACATAATGAAATACGTAACTAGAAAGTTCAACACACAGATACAGTAGACAATGGTCTGGCTTTCTGTATGATATTTAAAGCCTTCATTTTTCCAATGTATGCACATTTCTGTCTGTCTGAGAATAGTTACAGATTGAGCACCAGCTGCTACTTCCATAATACCACCATTGATGACTATATTCTGTCCTTGAATAATAATGTCGGATTTACTGGTGACACAACTATTTGGTGACACACATCCCTATTTCTTGTCTTGTGAAACTAAATACTCCTTGCAGAGTACACTGTAACTAAAGTCAATCACAGCTGAAATATGAAAATATTCCATGGTTTGTTGAATTGTCCGGACATTTGTTTCAGTTGTATTTGGTAATTAGCTGTATAAAAATGCACATGCGAAGCAATGTACTTTCAACATCATCAATCCTTTGTCAGTAACCTCAATCTGATCTTATGAACAATAGTTTTTCTTTTTCAATATGATATCACAAGGCACAAAAATACCTTCTATTTGATTTAAAAACACTGTTTATTAAGCACTATGTATCAACTCAAATGTTCATAAACGAGTATCACTTTTCACAATTAAGTACATACATGTACCTGGTTTGTGCCAATTATTGAAGTCTACTTGCCTCAACTTAACTCTTAGCACAAGTTTGGGGGTACTTTTAGTGTTATCCTACAGACTTTTATCAGCCGAACATATGAGAAGAATCAGAAGTTTACTATATTCAGGCTGCAGAGTACTGGGTAAAGTCACAGACCGTACACCTTACAACACATCTTCCTCATAGAAATTGAAACAAACCAAAATATTCACCACATTTGTTTGTCATAACTGCCTGTGTGAAAATGTGGTATTTATCAAAAAATATTGTGGGAATTGCAAATTATACCAGGTATTCTTGCATAACAAGAGTTTACTTAGTAATAGAATAAAAATTAATTGGTAGGTTTAATCTGTTATATGATCTGAAAGCATTAGTACCTTGTCGATTACCGTATATGACCGTCTATAAGCCGACCCCATGGATAAGCCGACCCCCAAACTTGACCCTCAAAATCAGTGTCAAAATCATATCTCTCATGGATAGGACGACCCCCCGCGATGGGTCGCGGCCAACAGAGACCAGAGTACCCGGTAAGTATGTTCCATCAACGACGAGACACCATTACGAGAATATTACATAATAAAGATTACCGGTGTTTGTTTACCTTTTTTTAACGATCACTGCTTGCATCAACAACGAGGCGCCATTTGGAAAGTGGATATACAGCGTAAGTGTTGGTGAGAATATTACATAATAAAGATTACGGTGTATTGTGGCAACATGTGTTTGTGTTCCTTTTATATCCTGGCGATCACTGCTTGCATCAACAGCGAGGCGCCATTTTGTGAAATCGGTGAGTATGGAGAGAAAAAGTACCATCGGTAAATAATACCTGAAGTCAACTTTTGTTTCAAAATATATTATTTAAGTGTCCATATTTCATCTATATATATGACAATAAGAAAAATAGTCCACTAACAATAAACACTGACATTTCTGCAAGAATTGAGATTTTCACAAGTCATGTACCATCAAATTCGTGTCACTGTCCTCCAATTATACTGAAGTCGATCCACATTATTCAAATAAATTCACTCTTATATATATTGTGTCTACTCACGGTCGAAAACTAAGTGTAGTTGACAGAAAATGCATAATATATTTGCTTTCTAGTGTAGCAACAAACTGGCTTGCTTATTTTACCCCATTCAACAATCACAAACTGATTACTGCTCCATTTTATCAGCCGTTCAACACCTTATGATTATAGAATTTTTTCAGAAGTTTACTAGGATATATCTCAGGTTAAATAATAGTATTCAATCAATAGAGTCACGTTATGTTATTGTGCATGTTTGAACTTGTTGGCGGGAAAGTGCACAGCTGATTTCCGGCTTTGTGTACACGCATACGGTAATCTTATTTATAGAAACATCTTCCTGCTAGGATAATTGAAACAAATTCTGTATTATATTTTAATGATTCACCACATTTGTATTGTCATGTTTAACTGCCTGTGTGAAAATGTGGTTTTTATCGAGGACAAAATATAATCCCTGGGAATTGCACAATTATACTTAAAGGTATTCTTGCATAACAAGAGTTTACTTAGTAATAGAATAACTGATGTTGTTTTCTTAAAATTAATTGGTAGGTTTAATCTGTTATATGATCTGAAAGCATTAGTACCTTGTTGATTAACAGCCTTGTGTTACTGTCCATGAACTTATAATTATCAAATGATAGATATTATTTATCCAATGACGGGCTTATTGTGTAATTAAATGTGTAACTTAGGAGGTTATCATCACAAACGGGTCATATATGATGCCTCAATAATTTCTGTCTCTGCTGTATTTTGATTGTAACAAAGAGACAACTATCCATTTCTGCAAAGTTGTATCCACCCATTTTACTTACACTTTAATCATTAATGACAAACCAATCAGTCATACCCAAAAGGTTAAGAAAGTCTAAGATTGTCCCTTTAATGTTTAACTATACAGATCATTTATTAAAACATTGTTAACTTTCTGACAGTCAGACAGTGGCACTAAACCTGAGACACTGTTACTTTCAATATAGATTGCCTTGATTACACTCTAAAAACAATCACATATCAAAGCAAAAGGATTCGTTGGGCTAAGACTGTCAAAAATTACAAAAAGTGTTAATCTAATTAAATATTTCTTGGAGTACAAGGGAGAACACATATATGACACATGTCAAAACAACCAGTGAAAGTTTATCAATTTGCCTAAATTGCATATTCTGTCTCGAACTTGTGTACAAGCGAGTCCGGTAATTCCGCGTGTCCGGTAATTCTGTGCAGCTGCAATAGCGTACTTCTGTATCGAAGGTAAACATTGTCTGCTACCATATTTACGCTTGAAATCAGGACATTTCTACAAGGGACTGGCTCTTAATCACTAAAGGTAAGTAAATACTGACTGAGTTTAGTTTTACGCCGCTTTTAGCAATATTCCAGCAATATCACGGCGGGGGACACCAGAAATGGGCTTTGGGCTTAACACATTGTGCCCATGTGGGGTAAGTAAATAACAGCAATTGACAGATAAATTGATAAACTGTTATGAAAATTCGTTTTCTTCAGACTTTTAAACCTTTTTCTTCATTATTAATAATTGGATTTAATATGAAACACTCTTCCTTACATTGATGAAGTGATTTTTGAAAAAAATCGGACCCTAATATGCTTCCATACTTCTCCAGCTGAATATTATTCGCATCAGTTATTTCGCAGAATTACGGACACCAAGTGATGTCGTCAGAACGCTGGTAAGGTCAACCGTATGACATAATGCAACGTTAGAAGCTTATTGTTGTCAATAAAACTTATATTTCTAGGTAAATATGATGCATACCAGCATGTTTGGTAAGAGTTCCGCCCATAAGCCCTGCTTGAAAAGTCTTCTAATTATTATGATTATTTCATGGGGTTAGGGTTTAGGTTTAGGGTTTAGATTCAGCATTATGTTAGATTTAGGGTTAGGATAGGCTTTCTATAAAAAAACATCTATTCTTACTATAAATCTTTGGCATAGAATGACAATAAAACGGGGGTTACTGGCGGAATTCTTTCCGCATGTTTAGCCACGTAAACCACAAAAATAATAAGAGACGTTAGTTGCCGTGTTGCGATCGATGTGCTTAGGTGCGCGGAATTACCGGACGGCATTGTATATGATTACAATAAAGACTTCAGCTGTGATCACTTTTATCCACTGTGTCATGATTGCCCAAAAGATAAAATGATCTTTTAAGGGTTTGATTCACGCACAGAAATGCATAGCTATACAATTACATGTGTATACAGTTTCTATCAACCCTTGTATCATACGAGGCTGCTTTCTTTGGATAATATAGTCTCTGCATCTGTCACCCACGGAACGAAATGGAACGAATAGATAGATCAAGACCTCAACAGTACTGAATATATTGTCGCAAAACTAAACGGCATACTCTGGCTATAACACAGAACAATCGCTTTCTTTGCTTGATGACTGAAATTTCGATAAAACAAGGGTTGACATGGATCACCGGGATCACCTTGTCTGAACGTGTTGTAAAACACAAGCGAACTACTCCGTCGAAATCGTTATTTTGTGGATGATCTGCCATCAAGTATATCTTTAAACATATCATACACATAAAGTATGTTATCTGTTTTAACGATTACGACAGGAAATTACCACCTGCCTGCAGTTCTGACAATGGAAAACTGTTAAACGTTCATGATATACATGTGTACCTAAATTCGCACTTGTCTTTCCGGAAGTACGAAGGAAGATGTAATTGTAAAATGAGGGTGTTAATTTCGAGTCGTAATTTTAGGTTTTCAAAAACTGTGGGCACATTACGAGACACATAGAACAACAGAATATAAACATACAATACAATTTAATACTGCCATTTAATGTATTCTGAAAAAATATTAATATCTATACATCGTTATTTCTGTCATTGATTTGGGCGGACACCCCTCAATATTTCACTTTGGAATGGTCTAGAATAACCTCTAATGCCAGGTCTGTAATTATTTTCCAAAAAATTCTTTGGGAATCAATATACCGACTATTGTTTCACTGCGTATGAGCATATTGTTCTTTAAAAGTGCAATATGTGGTAAATTTATAAAGCTTTGAAAAATATTTATTCAATGAAACATTTGTGACGAGAGTAGAGTATTAGACAACATGGCGCCGAACAAGAAGGGAGAGCTGTCCGATTCCGAGAAAAAACTATTTGATATCGTCCTCAAAGGTAAGTATTTTCTTGTTGGAGAAACTTGGTGTGTATGTCTATACTTCGTAATATTATCTATGTATTTGATGCACACAACGTTACTTGCTTCCTGGTTTTGCGTAGATCACTAACCACGCTTGCCCGGTACCCATGAGGTTGTCAATGATTTTTCCACTCAATATTAGTAAATACTAAATTGCTTGGCACGATGTTGCCATTCATTTACATGACACGATATTTTTAGAGCTGCCAATGGTTATTCGATGTCTTTTTTTCTGATTGACGTATTTGGCTTAGCTCGAGACGTTCCACCATGATATGCTCATTTATCAGAATTTTCCAGAATGTCCTTCTATACCCCTTGCAAAGACATGTTATGACTTTTGCATACGACTCGATGAGTCATTATTGTTTTATTGGTGATTTTGGGGATGTAGTGCACTTTACCATCACCCTTTTCAGATTTCATTTCGAGCCATGTGCGGAATAGACCTAGTTACTTATTTAGCTAACACCTTACCGACACCTTAGCACAGGACAACAGGTGCTATTCCAAATAATTTATGCTCTTTCACCAAGTCCTCAGCTCATGATTGTTTACCTGTGTGTAGCTTTTTTCTTTCGTGAAAATCGGAAGTTTATCAGTTGTTTTCCCTTTAAATTACGTTTGATTATGGAAATCCAAGGATTGAGGATAGAACAATCAATCCGAACACAACTAACCCTGAGAATCCAATAGGTATGGGAGATCTGCGAGTTGAAAGCAATGTTCAGCTTTAGCCAATTAGCATGAGTAAGGCTTGCCCTGTAAACTGCATTGTTGCAGAGGTAGGGTTCATTGTTGCTGAGTGAGGGTTTAGCTGAGTTGTGTCAGCTGCTAAGTGTGAATATTGATGAAGGTTGGAAGGGGGCCCAATTTGCACCTAATTCACACATTGTTACAGCTTGAACATCACTAACTTCAGTGTCATTCATATGCAGGTTGCCCCTACAGTAACTTTGTTACTGAGTGCAATGCTCATTTTATATAAGTCTTCGTAATAATCTAGTTAAAGTATTCAGGGGTGCAAATAACTTTAAAATTGCTAGTGTACTCCGGAACAGTGGCACATGTAAAATCACTTGCCCTGATAATTTTTCCACTATACCGGCCGTTTTCTTGTTGATTTTTTAAAATAAACAACATAAATAACATTGGAAAGTCAACTGGACACCGGTACAGTGTGATATACAAATTTGCTTGCCCGACAGAAAAAAACACTGGACTCGGACGTCGGGCAATGGGTTATTTCCACCCCTGACAGTATATTGTAGATATGTACCAAACTCCAGTTCCAAAACAACATTTACCATTAACAAGTTTCCAGTATTAAAATTTAAATTGAATATATTAATTGTAAATGTATTTTGTCAAAAACTGCAAAGTAGACAAAGCAATAAAGCAGAATTCTCTGCCTCAGCTGCTGTTACTACTTTCAGAATCAAGCATCCATTATACCTTCATTGCAGCAAATACCTTTAACTGACACATTTTGCAGTGATAGTTTAGAACAGCATCATTTGTTTAATCTCCAATTGCAATACAAATTGACATTATGGGAGATAACGGGAAAAATCAGTATATTGTCATGGCATTTCCTACGGCAACACAAGACATTGTAAGTCTCAGATAGCATCAGATCAATAAAATAATGCAAACTCACTTTGTTTATCAGTTCATATATTATTTCTAACAACAAGTCCTAACTATTGCTGCATTCAAATCTGACAAATAGTTCTCATACTGCCTCTGACCTCAGTATGATAAAACTGGGGATGTGAGATATCTGGAGCACACCAACGTCCTTTGCCAGCCCTTTATCACAGATTTAAAATGATTTGTACATCCGTGACTTTATTAGTAATTGGAGAGCATTAGATTTTAACAGTTGGTTATAACTATTACATTTTGATCAACAGTTCGTCATATGTCTGATTTAATTTTTTATATAAATTCGGACAGTATATTTTTGAAAGATACTAAATATAAAGGGACCATGCATTAATCCTATCAACTTTAATGAAGCATTAACGTGCCATTAAACGTTCATTAAGTAATGTATCATTAAATTCTGTTGTACTAACGTTTTAATGATGCTCTGTTGTCATTAGTACGTCATTAACTTAATGAAGGTCCTGAGGTATCATTTGAGCGTCATTAAACTTCCTGGAAAAGTGAACATTGCGCCAGAATTTCATTTGCACCGCACTGGATCTACCTACAGCTATAAAATTACACAGAAATGTAGAGTATTAAATGTCCTATCTCATGGTATAAACTCAGTTTGAAAAGTAGACACTGCTAAATGTTACTCCTAATTTTGTTATGGGTTAAAAACAGTAAATTTCTCTGCTTTTTATCGTGCACTGATAAAAGCACTGTGCTACTATATTTTCAATTTGGCATCTTTACGGAAAGTGTGAGTGAACAAAATTCTACCTGATACCTGAATGACATAGGTATGTATTAAATTAGTTGGTGTGCTTATGTATAACGTTATACACTCAATCTTAAAAGCGACTCACAATATGTGTTGAAAATGGATTTTCCCCTATGACGTCAAATGGCTACATAAAGGTCATACACTTATAAAGATAAGGTAGCCTCACTCCGCTATACTTCATACTAAGTCACTGTAACTCAGATCACTTGGCGAAAATTTGCTATGAATGAGGACACTATATTTTCATGATGTTTTGTTCACGGAATTATCGAAAACAATGATAGTCAAAACATTTGTGACAAACGCGCACCTTGCCAATGATTATACGCCACTGTTTTGTCTATAACACACCATAAACAAATTCAATGAACAAGACATATCCTTTAAAAGCGTGTGCATATATACATTTCATGAAATAAATCATTTTTATTTATTATGTCAGTTTTACTTACCCGGGTAGGTTTAAAATACTAAATGTTGATAATGAAATTGAACCATATGTGAATGATATGCAAAGTATACAGTAGTAATAAAAGTGTAATCCGCAGGACAGTGTGATTGTGTTTACTCTTATTCAACCGACCTTCACCTCAAAGAAATTGCTACATATTTCGAACAATGTTGACGTATGATATCACTACCGATGACCGGTTTCTCATGAAATGGCGGCTTCGTGGATATGGCTGCCCACGATTTTGCGAGGGAACCTTTGTCCATAAATGTATGATGTAAGTAATCGGAAACATTCTGACTATCTGCTTATGGTTATTTGTTTTTATTGTTTTCATTGAAAAAGTCAGAAATGCCAATAATTGTATGAATATATCAAACTTTTCCTTATCCTGACTCATGATTATTTGCTTCATCTCATGAGTAAGGATAAGTATAAAATATTAATTTAATTTTATCATAAAAATTACATATTTCAGTATTGTATCTGTTTTTAATTTTCTAGTTCTTGCTATGATACTCTTTCCGTGCATATACTAAAAGTATTGAGCTCATGCATGCTACGAATAGACAAACTGATGTCCCAAAACTTGAGAAAATGCTGCCCAGTATAAAATCTGATTTTCGCTTTGTTTACTTTTCTAGCAAGCGCTGTGTTATGACGCTCCGTTTTCACACCCAATATTTCTCGTTTTTTTTCTAGACACTTTGTTTTAGTGACAAAGACCATTTGTAAGTTGATTCTAAAATGTATGAGGAATTCAGCGATTTATTTGTCACAACTGAATATGAAATATATGTGATGTAATAGGCGTCATATGACCGGCCTTAGCGAAACTTGATTTTGTAAACACTATCCAATATGCAGTCGAAATGTTCTTGTATTTTGAACATCCCAACCGATTCTAGGTTTAGACAACGTTTCAGAATTATTTAGGCGTGTTTCTTCACAGCCGAAATGTTTGTTTTGACAGGTTTAGCCGTAAAGATGCCATTTTGACAGACGACCGAGAGTAACGCTTACATGTTTACGTTGCAGAATTGTGGGAAATATTTAGGGGAATCCCCGAGTTTAATGAAAATATTTACATTAGGACGTCATTAGATAATGATGCGCTAATAAGTGTTTGATACAACCGTTTTTAATGATGCCATTAACTAATGACGCATTAAGGATTTAATGTATCATTAGGGTTTAATGTTGACATTAGTTAATGAAGCAATGATACAACGGGATCCAGGTTAATACTCTTAAAACAAACAGTAAATTACAGAGATTTGTCTCAACAAACAACGAATAATTGTGCAATACAGGTATCAATTGATGTTAGCAAAAAAAAAAGAATGACATCACTGATTTGTTTGTTTGAGAATTTGAAAAATTAGTCTTACAAAATCTAAACATAAAACGCCAGGTCTAAAAAACTTCATATGATCTTTGTCATGACTGATCATTGTGAAGGCAAACTGCATGAGCTTATACAACATATGACACACTTGCGAGTCACCTGCAACTGTCTCCTCATTGGTTTTAGTGCCCAACTGACAGAATCTAAAGGAGTAATAGTGCAATGTATACCTAAGGAAAACCAATAGCCAAGGGGAATGATGGCATTTGAGAAAGTAATGTTTGTCTGAAAACGTATTAGCATCCCTCGTATTTAGGTATGATTCTATAGTTAATCAAGGGTTGTTGTGCAATAATACTTTGTTGTTTTTCTGTCTTTAGGAACTGTGGAGGAGATTCGAGCAATACTGAAAGAGCCAGATGTTCGTGTTGACTGTCTTGACCAGGTGAGGAAGTTATGGTAGATACTAACATAAACCACAGTTACCTTCTAATTTAAACTATTGCACTAGTGTCTGTTGTTTAAATTCTGTGATGTTTTTGTTCAAACAAATCTTGAGTCTTTTGATCAATATATTTTGAGATCACATCAAATTTCGTCCATATGTACCAAAATGATATCTGGGAGGTACTTTGTTTAAAATATACCCCACAACCTGAAAGAATCTTTTGATTCCAAGTGGACATACATGATTCAAGTATGAATGTGTTGTAGGACTACTTATATGTTGTATTTCATCAAGTGAAGAAATAAGTGAACACAAGCTGCTGTTTTCTTTGTATATATTAGAGAACAGTAACATGAAGTCAGGTGTTTTGAGTGAGGCAAGTCAATCTCATTAAAGCTGCACAAGAGAAGATAACTCAGAATGACCTTTCATGGAGACTGACGGAACAATGAACAATAAATCAACATTAACTTATCAGAAAGTGCAGTTCCCTAGCTTAATAGCTCCAGTTTTAAACTGTGGACCACCATCCAACTTATTGTTCCAAGACTAAGCTTTGAAGAATGATTGAACGATTCTCAAATTTGAAAACTGGACATGAGAAATTCTGGAATGTCTAAGGGACCATTCATAATTTATGGCTAGGGGGGTGATGATGATTTTTGTGGAGAAGCATGTACAATGTGAATGAAACACACACACCCAATTTAGGTACACAATCAATGACCCCCTCCCCTACCCATAATTTCTAAGCATAATTTTTAAATTATTTTTACGTACAAAATTGATTCAGTTTGAAGTTTCGATGGATCTCTTGAAACTGAAAAAGAAAACAGTTACAGGAAACCATCAAGCAAAGGCGCACAGCGCAGTTAACTCACATTTACAGCGCAGTTCACTTCCTTAACCCCTAACTCAAGGATATTTTTCGAGGCAACTCTGAACGTGGACGGTGAAGGAAGCAAGGCCGTGGTAGCTCCTCCAAGTGCCTCTCCAGATTTGACTCTGGTACTGGCCCTGGGCATCAGTGACTCGCTGAACTCTTCGCACAACTAGGACCTTCCGCCCCAAGTTGTGCTGATCTGAGATACGCCCGTAGGCGGAAGACTGGGACTCTTAGTCCCCAGTTGGATTATCCTCAACGACCCGTACGTTCTCTCAACGTTGACTCATGGTTATGAGATGCCGGTCATCGGATTGCCACCGCTGACTTTCGCTCCATCTCACCAGATTTCACAGTGAAAACCACGATGGAGACGTTGCTCAAGAAATGTGCGTTAGAGTCTCTCAGCCCAGCACCTGTTTTGTACTTGGATAATAGAGCTCATTGTACGTTTCTATCATAGTCGGGGGATAACGTTCAAGTCTTACATCGACAATTGCATCCAGGCTCAGCAGGATCCGGCTGTCCTCTTACATCACCTTCAGTTCACCACCAAGCTACTTCGGCAATTAGGGTGGCTGATAAATGTAAGGACATCGGAGTTAATCCCCAGACGCTACAGTTCATCAGTGCAGTGTTTGACACCCGTCTGCTGATGATTTTTGTGCCCCAAGACAGGTGTCTCAAAATACAGCGTTGGATTCCTCCTCACCTCGGCTCAGGCTCTGACTTACAGTTACAGAAGACAACTTCAAATTTGGCCCATTCAGAGGTTCCTTCATCCGTACCTTCAGGCCAACAACCACAAAGCGCTCATTCGTTTTCTCGAGTCTCTTCAGCCGCTCCTTCAGTGGTGGCACAACAAACAGAACATTTGCGCAGGAGTCTGTTCATCGATGCGTCTCTCAGGGGCTAGGGTGCCCTCCATCTCGATCGTCAAGTGGCCGGGCAGTGGTCATTCGCCGAACAGGCTCTTCACATCAATGAGCTAGAATTCAAAGCTGTCACTTTAGTCATCAACCATTGGGCGAAGGAGCTTCAATCCACCAGTCTAATGATTTAATCGGACAACTCAACAGAGGTCTGGTACATCAACCATCTTGGCTCAATGGGCTCTTCCATCTCATAGACTCTCTCGGCATCGTAGCACAGGCCAGACATATTCCCGGAGTCAAGAACGTCATCGCCGATGCCCTGTCCTGATCCAACCGTCCGTCTGAATGAGCAGGAGCGGGCCAGATTAAGGTGGAAAGGCTTTCATTTACTGGGGCATGTAAATCTGTAAATCATGACTAGGCGAGCTTTGCTTGACAAAGTTGCATCCTTTCGTCTCATACGAAGGTTGTGGTCGAACACCACTTTCTCGGGAGTGCCCATCTCCCTGGGAGTCGTTTTGCTTAGTAGACCATGGGGTTCTGAAGAACCAAAAGCACATTAGTTGCGAGTCTCGTAACAGGCCTCCCGTGTGTAGCGCTATCTACGGTTGACTTCAGGCTACTTGAAGAGAGAGAGAGTACAAGACGTGAGATAGGATAAGTATAAATATACAATTCATAGTTAAAATTTCCAGTTTTCATGTAAATGAGTATTTATCTTCAGTCTCTGCTTACAAAGAGGTCATAGTCACATACTGTCTGATCCGCCTCCCTTCAGTAATGTTGATAGTGAACTCACTGTGTCTCTGTCTATTGTTAGATGTGCGTTGTGTGTTTCAGACTGGGATGACCCTGCTGCAACATGCTGCCTTCAAGGGGAGGTATGAAATGTGCGAGGTGTTCCTGGCACATGGAGCTGATGTCAACTCAAATTACCATGACAACGGTTACTCTGCCTTAATGTTTGCTGCTCTTTCAGGTTAGATTCTGAAAATACAAAATCATGGTTACTGAAATATTTTTTGCTTCATATAGATAAAAAGTGGCTTACATTCTGCATATCTGTGAAGGTTCTGAGCAAAATCTTTCTGGCTGATAAATCATTACTTGAGATTAGTATTAATGTAAGATATTCCATATCTGGTATTTGATAAAAAAAATCCAGTTTCTGAAAACAGAAAAGATGAAAAGTTTGTTTCCATAGCTTCAAGAAAACTTGTCAGTGGTCAAACTGTGCTGACCAGATAGAAGCTGTGTATTAAGTGTAATATAGGGTGACCAGATTGACACTGGTGTTTTGCAGGTAACACTGAGGTGACCAGATTGATGCTGCAGGCAGGGGCGAAGGTTCATCATATAAATTCAGTCAACAGAACAGCCTCTCAGATGGCAGCCTTTGTCGGTAGGTAGAATTAACACATATCTCTGATTTTCACTTGGATACTTGACTAATTATCTTAAGATGTTTCATTTCTCACTAACGGTGAAAGTAGGTAAAAGTGTTAGTCAAAGACGTAATGTACTTAGTTATACCTCCATGCCATATGTTCTTGTATGCCATGCTTGTATAGGTTTCTAACTCTGTCTATTTCAGGTCAACATCAGTGTGTTTCAGTCATTAATAACTTCTTCCCCAAAGAAGACATCGATTACTACACTGTGCCACAAGGTGACTATGAGACTTAATTTACACCAAAACCTTCAAATAGACTGTTCAGATACCATTTTTTGTTTCAAAAGGAACAGAAGATCACAATTCATTTAATAAACATTTTGTGCAAACATTAAAGAACTGACATTGACAACAAAACTACAGTATATGGATTGAGTGTGAATTATTTTGCAGGTTTGGAAAAAGAAGCTAAGCTGCCTGCTGCCATTGCTCCCTCTTTACTGACCCTGGTGAACTCTGTCAATATGCACCCAGTAAAGGTGAGACCCATTGCCAAATTCAGTACATATTGGTCTCACTCATACTCAGTAAAAGTGAAACAAATGCCCTTCTTATGTACACACATTGGTCACCTTTGGTATTCAGAGTTGTCTCCCTTTCGCATCACATGATCCACTGATCAGTATGATGCTTCTTTTGTTATTAGACAAACTGTTACTCCTTCCTTCTCACTCTTGTTCATGGTATACCAAGTTGTTCATTTCATTGTCCTGGGATAATTGATGCTACTACCTACAGGAGCTATTGGTGTGTGTTTGCAGATCACACTGTACGTGAAGGATCACAAGGAGCTCCTGGAAGAGTGGTACAAGGTGACGAAGGTCCTGGACTTGCTGGTGGAGAAGAACATGAAGTCCCGGGAAACCAATGATGTGCTGGCACTCAAGCTGCACTACCTGGCCACAGTCATCCGGAACACAGCTAAGGCTGCCCAGGAGAAGGAAGGAGCTGTCGACCAATGGATCAAGAGGTGAGTAGTTTATCTATCTCCTATGTTGACCTGTAGCACCAAGAGTTGACCTGTTTTTTCAGAAATGCATAGTTCTGTGAAATTTATCCAGGCCTTTTAGCTTGACAGGTAACCACCAGGCACAGCAGTTGTTTTGGGATTGAAAGGTCAAGTTCATACAGAGAGCAGCAAATATTAGTCATAAGCTATTTTAATTCACTAGCATGAAGTCAAGTTCAAGATGTCTTTCTTCATGTAAGCACACTGTACAAAAATGAACCAACACAACTGTAGAAAGAGGTGCCACAAATAAGTGAGTGAGTGAGTTTAGTTTTACACCGCACTCAGCAATATTCCAGCTATATGGTGGCGGTCTGAACATAATCAAGTCTGGACCAGATAAACCAGTGATCAACAGCATGAGCATCGTACTGCGCATTTGGGATACAATGACATGTGTCAAACAAGTCAGCAAGCCTGACCACCCGATCCCGTTAGTCTCCTGTTAAAACAAGCATAATCGCCTTTTGTGGCAAGCGTGGGTTGCTGAAGACCTATTTTCCATACTTTGCAACTTAGTGTATTCTATGTGAAATGGGGAAATGTTTTCACAGAAACTACTGACGAAGCCCAAGCTTTAAAAGTAGTGCCACAACTCTTTTCAGAGTAAGGGGTGGTGGCGTAGCCTAGTGGTTAAAGCGTTTGCTCATCAAGACGAACACCTGGGTTTGATTCACCACATGGGGACAATGACTGAACCCCATTTCTGGTGTCCCCCACTGGGATATTGCTAGGATATTGCTAAAAGCGGCGTAAAACTGTATTCACGCACTCACTTTTCAGAGTTACTTCCCTTGCTACATCTGTTTTCTTAATCTTAAGCTTACACAGTGATAGACATACTCAATTTTACTCCATTTTCCGCTTGACCTTGTATTCATGCCTAAAGTTATACCTTCGGCAATTTCAACAGTACTCAGGTCCATATCAAGGGAATCTATCCATAGATAGTCAGAAATTTTACGTTTTAGAGGCACATTACCTCTTTGAGTGGGGTGATCCCTAGCTTGTCGAAGCGTATGTTGACCTTGCCAATCGCCGCCATGTTGAATTTCCGAGCTATTGGATTTTGCGGTCTGGTCCTTTTCCAACTTGCTTGTCAGCCCATCGGCCTGAGACTGCAGTTCCTGTCGTTTTTCCTGCAACTGCAGGCGACACATTGTCTCTTCTAACGAAGCACATTGTGCCTCAAGCTCCGACTCTGTCTCTTCCCTCAGCGGCAATGACCCCCACGTTCCGCTAAACACTGGATAATGTCCAAAGTTTTCCAACTGACCTAGGGAACCCCTCAATGCGCTAAAATCTCTGGCCTCTTTGCACCTGCACCCTTGCGTTTTGGCTTCACCTCCCCTTCTGCAATCTTCGTAGGTTAGAAACAAAACTATGCAAAGTTTTGTCAAGTGCAAAGCAGTGGAAGCGTGCATGTCTTGTCGCCTAAGCGTAGGCGATTGCAGCGCCATTTCAAGGGAGCTAACTCTGTTCTACTGTAGATGTTACGTACACGGTGAAAAGTGTGGTCAAAGGGAGGTAACTCTTGTCCTAACTCAAAATACATTTTATGACATAAAATAACACTTTACACAGTGATAGACATAGTGTCTGAATCGGGACAATTATTCTCAGAAAACCTATGAAGTTCTTTATTTTCCCAGAAAAGGGACCTTTCTTGTGTATTTATTACACCTTTAGTAATTTTTATTATGCCATGACAACTCTTATGTGCTTCAGCTTATTGAAGGGTCGCGATGATGATGGGTTCCCTGAGAAGCAGGAACGTTTGATTCGCCAGTCCCTGAAGGAGTTTCCATACGTTGAGTCTCAGTTGTTGCAACAGGTCGTCAGGCAGATTGCCCCTGTCCAGATGGTGAGTCACATGAAACGAATGGCTCAGAGTCAGTATACTCAGAACTGTGTGAAGTCCCTGTTGATGTAATAGTTACACGTCATCTGTTGCCAGGGAGACTGTATGAAGTGACTGTTGATGTGATAGCTTCATGACAACTGTTGCCAGGGAGACTGTAAAGTCACTATTGATGGGAGACTGAAGTGTTGATGTTAATAGTTACATGCCAACTGTTGCTGAAGTGGAGAATAGGGACTGTTGCCAGGCCAGGAGACTGAAGTGTTGATGTTAATAGTTACATGACAACTGTTGCCAGTGAGACTGAAGTGTTGATGTTAATAGTTACATGACAACTGTTGCCAGGGAGACTGAAGTGACTGTTGATGTTAATAGTTACATGACAACTGTTGCCAGGGCCAAGGTGTGACAGCCCTGTCCATGTTGATGGCGAGCATCAATGGCCAGCAGTACGGCTGGGATGAGGAAACCAGTTGTTCCACGTGTGGGACACAAAACCCGGAGAAGAAGTGCTCGGCTTGTAAAATGGTGAGAGTGATATCAGCAGATTTTAGTTGTAGGCATCACATTAAGTAACTATGAAGACATTATGCATAATGAATGTTAAGTTAACTGATCAGCTTCCCTTTTCTTTCTTGAATTTGGAAAGTGAGTATATTTTGGGGTAGTGTCTGCAACATTTAAGAGAGATCAATATAAACTCATGATAGCACTAAGGAAGTGGACTTTCTGCATTATCATTTTACATCAGATTTTTGTCCATGAACGCAACACCCCACCACTCCCCATTTTAAATGAGCACTTTCCAAATTTTAACTTGCATTGATGTCAGTACTCACGATCCAACTGCAATTGTTTGATGGTTTTCTTCAGGAAGCACCCAGGATGGTGTGTATTTTCTTGCTTTGTGTTTCAGTGATTTAGCCGTTTAATTATGCACAACATGTCATTTCACCTGTGCTGTAAGTCATATTGAAATACCTGACAATGTTTTGTGTTGTCACTAGGTGGGTTACTGCAACCAACAGTGCCAGAAACTACACTGGTTCACACACAAGAAGTTCTGTAAAAAGTTAGCAGGTAAGGCACACATGCTCCTTGTGAAGGATTATGTTATTGTCTTGAGTACTATGCTAATAATTGTAGGACAGGTCACAGGGCACTGATTTTGTGTGAGCATGAAGAAATGCCAGTTGTTGATCTTTACCAGTTGTTTCATACCCAGTGGATGGGTATGATGCTGACATACCACAGGTGTGACATCAGGAAAGGGACATAACTCTGGAGAAGTATACTTAAGAGGGGTTTCATTGTTTTGTGAAGCTACGGTTTCATTGTTGCTCCATATATTGAAACATTGCTTTTGCTGATAATATCATGAATACTTTTGGTCATGGTAAACAATTATTATGTTTATAAGAACAATATAAAATTCATCATAATTATCTGGGTAGAAGTTGTCTAGTTTTGGTCACAGACTGCTAAACAGCATTTGAATTAAAATCTTGTTTGCACCAAGTGTGCTGCATGAGTCGTGCCACGTCAGAAATGATTGCCTTGTTTCTTGCAGAAGAGTTTGTGAGACGAGAGGAAGTGAGGAAGCAGCGAGAGGCAGAAGAAAAGAGACAGCAGGAGGAAGCACAGAAGAAGAAAGCAGAAGAGGAACAGAAAAAGGAGGAAGAGGGTAAAGAGAGGGAGAGGCAGGTTGATGAACTGCACGCGAGAATGAAAGAGGTTGGCGTGGGAGATCTTATAGGTGAGGGTGTTTATAGTTCCCCTCAATGGGATTTGATGTCTTTGTACTCGTCGTGGGATATGATAATACTAATTCCAAGGAAAGAACAAAAATTTAATGATCATTACTGTTTATTAAGGCATCACTTTCAAACTATTCACACTGAGAAAATTGTTAGAGGTCTACATATTTCTAGCATGTTGAAGAAATTGACAATTTAGTGTATGTTAAAATCAACAGTTATCAAGCCAAACTTATTTACTGTTTCAGAATCACAAGACTCTGAGACAAAGACCGATTCCAATAAGAAAGATGAAGAGAATGAGAGTGGGAGTGAAAAGACTCTATCATCTGTCACAGAAAATGGCAAGATGGCAGTAACAGTAGACAGTAACCAGACAGCCCCAGCCAGACTCGGGCAGTGTAGCAAGCTGATCGCAGTCTCAACAGCAAGAATTTTTGTCTCGGGAGCCAAATCAGCAATCCAGGTCTTCTGGTCGAAAATGACTATTAAGTTTAGCTTGTGAGCCTCATACACCTTTATGCACACCCCTCATTGTGTAATGTAGCAGCAAGGATTAGGTTTCTAATGTGTGCTCAGGGTACAATTTCATCTTTTTCCACCACTTGCCCCAGGTGCAACCAAGGTGGATTAGTCAGGTTGCTCCATCTAAATATTGCCTGTACCATCTTATTGTCAATACTATCGCTGTCACTGACAAGACGATTCTTTATCAGCAAAGTGAGATGAATATTCATAACCAGCTTCACTTCCCAGAAAGGCTTACATTACTCAATGTCTGAAATGATGTCTTGATAGATTGTTGCCTTTTAACTGATATTTTCATTCATAAATTTAATTTCCTTTCCGCTTGACAAAATGAACTTGTCCACCATTAAAAATAGTGACATCTGGCCTTACATAAAACGTCACAAAATTGTGTACGTGATGCGGGCTACCTAACCGATTAATGAGTATGAAAACAGACATTTTGGTAATTGATTCGTCCGATACACACGAATGGAAAAGACATATTTAATGCTGAAAATTTGCACCAATAAAGCTGCTGCCATGCACTTGTGGTAGAAAAGTTTACCTGTACTTGGTGCAACCTGACAATAAAAGCTACCTGCACTGGTGCAGCCTGGATGTAATGAAATTGGTCCCTGGTGCTACCCATCACCTGTGCATTAGTGGTTCAAAACACAACCTTGATGATGACTTGCTGCTCACCCATTTCATGGACAGAAGTCATCATTAGCTCAAACACCTTCTATTGGTTCATGTGTCACTGTGTTTACTTCTTTGTCCTGTCAAGAATTGGATGAGCCGTGGCCCAGATTTCATACAGAATTATGTATTACTAATAGAGGAAATGTATGGGCCATGGACTGAGACAGGACATGATCAGGATGTCAATAAGGAAACCAAAAATGTTCTGATTTGATGTGAAAATATCTCAATAGGTTTTCCTTGAGAATAATTTCATCATTGTACTTAATGATAAATGTATTCATCAAAGGAGAATACATTTTGGTTGTTCCTGCAACTACTCAACACTTAAAAGAACAGACATGACGTTAGACATTATGATTGTATTCCCCTTCATGTTGTAACTGGGTACTTGGCAGCAGATAATGGTGTGATTGTAATCAACCTCCACAGAATTGTCCTCAAGGCCCATCACTAGAAGTGTGTGCTGAAGTTATGCTTTTTGATGTCATCAACACCTGTCCGCAGAGTTCTTCACGGTCCATCTCAGGGACAGTCTAGGGATTTATCTCTCTGGGGATCTTCACTGTCCATCTCAGTGACGGTCTTGGGGTCTATCCCTCTGGTGATTTTAACTGTCCATCATGGTGATGGTCTTGGGGTCTATCCCTCTGGTGATCTTCACTGTCCATCTCAGTGATGGTCTTGGGGTCTATCCCTCTGGTGATCTTCACGGTCCATCATGGTGATGGTCTTGGGGTCTATCCCTCTGGTGATCTTCACGGTCCATCATGGTGATGGTCTTGGGGTCTATCCCTCTGGTGATCTTCATGGTCCATCTCAGTGATGGTCTTGGGGTCTATCCCTCTGGTGATCTTCACGGTCCATCATGGTGATGGTCTTGGGGTGTAACCCTCTGGTGATCTTCATGGTCCATCTCAGTGACAGTGTTGAGGTGTATCCCTCTGGCGATCTTCACAGTCCATCTCAGTGATTGTCTTGGGGTCTATCCCTCAGGTGATCTTCAATTTTTTCTTTTTCTAATTGACATTGTATGTGGAATCAACCAGCAAGTGTTACATATGTTGTGTTCATTGTTTTGTATAGCTGTGAAGTTTTTCTTAATGACACATGGTAAACACCTTCATTGTTGTTTTTGTGACTTGCATTTAAGATTGTTGTGCCATAACCATGGCAAATGTAACTGTACTACTATTACCCTGTCAGTAAACTACTATTAGCCATTACAGTTGTCTGGTGTTAAAGCAGACATTATTGCTTTTCAACTCACCGATGAAATGCTTTCATATCCATTACATTCTCACTGTCAGCGCATGTGTTCAAGAGAATCGCACCTTGATATACTGTTAAAGCAAATGACTAATATTGCTGTGGAGGTTCCTTCATCTTCAGTGGAAAGCTGTATTCCTGTTGGGACACTGGGGTAGGCCTGTCTTAATGCGTGGTTCATCAAGTACTATGTAGGACAGTGCCCCACACTGACAGCTTGTCAAGCATTTTCTTGTGATGGTCAACCAAGAGCAGTTTAGACTAAACATGTTTTGGTTCCTCGTTAGGTGTTGTATCTTTGTCCATTTTGTAATGGAGAACTCATTGTGTGTTTGTTCAATAAAACATGAGTTACTTTTATATCAGTTGATCAGTCTTCTTTCATGAATGAATGTGCATTCTGTATGGATTTGGGATTAAGTTAACAAAGAGCTGACATCCATATGACACCTGTGGCATGAAGGAGGGGGTGTCATACACTGGACACCCGGCATACAGAGGATGGTGTTACATACTGGACACATGTCATGTAGGAGAGTGTGACATGCACTGGACACCTGGCATACAGAGGATGGTGTTACATACTGGACACATGTCATGTAGGAGAGTGTGACATACACTGGACACCTGGCATACAGAGGATGGTGTTACATACTGGACACATGTCATGTAGGAGAGTGTGACATACACTGGACACCTGGCATACAGAGGATGGTGTTACATACTGGACACAAGTCATGTAGGAGAGTGTGACATACACTGGACACCTGGCATACAGAGGATGGTGTTACATACTGGACACATGTCATGTAGGAGAGTGTGACATACACTGGACACCTGGCATACAGAGGATGGTGTTACATACTGGACACAAGTCATGTAGGAGAGTGTGACATACACTGGACACCTGGCATACAGGATGATGGTGTTACATACTGGACACATGTCATGTAGGAGGTGTGACATACACTGGACACCTGGCATACAGAGGATGGTGTTACATACTGGACACAAGTCATGTAGGAGAGTGTGACATACACTGGACACCTGGCATACAGAGGATGGTGTTACATACTGGACACATGTCATGTAGGAGAGTGTGACATACACTGGACACCTGGCATACAGAGGATGGTGTTACATACTGGACACAAGTCATGTAGGAGAGTGTGACATACACTGGACACCTGGCATACAGAGGATGGTGTTACATACTGGACACATGTCATGTAGGAGATTGTGACACACTGGACACCTGGCATACAGAGGATGGTGTTACATACTGGACACATGTCATGTAGGAGAGTGTGACATACACTGGACATGTTAATCAGGACGTAGTGTCTTTCACTGGACACATGTCTTGCTGACTCCACCACACACCTGTGGCATGCAGGTGAGGGTTTCATACACTTGATATTTGTAATGAGTGAGTGAGTGAGTTTAGTTTTATGCTGCACTCAGCAATATTCCAGTTATATGTCAGTGGTGTGTAAATACATGTAGTCTGGACCAGACAATCCAGTGATCAACAGCAAGAGCATCAACCTATGATGACATGTGTCAAACAAGTCAGTGAGGCTGACAACCCAATCCGGTTAGTTGCTCCTTACAACTAGCATGGGTTACTGAAGATCAGTTCTAACCTGGATCTTCACGAGTCTGTCATGCAAGAGAGGAAGATATGTACATGTATATATACACTGGACAACTGTCATGGAGCAGTGGCCGGGTGTCATACCGTGGACACCTGCAGATACTGATGTGTTTTAGATAAGTGACTTGTGAAGGCCGTCTGGGATATAGAAGGGACTGTTCATAATTTATGGCTGTGTGTGTGCGCGTGTGTGTGATAATGATTTTTATGGTTTAACGTGGACAATATGAATGACCCCCCACTAAAATTTATGTACAAAGTAGGTGATCCCCTGCATGTCATGTACAACATCAATGACTACCCCTCTCCCCCATATTTTTAGCATTATTTTAAAATATTTTTTTGTCCAATTGCTGACCCCCCTCGTAAATGTGTACAAAATTTATGACCTCCCCAAAACAAAATGGGTGAAACACCTAATTAAAATCAACATCACCATCCCCCGGCCATAAATTATTAAATATTTGTAAACAAACCGGGGTGGACGGACAAATCATTTTGTTTCAGTCAGCGAAAGAACAAGAATACATGTGTACATTCTCAAAAGAGAGAAAGCACAGGTCATCTTTTAAAATACATAAACATGTCAAACATATTGTTGGGAAGCTTTCAATGACATACAAATCGTCGCAAAAAGAACACTGAACGTACGTGTGTACAGCGAGAATGTACGAATATGTACATCAAACTATACATGCCTGCGATACAATAACGGGGGAGTATTGCATATTGTAATTAAATCATTCCTTCGTCATATACACTATTGTGTACTGCATATCTGCAAAGAATGGTTGATTTCCAAACTTTAGTCGCTCTGTCGGCTTGGAAACGTGTCAATGTTTACTAAATGAAATGTTATCGTCTGCTCACGCGGGAAACTACCAACTCCACCCTGACTCGTGTGTCTAAGCCAATCAAAATATAGCGATCGTGGCCTAACTCCTCCTGTTGACTCTGTTCAACTTTCTATGACCTTTAAACTATCGTAAACCAACCAATCAAAGAAACGAACATGCGTTCTCCACGCCGAATCGCGCGGGAAATGGAACATTTGCCATTCAGAAACAACAACAGACTGAAAGATATCATCGCGGCCATAAATGGGTCTTAATCGGAAATAATTTGAAGAAAGTTTAACTGACAATACGCTGAGCACATATTTTGACGATGGAAAACTTTCAGAAAATTGAGAAGATTGGTGAAGGAACATATGGAGTGGTATACAAAGCGAGAGACAAAATCAACAACCGGCTTGTGGCCTTGAAGAAGATACGCTTGGATGCGTAAGATATTACTTGTTTTTGGTGTCATTAGTGACATATTAGATATTATAACATTTCGATGTTTGTGAATGATCATGATGCAACTTGCAAGTATGTATACGATGATTGGTTTGCTGTGCATGTAGAAATGTCGGAAAGCGATTGTCACTTTCGTTGACAGACGACAGAATATTGTTAATTCGTCTGAATGACAGTACCGCATTACACAGACCTAGACGGAAACACAGACAGTTAGATTTCAATGTTGTCAAATCCAATATGACAGTTGAATGATTTTCTCAAGTTACTTTATCAAAGATTTATTCTTTCTGTAAATGCCTTGTCAAATAAATAGTTATAGAACGATCAATATGAAAAGAACTTTTCACTAACATTTTGACATTATGTGTTATTTTGCTTGAAAATGTCCATGGTCTTCTACTGTTTAACCCAAATGACAAACTCATGACTGGATATAGTTTTAGCTCTGGATATGGTTTTAGTTCCAAGGATCTCTCCATGGCATGTAATGTCACATAAATCATGTAGATGTATGATGATTGATGATCTTATTGTATCTTTAGTGAATCAGAGGGTGTTCCAAGCACAGCTATCCGAGAAATTTCCTTGCTGAAGGAACTGGATCATCCAAATGTAGTGAGGTAGATATGTTTTCTCGTGACGCTTCAAATCTCAGGATGCTCATCCTTGACACTAATTTGAATGTGAATGTTACAAGATGTACTGGCTAGCGACCAGTTATCGCCAACACCTGGCTGAGGCGCTTGCACAGAGAGCTTGACTTGTACTTCTGTCGTATTTCACACATTGACACATCACAAAAGCGATAGGCTACAAGAGTTCAAATCAAGCTGTCTGCGCAAGCACTACATCCAGGTGTTGGCGATAACTGGTACGCGGTGATAACTGGTCGCTAGCCAGTAGTCATGCATAAGATATAGGTGGCACATGCAGTCAAACACTGTGATGTTGAAGTTTGACATGTCAAACATTGGGTTTACTTGCAGTAAACCTGTGCCTGCACATTCTTTCTTTGTTTATTATTTTTGGGTATTTTGAACCTTGAATAACTCAGATTATTTTCACAGGTCCCTCCTACTTTGATAAAGCAGTGTTTGACTGTAGTTAAATAAGGATGAGTCTTTGATGACTTGATGCAACTTCAATTTCTTTTTGTTTTCCAGGTTGTTGGATGTTGTCCACAGTGAGATGAAGCTTTACTTGGTGTTTGAGTATTTAAATCAAGATTTGAAGAAATACATGGACTGTGCCCCATCAGCAGGCCTATCACCAGCTCTTATCAAGGTATTGATGTAAATTTGAATCGTCGAAATTTAAGGATTTTAGTCTAGGGGCATTTGGGGTGGGGTGGGGTGTGTGTGTTATTGACCCCCAAAAGATACAATTGACCATCCATGTGTGAGCAATATGGATCCCTTGGTCCTTTATCCCCAAATCTGACCAATCACCTTTATCAACAGTGGCTTCTGTTACTGCTCATGATAAATACTGTATTGACACATTGTGAGGATGAAAGCTAGACAAATATGGATGGATTGCAGATTACAACCATATCAAAAATGCCAGCAGACCTTACAGTGGGCTCACATGATTAAATGTTACAGTTCTTTATCTATTCAATCTCAGAAATGTTCTAAAGATAATTATACTTCTGTTTATCTGAAGCACTGCTAGTCATTATTCTATCTTTGTTCTTGTGATGGATATGATCGTCAGGATAGATGTTCTTTGGATAAGATTTACAAAGTAGGATAAGCACCCTTTTAACATTAAGGATCAGCACAGATTTAGGTTCAAGCAAATGGGTATACCAGTTTCAGGATGTTTTCATTGGAATGGGAATCAGACTTTGTTAATTTCACCAATTTGCACTGATATAGATAAAATGTGTCAGGTAGTATTAATTTAGATTTTTTTAGGAAGCAGTTTCTAATATTGGAACATGAACAAGCTTATTGCCCCATGTGATTTATGAAATGTGTATGAATACAATATGTTGTATCACAAGCTTAAACAAGAGTCATCAGAAGATGACATATCCCCCCGGCCCCCATATCTTTGAAAGAACAAATCATCTGACAGTTACTTCAAGTCCAGCTTGATTTTAGACTAAGTGCAAATCGTTTCCATGGAAATCATGAAAAAAATAAATGACAAAAATCTGGAAATAGCAAAAGGCATCACTTCAAGATCTGCCTCATATATCTGCCAAGTTTTACTGAAAGATATTAAGAAGTTCTTGAGTTGTGCTCCGGAAACGAAACCTACCCGCCCTTTTGAGACTATAAGGCTGAATCGTTTCCATGGAAACCGAGAAAAATAAAATGACAAAAATCTGCAAATAGCAAAAGGCACCACTTTGGGATCTGCCTCACATATCTGCCAAGTTTTGCTGAAAGATATTAAGAAGTTTTCAAGTTGTGCTCCGGAAACAAAACCCACCCCTCCCTTTTGGGACTAAGTCCGAATCGTTTCCATGGAAACCGAGAAAATAATATATCACAAAAATCTGTAAACACCACTTAAGGTTCTGTTTGATATATCTACCAAGTTTTGTTGAAAAGTATTGAACGTTTCTTGAGTTATGCTTCGGAAACGAAGCCCACCCCTCCCTTTTGGGACTAAGTACGAATCGTTTCCATGGAAACCGGGAAAAATGAAAATGCCAAAAATCTGCAAATAGCAAAAGGCACCACTTTAGGATCTGTTTGCTATATCTACCAAGTCTTGTTGAAAAATATTGAACGGCTTTTGAGTTATGCGCCGGAAACGAAGCCCACCCCTCTTTAAGACTAAGTCCAAAACGTTTCCATGGAAACCGAGAAAAATTAAAATGACAATAATCTGTAAATAGCAAAAGGCACCACCTTAGGTTATGTTTGACATATCTTCTAATTTTTGATGACAAATATTGAACGGTGTTTGAGTTATGCTCCGGAAACAAAATGATTACGGAAGGACGGGGTGACGACTATATCCCACCGCATTACATGCCGGTGGGATAAAAATATATGGCTTTTTTTCTCATTTTGGCAGTATTTGTTGATTAGATTATGTCATTAGTAAAAAATGGGGGCAAATAGAGATGTGAGACGTTTGTAAATATTAGATATCAAGAACGATTCAAATTCTTCGGCCTCTGCAAAGTGATATATTCCTATAAGTCCAAATATGGCTGTTATTCAACCTGAGCCTTTGTGTTGGGATGGTTTGTATACTTGCTGCCATGGTTACAGAGTTACCTGCATCAGCTGCTGCAAGGAATCGGCTACTGCCACTCCCACCGAGTCCTGCACAGAGATTTGAAACCACAGAACCTCCTCATTGATACAGAGGGAAACATCAAACTAGCCGACTTTGGTCTAGCCCGTGCCTTCGGTGTGCCAGTGCGAACTTACACACATGAGGTAAATCGGTAGGGGTAGGCATTGCAGAGAACATTCATATTGCGATATATTACGATGCGAAAGCATGACTTCCGGTGTGAAAAACAGAAATACCCGAAGATTTCCGAGTGTTACGAAGTTTTTGGAACGCATGTCGGAAAATACCGGTTTTCGATCAGCGTATCGCAATACGTATCGTTTTCATGCCTGAACCGGTAAACCGGATATATCGCACAGCCCTGTTTGGTAGGGTTGAAAGAGACAGGGCTATATAGCATGTAGAGGATGTTTCTTCTGTCTTATATTACACAGTGATGGCAATTTTCCGTGGAGTTCCGCCAAATTTTGTTTCAAATTGATCAATTCTGTGAATCGTCTAAATCTGTTGAATCCCCCTCACCCCCCTCAATTTGATGACATAATATTAAGTTTTCAGCTGAAAATTGATTTTCCTGTTGCCATCCTTGATTACAGCATTCGATATCCATGTATTCTGCCTTCACTGTTGCTCTAACTAGTTTGTCAAAATGTACCAAATGGTTGCAAAAACATTAATGGAAAAAGGAAGTAAGCTACAGATTTTATTTGCTCCATTTTAGTAAGCTTTGACATATTATCTTTTAATTCTTAAGATGGAATATTCAAACATAATATCATTAACCAAAAAATTCATGAAATATGTACAATTCAACCAGTTTCTACTTATATTGTGTTATGGCTTATACCACCACCAGTGTTACTGTATGGAGGTACAAATCATATGGCAAGACTATTCTATACTATACTATGGCCAGACTATTTTGAGATATCATGAAAATGATGGATCAAGTTATGTTATAATCTGACCTAGTGACAATGATAGTTCTATCGCTTGCTTTGCCCATGACACTCCTTTGCCAGGGGATCATATATTTCTGATACATTCCTTATGTAGAGATTATCACTTACTTGAGCCATAATCATGATTAGTATTCACATCCTTAAGAACTTCTGCATGTTGACTTTTGTTTTGAGCTATATCAGATAGTGGGAAACATTGATGGTGTACCTTGCACTATCAGTTGGACTACCTAGCCTTGAGAGTATGAGATTATTTGGCTTTGATATGCATCACTGATGATTATTGTTTCAACAGGTGGTCACGCTGTGGTATCGAGCCCCTGAAATCCTTCTTGGTAGCAGATTCTATTCAACCCCAGTTGATGTATGGAGTCTGGGCTGTATCTTCGCTGAAATGGTACACTCAATCACTCAGCTCTTCTGACAGTTCCTGTTCAATAACAAGGGGAAACTACTTATATTCATGTCATTGATAACAAATAGACAACCAAATTATGTACAACATTACGTTAAGACAGTTTAACAATAAAATTTGAGCTGCTGATGTCATGTTAAAAAGCAGCATTATAGTTGGTTATGTATAAATAATAATTGAATCCTAAACAACTGACCTGTGCCTTGAGGGAGAGGGCCTCGAGGAAGCAACATAGGTTCAGTCTGCTACTATGGGCTGGATACTAATGTCTGTTAACCTACTTGTCCTTTGTTTGTATAGATCACTCGGAGAGCACTGTTCCCTGGGGATTCAGAAATTGATCAACTTTTTCGTGTTTTTCGTACATTAGGTGAGTTTGCTCAGCTGGTCAGAGACCGGTAATCTCATACTTATGTATATCCTGGCATCTCTCATATATTAGATATTTGTTCAAATATCTTTGTATGCTTCTTCAATGGAGCACAGAAACCTATGAAATCAGGGTGAACTTTGAGGCTTAGTTTACCAAGGTTCAGTCTGCTTTTCAAATTCCAAAACTTCATGTACTTTCTTACTGAAATGATTAGAATATGTTTTTATCAACTTTTCATGGGGCATTCTTTTTGATGATCTCCAACTGTGTTGAACATCTCAAGGACATTTTATATGACAATCAGCTTCTTAGTAAGAGGAGAATCAATTTGAAACAAGCAAGGAAGGATAACAATATATGGAATATAGGATGAAATAATTTCTTTATTATAGTAGGAGCAAGGTTTCTAAAAAACAAGAAATGTCTCACCTACTGTAATAAAGAAGTTGTAATCCATGTATTGTTACCCTTCCTTAATGATCCAACTTCTAAATGCTTCTCAAAGACATTTGAAACAACCAATTGATTTCCACTCTTCAGGAACTCCTGATGAGACAGTCTGGCCAGGAGTCACACAGCTTCCAGATTTCAAGTCCTCATTTCCTAAATGGGCTCATCGGAACGTTGGGTCTGTTGTTCCAAATTTGGTTGCTGAAGGAACTGATTTGCTGGCAGTAAGTGAAAAGACACTCCTTAATAATTTCTTACAGTAGTTGTGACAGTAAAACAGGCTGAACATGACATGATTTGTGAATGTGGATTAATAATCTCTTTAATGCCCTCTGCTTTTCTGTTTCAGCAAATGCTGTGTTATGAACCAAGCAAACGAATTTCTGCTAAGACAGCTCTGCACCATCCATACTTCATGGGAGTTGAAAGACAGAAGCCGGCATCCATGATTAACTGAACATAATCCATTACCGAACATATGTTTACAGCTAAGTCTTCATATTGCATGCAAAACAGTATGTTTAATCAGTTGAGACAATATTGATGAATAATGTTTATAAGGCTAATACTGACTTAACTTCAAATGTCAAGGCTTTTGAGAGCCCTGTATGCTGGTAAGAGCATTTTCTGTTTATATACATGTCCTTATACCAATATGCTATGTGGCTTTATTTATTTTACAACTATTGGATATGCAACTAAATTCAGAAATGATGCTTTTGTAGCTTGTGGGTATGAGAGGTATGGGTAGGTGGTGCTGGAATTTTCTTGCAAGATTTTATGTGCTACTATTTATTTTGGGCTAACATGCTTCTTACCAAAACACAATTTCAATGTGAACCATATGGTTTTATATCATTTAAGATATGTTCTTTTTTAGTATTGGCATTCATTACACTATATTTTCGTTGTTTTTGTGACAGTTAATAGCTTGCAAAAGAAATTGTAAAACATTTGTCTACATGCCCCCTCCACCATCCATAAACATCCCATATGCATAGTTCAGTGTATGACAAAGATGATTTCTCAGTAGAACATTACTTTTCATAAGTTGTCTGAATGAAGTCATCAATGATTGTCACGAGATATGGACTCCTTTATCCAGCTCTTTTGGAACTTGTGTAATCATACATATTTATTACTGAAATATAGTGCAGGTAAGTTAAAGTAATTTTTCAATCATCTTTTAGTGCTAATCATTTGCACAGAGAGCACTAGTGGAAGTATTGATGTCAGACCTCGGCTGTTGTAGTTACTCTGTATCAGCTGAGTATGAGTGAATGAGTTGAGCTTTGAACAGTATTTCAGCTACACCATGTTGTGTCAGCCTGAAGTGATGCAGGTCACAGACCTTTACTGTTTTGATGAAACATGGTATCATTTTAACAAACTTAAAACAAGCATAGGGCAAGCCCTGATTTGAACCTACAGTCATAGGTTTCTGGTACCCTCAAGGGAAACACCCTGAGAATTGTGGCACCATAGATAAATGGGCCATCTGTTCCCCCCATCTGCTGATGAGTGTCATGTCAGTTGAGCATGTTGAATCTTGGTCTCGCAGGAGAGGAAATGCATATTTTTAGACACTACTGTACACTATTTATGGAGGCTGAGAAACAACATGCTCTGCTGTGGTGACAGTAACATGTTTATGTTGTGCAATACATTATGTTGTAGAAGGTGCTGACTTTAGATGTACATTAGTGTTGTATCGTGATACTCAAGGTACAAGGCTGTAATATTTTATGTAAAAATGACCTCATTCAACAAAGAGCCTTGCACGCCAGGGCCTAGATTTTCGAAGCTCTCTTAGCGCTAAGATTATCGTAAGTTAATGTTAATGCATGGCACTTACGACTATCTTAGCGTTAAGAGAGCTTCGAAAATCTAGGCCCAGTTCTTAAGTTTTACTGAATCTGTCACAGGACTAAAACAGCTGTTGCAAACTGCCCTTTTAATGTTCTTTGGTTTGTGTCATGTTTACCTCAAATATTCCATATTAAATTACGGTAAATATGTTGTGACCATGGATTGATGTGTTGGGACTAGGGCAGAGAGCAGTGTCAGTGGGAGTTGTGACGGTCAACACGAACCAGTCAGCACCTGTCGCTTGTCATGTTGTGAGTGGGTTTTTACACTCATCAAATTAAAGGTTTTTAGAATTCTTTTTCATATTTTAGTAAGATGTGTGTTTGATTTTTGTGGCTGTACTAATTGAACATTTCATGATTATTGCAGATTAACTTGATTTTGTGTAAAGGAAATCCAGGTGTTCTGATGGATAGGGTGTCAGACCAGGTTACAATGAAGGTAGACTAGTTCACGCCAGATTGGTTTTGAAACTATGTGTTGTATATCTTTAGCTTACCAGTGTTTACTGCTTTGTGTTTTTGCTTGCCTTTTTCATTGGTTACAAAAAAGGTTATTATCCCCCACAACGCATTTTGCGGGGGGTATTAAAATGGACTCCGTCCGTCCGTCCGTGCACATTTGTCTTTTCCGGAGCAGAACTCTAAAACCGTTCAATATTTCTTCACCAAACTTTGCACATACATGGATGTGGTGGTGTACTGGTGCCTTTTGGTAGTTTTGGAATTCTGAATAAAATATTTTTGGCGTTTCCATGGCAACAAGTTCGACTTAGACTGAAATTGGTGGTAGTGCTCTTTTCCGGAGCAGAACTCTAAAACCGTTCAATATGTCTTCACCAAACTTGGCACATAGATAGATCTGGTGGTGTACTGGTGCCTTTTGGTAGTTTTGGAATTCTGAATAAAATATTTTTGGCGTTTCCATGGCAACAAGTTCGACTTAGACTGAAATTGGTGGTAGTGCTCTTTTCCGGAGCTGAACTCTAAAACTGTTCAATATGTCGTCACCAAACTTGGCACATAGATAGATCTGGTGGTGTACTGGTGCCTTTTGGTAGTTTTGGAATTCTGAATAAAATATTTTTGGCGTTTCCATGGCAACAAGTTTGACTTAGCCTGAAATTGATGATAGTGCTCCTTTCTGGAGCAGAACTTTTAAACCCTTTCAATACTCTCATAATCATGAAGAGTATTTTGCCATTGAGGGGGATATTGATGACTTTGTCTTCTTGTTTCATATACATATGAAGATACTGCAGATATCAGTGTATGAAATAAGGCCCGTCCGACCGCCTTAGATTTCTGTTGGTCTACATTTATAGCAAGCCAGTCAGATAATTTTTTTAGATGTTCCATACATTTGAGTAAATTCATCTTATCTTGGTGTCTGGTCTGGTTAAATCCATGTTGGGCTGGTAACATTTTGAAGTTACCAGCCCTGATGTCTGGCTGGGTTTTTGGCTTATTTCATACACTGCAGATATATACCTTGTTTCCTGTGGACATGAGAATCACCTGTGTAAACCCGGTATGAAAAAAGACACATTTGATATTGTGAAGTCAATAATTGTGTATAATAGAAATCACAAGTGCTAATTATCATGCTAATCATTGTAATTAATAAGAAAAGCGAAATATTAGTTTTTGGTGCAAATGGCATGTGCTGTAGGCAAGTGTAGCTGTTTTACAGGATGTGTTTTATGTATATATATATATATATATATTCTTTTTATGCCTAGTCCTATGGAAGCATTTCTTCATTGCATGGTTGTATTTTAGGTTTTGATCTACTTGGTTTTAACATGCTTTTGTCAGGTTCATCATGTAGAAATTCTCAGAAATGGTGAGAAAAAGGTTTGCTTTTTGATAGATTAGTGATGCATCCATTCATACAAACCTGGGTTCCCTTACCTAATGCACCTGTAGCACCAAAACTGTAGTAAGTGTGAAGTATTGAAAATTGGATAGTCACAGGATAGCGATAGCGCTACTGTTGCTTTAGGAAACGGACCCAGTTTGCGTATGACTTGAAATCAGAAGATTATTAATTCATTTGATTGTTTGGAACTACAGCTTATTTGTTGCTGTGACAGTTTCAGAGCCGAGCTGGTTTTAAATAGTTAAGATTTATCTGTAGATGTTCCTTATTTTCATTATGGAATCTTCTTTCTAACAGCAATACTTGCAATAAGAGTGTCCTACAATGCTGTGAGAGCGTAGCCTTTGTTGGCAGCCATACTTTCCTGTCTGATCCAGCCTTGTGTTCTCTATTTGAACCTGTTATTTGATGACATTTTAATTGTTCTTTCGAGTACACTGTTGCCAGCTAGGCTGAGGGTGATCAGTATGTAAATTATTCATTTTATTCATGTTACATTTAATCCTTACCTGTAGATTCAGGAAATTTAATTATTTTAATAAATATCATGCAAATTATAACTTTCTATTGTGTTGTGTTGTATTGAAGAGCAAAACCTTTGATCATGTCAAGAGAGGTCCATTGAATATCGGTGCTCATGATGTCAATCACTGGATTGACTCGATTATATACAGACTGCTGTGGTAAAGCCGGAATATTGCCGAGTGCTGCCTTAAAGACCAACAAAGCAAATACACCATTTCGTGAATTGACATTTATTTGTAATTTCAAAGATGTACATAAGGATGTGTTTACATTTACATATGTATATTAAGACTTTACTGTTCATTGCTATTTTTATCAGCAAGTAAACAGGTATGAATTCCCTGAGACTGCTTTTAAAGATAGAGTTATGATGCAAGGGAGTTGCATTCTCGTTCATCGGCAGCCTCAGTCACTTTCACCGTATCGGTCATTGACTGCGACGTCTTTTCTGCCTTACGACGTTTCTTGTTGGCTCTCCTCTGCCGCTTCACTTTCTGCTCACCTTCGAACTGAGAGACATAACATGTCAGCAGCTGGATTCAAGGGTAAGGATCATGGAAATGTCCCGAGTACCCACGTACATCTCTTATACTGTCTCAGTTCTGCTTTCGAACTGACAAATTGCATGCCGGTTAACTGCAAAGGGGCCGACTATGTCTGTGCATGTGCGCCCAGGATGCATGTCATATTTTCGGAATATTATCTCTGCTAGTGATTGGTTGTCTGATTGGTGACCCTTGACTGATTCTTTCCCATATTAAAGTACCAGTCAGTAATTCGAAGTCAGCTGAATTTCAAGACAAGCTGTGTTGATATTTTGGCCTCAGATCACTTATCTCCGATTGTATTTTTAACACTCTGTGTCTTACATTATAAACTGACCAGCAAAAAAAGGTAAACATCGGAATTAGATCAATATTATTTTCACACACATTTTTATCCCCCTGCATGTAATGTGGGGGGATATAATGAATCATTTTGTTTCCAGAGCATAACTCAAAACCGTTTCTCGTCCGCCTTTCTGTCCGTCCGTAATCATTTTGTTTCCAGAGCATAACTCAAAAACCGTTCAATATTTTTCAACAAAACTTGGTAGATATATCAAACAGATCCTTAAGTGGTACCTTTTGCTATTTGCAGATTTTTGACATTTTTATTTTTCCCGGTTTCCATGGAAACGATTCTGACTTAGGCCCAAAAGGGAGGGGTGGGCTTTGTTTCCGGAGCATAACTCAAGAACCGTTCAATATTTTTCAACAAAACTTGGTAGATATATCAAACAGAACCTTAAGTGGTGCCTTTTGCTATTAGCAGATTTTTGGCATTTATTATTTTCTCGGTTTCCAAACGATTCGGACTTAGTCCCAAAAGGAAGGGGTGGGCTTCGTTTCCAGAGCACAACTCGAAAACATCTTTATCTTTCAGCAAAATTTGGCAGATATATGAGACAGATATTGAATTGGTGCCTTTTGCTATTTACAGATTTTTGTCATTTATATTTTTTTTGGTTTCCATGGAAACGATTCGACTTAGTCCCAAAAGGGATGGGTGGGTTTTGTTTCCGGAGCACAACTCGAAAACCGTTTAATACCTTTCAATAGAACTTGGCAGATTTATGAGTCAGATTTTGAAGTGGTGCCTTTTGCTATTTACAGAGTTTTGGCATTTATATTTTTCATGATTTCCATGGAAACGATTTGGACTTAAAAAGACATCAAGCTGGACTTTAAGTAACTGTCAGATGATTTGTTCTTTCAAATATGTGGGGGCCGGGGGATATGTCATCTTCTGATGACTCTTGTTATTTATCTTGAAATGTCTAGAGCAACGATTCTCTAGACCCAGCCAACGTGTGGATGGCTTTAGGTCCGTGCATTTAGAAGATTATTTTCGCACTGTAAAAACAGGTGACAGGACTGACAATACTCTGACTCCACTTTTGCCCTATCCGTGTCGTTCCCCACACCTGTCGCCCACAGAACACCGTTTGGACCACTTGGATATCTCAGGAAGTGACGACACCACCGAAAAACTTTGAGCTGAAATTAGCCTCAGACGTGTGGAACCGGATGCCAAATCCCGCCTGAAATCATCTCCGTGTCATGGAGGATTTGGCTGCATGACAACCCAGGGAGGTCACATACACCATTCTGAAATTGTATACGGCTGCTTTCAAGAACGTCTTCCATTGTGGTTTCACAAAGATATTGAACATGTAAGGTCTTTCTCTGACCCAATGATTAATTTCCTATAAATGATCAAACCTATGCAGACTTGGTGACCCCAGCTCAATAATCAGATTCTTTTTTGTTATCAACAATGTTTACCGAATAATCAATTACGTCATGAAGTAGTGTGACGTGATTGTATGGTTTGTGCTGAATTCTCAAGTTGTACTGGTTCTGTCGCATCATCGTCTTGTCATCAACAAGACAATACACAATAGTTTGGTGTGTGACTTCTTGCCGGCTAATTCCAATGCTTACTTTCTTTAGCTAGTCAGTTTATATGTCCAGTAAACTATACTGAGTCAAACAAGAAACTTCACAATCATATATTAGATAATACATAAAAGAAAGGACACAAGAATGTGGTATAGTGGTTATCATTTATTTGTTAAGGTCGATAGGATAAAGTGAGAATAATCACAATGCCAATAGTCGGTTCCATGTGGTAGTCACAAGAAATTAAATCTGATGTTTCAAACGTTCAGTAGCGTGTGTGGCCTCCCCGTGCGTTCACAACTACCAAGCAACGCCTCCTCATGGACTGTCTGATGGGTGTACACATTATTGGGGAGTCAGTGCCATTGTTCCTGCAAAGCAGCACCAATATCCTGCAAATTCTGTGATTGGTTCCTGAGAGTGCACAGATCTTTACCATGAGCATCCCAGATGTGCTCGATTGGATTGAGATAAGGTGACCTTGACGGCCAGTCAAGAAAGTTGATTCCTGCGTTCTGCAGGTAATTTCAGGTCAAGTTGGCTGTATGGGGTCTGCCATTGTCATGTTGAAAGTACAGACCTGGACCATGTGCTGCCATGAATGGAATAAGTTCGGGGGCTAGCAACTGGTCGCGGTAAACTGCAGCATTAAGATTCCTACGGAACGGGCAATTCCACAGAATGCACCGTCGCCTCCACACTCTCATCCTACCATAAGCGAATCTGAGGGTAAATCTTGATTCTGAAGACAACTCGATTCCAGTCTCTCTGTGTCCATCGGAGTTGTCGTCTATGTAATGGCGTCAAAATGGTTCCGCGATATGGTCGTCGAACACGAAGGTGAACAGCTCGCAGCCGGTTTCGGATGGTTTGAGAAGCCATCGACCCCCTAGAAGCTCGTTTCTGGTTCCTGTACCCGTCAAAATTCAAAAGGAACGATTAAGGAGGTGACGATTAAGGAGGTGACGTAACAATTTGACGGTCCTCCGCCTGTGACGTCACCAGGGCCGTAGGGAGCAGGGGGGGGGGGGGGAGCTGCACCCTAGAATCTTTTAACAGATTAATTTTTGTGCATCGAACTATTGATATAACACTGTTTTAAAGTGGATGGTGGCGCCCCACCACACGTGGTCGACATGGCCTAGGGCGATGAGCAGTGGTGCCAGTTTGTTCAGTCGAGTCTGTAAATCATGAACAGTCGGACAGCTGCACCCTATTGTTCCTGCAACGTCACCTATTACTGACGTTCCCGCTTCCAGCATGCCAACGGCTGCACATTAATTCGAAAGGCGTGGCATAAGAATTGGCTGTCCTTGTTCGTGCTCTAAAGTGACTTTTCACTTTGTACAGTTGATGGGAACATGTCCCATCGAATGCACGTGCAATGATAAGATCACGTGACCAGTGGCACGTACAAAACACGTTTTAGCACTATTATGGGTGCACGAGTGAGTGAGTTTAGTTTTACGCCGCACTCAGCAATATTCCAGCTATATGGTGACGATCTGTAAATAATCGAGTCTGTACCAGACAATCCAGTGATCAACAGCATGAGCATCGATCTACGCAAGTGGGAACCGATGACATGTGTCAATCAAGTCAGCGAGCCTGGCTACCCGATCTCGTTAGTCGCCTCTTACGACAAGCATGGGTTACTGAAGATCAATATTCTAACCCGGATCTTCACGGGTTGTGGGGTGCACGATGTCTGGATTGACTTCAATGTGCTGTGGTGACTGTTTTCTTGAGTCGGTACTTGGTGATTAATATTATGATACCCGAAAACTGTCTTATATAACAATTCATATTTTTATTTACAAATATAAATTGTGAAGTTTATTATTTTGACTCAGTATAGTTTCTTTATACATATGAAACAATACAAATCAAGAACATACCCTTGCATCCAGCATGTCGTTTTTAAATCGTAACTCTAAAATCTCGGCTTCCTTGATATCGATGATCTTCTCCAGTTGCTTGGATTTTTCTGTAAGCAATACATTATCTCATGTTTACATATGATACACAGTAAGAAAAGCTTCAAACATTAAGACACTGACTGAGACCCAATATTTTAATCTCTACTCAAAGAAATATCGCAGTCCCATCTGTTTTCGCATTATACGTTCAGAAGGTCTCGTGGTCTCTGTACGAAAACATTGAAACTAAAGTATTGTACGAGTGATCCGTCAAATCGTATACCGTGCCAGAGGTAGCAATCCTTCAGAGCGTTGACCTTCAGCGTGTCGTACCGTCGGAACTCGTAGTCGAAGTATTGGTGCATGTTGCGTGCCCGGGACTCCACTTCCGCTACCACAGTCGACCTGGACACATGGACAGAAAGTTGAACTTTATTGGTCGTCCATGTTGCGTTGTAGGTCTACAAATGTTGATCTTTCATTGGCATTCCAGAAGTTGGAGAGTCCGTAATGCCCGTACAACTTTATGGATGACAACTTTTTGTTCATTGCATAGAGCGATGGTAGTTTCGGTGTAGATTCTAAACAGTTATCAAGCAAACAATCTACAACGAACGTCGCTCTTTGCAATAAACAAGAAGTTGTCATCCATAATGTTGTATGCTTCATTACATACTGATCAGTTATTTGTTATATGACAAGATCATCATGGGGGTCTTAGCCTGTTTTACCCTTACTTTACACGTGATGTTGGATGTCAAGGGTATAATAATAATAATAATAATAATAATTGATTTATAGAGCGCCTATTTCCAAAAGATATTGCTCAATGGCGCTATGAAAAGAAAGATATCAAGGAGATAAATTTGTTTCCCCTTCTGATATCCATATATGCTCCTTTTCTGGATCCACTTGCACAAATACATCTCGGCGACAGTTGTGCGAATTACGATCACTGAATTAAGATCGCTTTGTGCAAGTGGATCCTGTGCATAGGCTTGCGATGTACTGCGATCAAAATTATTGTCCTTGTCAATTTTAAGCTTGTATGGGTATGTCTGAAAACACACATTTGTATTAAAAATATTCTCCTAGGTAAAAGTTCATTATTGTTTTTCTATCTGCATCTATTATTTTTAACATCATCATATATACCTGTACATATCCAGTGACATACAGATTAAGGCCTGTCCGTCAGAAACATATCCTTTAACTGTCCCCGGGTGGAAGGTGAAGGCGAAATGGCCCGACTTCCTCTCCTGTAGGTTTATTATTCTTCCCATCTGACCTTCTCCTACTCTTCTTCTTCTTCCTGCCCTGCTTGTCAGATTTCAACAGTGGCTTGTCTTTATATGTTGGTTCCTCTCTGATACCATCATATGGATCACCTGAGTTTGGAGAAACCGATCATGAAACAATACGGTCATGTCAATCTCTTTCTCTCACAGAATGAATGAACACAAGTACATGTATATAGTCTGATATGAAGTATCGAAAAAGGCTCTTCACGACATTTCTTTCAACTGCAATTAAAATGATTATAACATGACAGAGACGTTTACTCACTAATTCCAAAAGTGTCACCCTCATCGTTCATGGTTGCCGAAAGAAGAATCCGATTGACATACAGATCAAGGGCATGTTCGTCAACAGGGGGGTTTCACTTCATCATCATCCTGTGATCCTTCATCATCATCGCTGTTGTAGGTGACGTTGGTAAACTCCCACGACGGAGCCGCGAGGGGAAGTTTCCTTCGCGTGTATAGGGTAGCATTTCCAGTCGAGAAAACAAATGAATCCGGTTTATCTGGAGCTTGATTTTCGCTTTGTGTACTCCCTGGAGGAGTACCAATCGTATCTGGGCGGAGAGTTGGTTCTGGATCTCAAAGCGGTATTTATGATAAAAGCCATTTTTCATTCAAAATATAAATCCTTGGTAGGCATCTCTATCAATAATGGAAATCTTTCAGTTGAAATAACAACGTGACTTGCTTTGACATGTGACGTCATGTTGCCTTGAGACGGCCTTTATGACGTCAGTTTCATTGTGACGTCTTTTTTCGACTTGCGATGTATGTTCAGTCATTTCAGCTAATCTCAACTCTCTCCGCCTCTTTCACTAAGTTACAGCAACAGAATGAAACGTTTGCAAAGTTAACCGGGCAAACATATTCGGGCCTACCTTTAGAATACAGCATCACAAACTTTAAAAATACGTCATAATACCCTTTTACGTAATGTAATGTGAAGTTTGAACCGAAAGTGGCAGCGTAAATCTTTCCTCTTGTGTGCACGGCGTCCTTTTCGTTGATACTTCAATAATTGCTCTTTTTGTGTTATTAAAGGTAGAGTTAATTGGTCTCTTAGCCATACATTTCTGGAACTTGCTGCTGTCCCCATGGATACATTGCATATATGGTCTGTGTAGTATAACTGATTGACATAAGATATACCTTCTTAAAATTGAATAAATAGATTCTTTTTCGTCACAGTGGAATGTGAATAACTTATTGGTAGCAGTCGATGTGAATCAACAGACCGATAAACAAAGTTGATGTTTCTCGAGTTTTTAAAACAAATAATCAGAGAATACCCACAAAATACCCGTTCACCATCGACTGATGTCAGACCCAAACTATGCCATCCTTTCATTACCGAACTTCATTCATTACGTGAAAGACTTCATAATCCTCTGGGGCGGATGGGTAGACGAGTGGTTAAAGCGTTCGTTCGTCACGCCGAAGGCCCGGGTTCGATTCCCCACATGGATACAATGTGTGGAGCTCATTTCTGGTGTCCCCCGCCGTGATATTGCGGAAATATTGCTAAAAGCGGCGTGAAACTTTATTCACTCACTCATGATCATCTGTAGAGATGGGTGGAAACCGAACTCTGGTATACAGTGTGCCGTTCATCATCCGCACCGCCATATATGTTTATAGATAGATCCAGTCCCGCGGAAGACGAATCCGGTAATGAAATACACTAAGATTGTTACTGTATGCAGTTGTCAAGTTTGTCATGCTGAAATAAAAATATACATGTATGTTTTACATCTGATTATTTGTTCCAGTCGATTCTTTCATCATATATACTTTTTCACTTTTATGAATCATATAGCAAGACAATGAAACTCACGATAACCGGGGCTAACAATCTTGCCAGTCTGTGAGCGGGTTTAATGTTTGACCGTAGCAACATGACCAGCTGGGGGATTAGGAGTTCTGGATCACTGATTAATGGTGTGCCGTAAGCACATGGTTTATGGTATTACTCATAAAATGTGTCACAAAATAGGATTAATGTACACTGTTCATCTACTGAGTGCGTAATTACTGGTTGCGACCAAAGAAATATCAGTCAGATTGATTCAAGTGAAGGGAGGAGATGAGGACTAATTATATTTCTACATTTTCAAGCGCAGGTGAACACATTTAATGTCGAAAGATATAAAGCAGTGTTCAAAATGATCTTACTTACTTCTCGCAGTCATTATATATGGTCCTGTTCACCATTTATGTTTACCATTTCCATAAAAGGTTGGTACTATGAACAAGGAAGAAATATGAACAAGGAAGACAGTTCTATAGATCAGCAAATATTTTTTACAAAGAATGCGACGTTTCGGTGTAGAGACTGACGCCGTACTCAAGCACTTGTCTCTGAAACGTCGTATTCTTGTGTTATAAAGAAGTTACATCTCCTAAGCAATATCTCCCTTGTTAAACAAACTAAGAACTTGATGACCTTGAGATGATCGATGGCTGTGATTGTAACATTAGGTAGCTATTTCTTTCTTTGAAAATACGGTGCTTTATATTTCTTTGACATACTCGTAAATCGCATTTCCGACACCTGTCAAACCACTGGGTTTATAAGTAGAACATGAGTGTTAGTGATCCAACTTTTCCAAGCAACCACATCTACAGAAAGCGCTCAGCTTATGAGCCCAGCAACAGGTGTAAGGTATTTCATTATCTTTGTCGTCATCGTAACTTATCATGCATGACGTCATATATATAAACTGCATGACGTATACAAAAGAAAATACTCACCTGGTGCTTTGGGCTATTTTGAAAAATAAAACCAATGAAAAGTGATTTGCAAGTCACAATCATTGTGCACGTAATGTTAAAACAACGCAGCTATCCTCTACAGTGGTGTACGTGGATATCAAGTAAATCCTGATTGTGTTGACTCGCACATGCATGTTATGCGCCAACAATATAAAACACAGTCGACTGAGATTGTTAGTGATGTATTACACTCGGGAATATTCCAGCTACTGACGGATGTATGTGAATAACGGAGTCTGGATTAGATAATTCAATGACTGGTTTACACAATTGTAAATACGATATCATGCCTCAGCAAAGACAGTCTGATCACCCGATCCCGTTAGTCTTACGACATGCAGGGGTTCCTGAGGACATATTCTAACCGGGATCTTCACGGGTCTCTGATAAACCTGTGACACTGCCTTAATATGTTTTTGTAACTCTGGGTTAGAACTGATCTTGACCAACCCTTGCCTGTCGTAAGAGGCGACTAACGGGCTAGGGTGGTCAGGATCGCTGACTTGGTTGACACATGTCATCGTATGACAGTTGCGTAGATCGATGCTCATGATGTTGACCACTGAATTGTGTGGTACAGACTCGATTATTTCCAGACCGCCGCCATATAGCTGGAATATTGGAGAGTGCTGCTGTAATCAATAAACAAACAAAACACTTAATAACGGAGTTTCAGTAGCCGTTCTTGTGTCATCAAACATTCTAGTTCTCGCCTAACAAACTAATCTTAGTAGAGTTTAGATATAACAACAGAGGTCGCTGTGTGAATACTGACTTACAAGTGAAAGGGGCGCGTTGGGCCCCCAGGTGTATATAGCCATTCAGTACACGTGAATCATAGAACACATTGTTATCAAATTCTCTCTCTATCATTACACATACACACACTCCAGCATGACAGGCAGACTATTAGAAGTCATAACCCGGCTTTAGTCGTGACTGCCACTCATATTGTACCGAGAGCTTTTCTGTCAACACGCGCTTTGTCACCCCTTAGCAACGCCCGACGCTGGGACGCCATATTGGATCAATACAGTTCAAGTCATGTCGGGGTGAAAGGAACACTGATTCGACATGATGGTGAAATATGTCATAATACGGCAGTAGAACGGCAAGGCAACAACAGCGTTGAGGATGTGTCGGTGGGGATGTACGACGACGAGCACGGTGAGTCAGCCGATTATGGCGGATATACCCATGTGTTATAATCGTGTTATCACACTATCGCCAGTCACCCGTCACTGACGGGTCACACTCCGGCACTGATTGCCAGGACGATGAGACTCTGCACGCAAGGCATCTCCTAGCACAGTGCTGTTTGACCAAGACTTGTATTACATATATTTTACAGTAACAAAACATCTAAAGTAGTTGAGTTGATGACTGTTATATACGATACCGTACTTTGACACAAGGACAGTTTAGCGTGCCCCGGTGTATGGCTAATTTAGGGAGGTGTGCGAAAGAGGGGTGTAACCAGCAATCGAACTGTCGATCAGCTGCAATTGACCATGTCATGACCAGGATCTATATTGCTGACAAGTAAACTATTAAACTGACATCGATACCATTGCAGTGGCGGATCCAGAGGGGGGGTTCAGGGGGTTCGACACCCACCCACCCCTGAAAATGACTTAAGATTACATTGAAGATTTCTTTTTTGCGTTGGCGGAGCCAATGGGGGAGGGGGAGGGGTGGTTGGGTGTTCGACCCCCCTGAACCCCCTCCTTTAAAAATTCCTGGATCCGCCCATGCATTGTACGCTACTGGTTGTGCCTTTCCCTTAATACTTGCCTATAGTGGACCTGTGGTAAGGTATAGCTACATGTATGAAGACATGCTTTATTTGGCTGAGAGATAAAGGGTCATAAGAAACAAGCATGTTATCCCACTGTCATTGTTCCCACTCACTTCTGGAAATATACCAATCACGCATTCACTCGCTCCCTTCTGTCAGTTTATCTTTATTAACACTTATATAACACTAATTCTCTTGGAAAATACAAACACACACGCATAACACACCCACACTTGATAATATGTACCTCCCTGACTCGTCGGTCCTGGCGTTATATCCTTCCTCACTCACAGCACATACACCTGGCAATATCTCTCACTCACTGCCTCCCTCCCTCACTCACTCACTAACTGGCAATATCTCTCACTCACTGCCTCCCTCCCTCACTCACTCACTAACTGGCAATATATCTCACTCACTGCCTCCCTCCCTCACTCACTCACTAACTGGCAATATCTCTCACTCACTGCCTCCCTCCCTCACCCACTCACTAACTAACTGGCAATATCTCTCACTCACTGCCTCCCTCCCTCACTCACTAACTGGCAATATCTCTCACTCACTGCCTCCCTCACTCACTTACTAACTGGCAATATCTCTCACTCACTGCCTCCCTCACTCACTCACTCACTGGCAATATCTCTCACTCACTGCCTCCCTCCCTCACTCACTCACTAACTAACTGGCAATATCTCTCACTCACTGCCTCCCTCCCTCACTCACTAACTGGCAATATCTCTCACTCACTGCCTTCCTCCCTCCCTCACTCACTCACTAACTGGCAATATCTCTCTCACTGCCTCCCTCCCTCACTCACTCCCTCACTAACTGGCAATATCTCTCTCACTGCCTCCCTCCCTCCCTCACTCACTAACTGGCAATATCTCTCACTCACTGCCTCCCTCCCTCCCTCACTCACTAACTGGCAATATATCTCACTCACTGCCTCCCTCCCTCACTCACTAACTGGCAATATCTCACTCACTGCCTCCCTCCCTCACTCACTCACTAACTAACTTGCAATATATCTCACTCACTGCCCCCCCTCCCTCACTCAATCACTAACTGGCAATATCTCTCACTCACTGCCTCCCTCACTCACTCACTCACTAACTGGCAATATATCTCATTCACTCGCGACTCGCATACTTGACAGTATATGACTTAATCATTAACGCATTCACGCACTAACTCACTCACTCCTGGCAGTAAGTTCCTGGTGTAAATGGTCGCAGCATAGATATAGGCCATACCACCAACCCACACCCTCAGGCTCTGCGTGACGAACAACCCGAGTTTATCGATTACATCGATCAGTTCATGTGAACGCTACCCCAGCTTTCATAATACACAAAAACTTTAAACAATGAACAGTTCGAGGTGGCCACATTCCTTTATTCCTATGACGCACTGTAGTTCTCAGTAACACTTCGCCGTTATCAATAAACTTCGCGAAGGATATTTTGGCTGAACGAACTAAATTAAGAATTTTTACAGTACGATTTTACTTTGTTCTTGAATTCCAGCATTTCTGAATATATTGTAAGTTTTTTTATTGCTCGTTTGTTGTGTGGCAGACCTACCAGTGTAAATGGTGTGGAACCCGCTTCTGCAAGGAATGTCTGCGAGGGGACTTCTATGGGGAGATGTTCGAGCCGGGCAAGTGTCGCAGGTGCAACCAGGTGAGGGGAGCATAAGTGTTACTATGTGAGAAGAATATAAATGTCACTATATCAGAGAGTAAAGTGTTACTATGTGTGGGGAGTAAAGTGTCACTATATGAGGGGAGTAAAGTGTTACTATGTGGGGGGAGTAAAGTGTCACTATATGAGGGGAGTAAAGTGTTACTATGTGGGGGGAGTAAAGTGTTACTATGTGGGGGGAGTAAAGTGTCACTATATGAGGGGAGTAAAGTGTTACTATGTGGGGGGAGTAAAGTGTTACTATGTGGGGGGAGCAAAGTGTCACTATATGAGGGGAGTAAAGTGTTACTATATGAGGGGAGTAACGTGTTACTATGTGGGGGAGTAAAGTGTTACTATGTGGGGAGTAAAGTGTTACTATGTGGGGGAGTAAAGTGTCACTATGTGAGGGGAGTAAAGTGTCACTATATGAGGGGAGTAAAGTGTTACTATGTGGGGGAGTAAAGTGTCACTTTATGGGGAGTAAAGTGTTACTATGTGAGCGGAGTAAAGTGTTACTGTGAGGGCAGAGTAAAGTGTTACTATGTGAGCGGAGTAAAGTGTTACTATGTGAGCGGTGTAAAGTGTTACTATGTGTGGGGAGTAAAGTGTCACTATATGAGGGGAGTAACGTGTTACTATGTGGGGGGAGTAAAGTCTTACTGTGTGAGGGTGTAAAGTGTTACTATGTTAGGGGAGTAAAGTGTTACTGTGAGAGCAGAGTAAAGTGTTACTATGTGAGCGGAGTAAAATGTTACTATGTGATGGAGTAAAGTGTTACTATGTGTGGGAAGTAAAGTGTTACTATGTGTGTGGAGTAAAGTGTTACTATGTGAGGGGGGTAAAGTGTTACTATGTGTGGGGAGTAAAGTGTCACTGTGTGAGGGAGTAAAGTGTTACTATGTGAGGGGAGTAAAGTGTTACTTTGTGAGGGGAGTAAAGTGTTACTTTGTGAGCGGAGTAAAGTGTTACTATGTGAGTGGAGTAAAGTGTTACTATGAGAGCGGAGTAAAGTGTTACTGTGTGAGGGAGTAAAGTGTTACTATGTGAGCGGAGTAAAGTGTTACTATGAGAGCGGAGTAAAGTGTTACTATGTGAGCTGAGTAAAGTGTTACTATGAGAGCGGAGTAAAGTGTTACTATGTGAGCGGAGTAAAGTGTTACTATGTGAGGAAGTAAAAGTGTTACTATGTGAGGGAGTAAAGTGTTACTATGTGAGGGAGTAAAAGTGTTACTTTGTGAGAGGGAGTAAAGTGTTACTATGTGAGCGGAGTAAAGTGTTACTATGAGGAGTTGAGTTAAAAGTGTTACGGAGTAAAGTGTTACTATGTGAGCGGAGTAAAGTGTTACTATGTGAGTGGAGTAAAGTGTTACTATGAGAGCGGAGTAAAGTGTTACTGTGTGAGAGAGTAAAGTGTTACTATGTGAGCGGAGTAAAGTGTTACTATGAGAGCGGAGTAAAGTGTTACTATGTGAGCTGAGTAAAGTGTTACTATGAGAGCGGAGTAAAGTGTTACTATGTGAGCAGAATAAAGTGTTACTATGTGAGGGGAGTAAAGTGTTACTTTGTGAGGGGAGTAAAGTGTTACTTTGTGAGGGGAGTAAAGTGTTATTCTTAAAGTTCCATGTTATGTATATCCTAATGATGTTTGTTCAGAAAAGATGCCAAGGCGTGCGTGTGGAGTACGTGCCCCGACCCCCCCAGGAGGAGACTGGGGAGAAGGGGAAGGGGAGAGGGAGTGCAGCTGATAAGAGTCGCAGCAAAAGTCCTTCTAAAAAGGGAGGAAAAGACTCTAAAAAATCTGGTAGCAAAAAGGGCGGAAAAAAATCAGGGAAGAAAGGAGGAAAGAAGAAAAAGAAGAAGAAGTGAAACCCTCAAATGTGAGGTGTTTCTGAAGTTTCTGTATCCATGCATGGGCAGTCACCGCTAATAGTTGTTATCCAATGACATAGGACCATGTTATATTCTGTCAAGCCTAATCAATGTTCAAACAAAATCTCCAGCGCCCTGTCCTTTGTGGTGCATTGTACTGACGGTGGGCTGCTCAATGTAGGTGACTGTAGTCTTACCGTTGCCATGGTAACGTATGTCTGAATACGGTGACAGCGCCTGAAATCATTAAGTTTGTTGCCACAGAGATTCTCATGTCTGTGTTTTGCGTTACTTCAGATCCTTCTGTATAGCATGGAAGAAAGACTGCGGCGACGTCTTACACCAACGCACACGGCATGCCTATTTTCGGATTTGATCATTAGTATTATAATGCCAAAACTTTCGTTTCAGACGTTCAGTATTACGAACGTATATATGTGTCCAACTGAGACGTTTCCTGTGATACGCAAATTTCTACACTTTATTATTATTATTATTGTATAATATGTGTGTTGTTATTTATTAAACACGAGGCCTCGTCTGATCAATACTGGTACAGGGGGTGTCTCTCGAATATCATTTAGTTGTTTATTTTTTTAACAAAATAGAAAAAGATTTCAACTGGTTTGTGCGTATAAATAAGTTTTAAGTCCCCGTAATACAGCAGTTGTTCACAATGACCTTGTGATGTATGTTGTCATTGATTGTGTGATGTATGTTGTCATCGATTGTGTGATGTATGTTGTCATCGATTGTGTGATATATGTTGTCATCGATTGTGTGATATATGTTGGCATCGATTGTGTGATGTATGTTGTCATCGATTGTTGTATGTTGTGATGTATGTTGTTGTCATTATGTTTTGTGATTGTGTGATGTATGTCATCATCGATTGTGTGATGTATGTTGTCATCGATTGTGTGATGTATGTTGTCATCGATTGTGTGATATATGTTGTCATCGATTGTGTGATGTATGTTGTCATCGATTGTGTGATGTATGTTGTCATCGATTGTGTGATGTATGTTGTCATCGATTGTGTGATGTATGTTGTCATCGATTGTGTGATGTATGTTGTCATCGATTGTGTGATGTATGTTGTCATCGATTGTGTGATGTATGTTGTCATCGACTGTGTGATGTATGTTGTCATCGATTGTGTGATGTATGTTGTCATCGATTGTGTGATGTATGTTGTCATTGATTGTGTGATGTATGTTGTCATTGATTGATTGTGTGATGTATGTTGTCATCGATTGTGTGATGTATGTTGTCATCGATTGTGTGATGTATGTTGTCATCGATTGTGTGATGTATGTTGTCATCGATTGTGTGATGTATGTTGTCATCGATTGTGTGATGTATGTTGTCATTGATTGTGTGATGTATGTTGTCATTGATTGTGTGATGTATGTTGTCATTGATTGTGTGATGTATGTTGTCATTGATTGTGTGATGTATGTTGTCATTGATTGTGTGATGTATGTTGTCATTGATTGTGTGATGTATGTTGTCATCGATTGTGTGATGTATGTTGTCATCGATTGTGTGATGTATGTTGTGATTGTGTGATGTATGTTGTCATCGATTGTGGGCATATGTTGTCATCGATTGTGTGATGTATGTTGTCGTCGATTGTGTGATATATGTTGTCATCGATTGTGTGATGTATGTTGGCAACGACCGTGAGATATACGTTGTCATCGATTGTGTGATGTATGTTGACAACAACCGTGTGATGTATGTTGGCATTGTTTTTGTGATATATGTTGACAACGACTGTTTGATATATTTTGGCAACGACCATGTGATATATGTTGGTATCGACCCTATGATACATGTTGTCATAGACTGTGTGATGTGCATGTTTGGGACACACGCATGGTGTGTTTAACGATATTCACACTGCATGCCAAGACACAGACACGTGGTACAGCCAACTGTTACCCGTGAAATACGTGCCCCGTTAACAAGTTTCCCTGCCCACATCGGTGCCGTGACTTCAGCGTTTTTAGATCACAGCAGACCACACATGGCAGGTTGGTTTGACATGTCGTTTCACAGTGGGTTATGGAGGTGTCAAAGGGATATGTCGACACAGCGGGCTCCGGGAAATTGTTACAAAACATGGTTGATTTTTCAAACCATTCATCGACTTACAGGCTGTAAAGGTGCAGCTCGGCGAACACTGTTTCGAGCAAAGACAAATAATGATCGTGTGTGGGTGAATATGTCACTGAGGTTCAAAGTCAGTCCACAGTAGTCCACTTTCCCCGGAGTATGATTCCCTCACTACTGTTGTATGTATCTCTGGTCAGAGTATATGCTTCATAAAAGTAATCATGTTTTGTTGCCAGGGGCCTAAATATTGAAAGTAGCATAATAAAGATATATAACATATGTGAGTGGTGGCTTTGCACATCTGACAATGCGCTCACTCATACCGGGTTCTACATTGTTGTCCACTGTGATATCTCTATGGCGTAACTAACTATATTGACGGACAAAAGAAAGTGTACATACGTTTGGTGGTGGTGAAAAACAAAACAAACACGGCATGTTTTCTCCATTGTAATGCACCTGATACATGTATCAAAGCTGTGGTTTGGACAAGTTTGCAGTTTCGGCGACATTTTTTTAATCCTATTAACGTTTTGATAATGTAATTTTTTGGTCAAACCGATGTTTAAAGAGTGTACATTCTCCTTTGCACTTATATATGCATCAAAACCGTGTGATAAATTGAGTGAGTGGGTATACGTTTACGCATTTGTTAACTACACTACACCCAAGAGAGGAATTGACCCTGGTTGTTGGGACGAGTGATTTAACAACATGACTACCCTAGCCGCGTGTCCAGAACGCCCCAAACCACATGTCAGATCATCTCCACCTTGTTCAACACTGCATCCTGGCCATGTAGACTGGCCTTGAACTTTAATAGAACAAACAGAAGCACCACCCACACCTGGACTGAAAACTGATAAGAATCAGTCCAGAGAGAGAAATACAGATTTGTTTTTTTATCATATTTTATCATAATTATTTGTTATGATAACGATACGCTGCACAACAGATAATGGAAACTAAGCAGATGTTGACCTTTTAAGCTGGTATTTCAACACAATATTCCATTCATTCGAGATGAAGTGGACTCTGTGTAATCCGACATTCTGTCTAATTAAACCAAACGTGTTGGCCCATGCACTATCATACCAAACAGTGTGTGTATGTATATATAACGCTTCTTAGTCATGTTTAAGCGCTTGTCTTAAAATGAAAAAGAGGTAATTTAAAGATGATTCCTATTTTCCACCGAGGTATTCATGACCTTTCTAAATATGTTTGTACTTTCTGATCAAATCAAACTCACATGGAAATAGAGATTATCCAACATTTTTACCCACTTAGTACCGACTTAAAGTCACGTGCTGGAGTGACAACACTGCTGTACTGATAGATGGCCTTATTATAGTACACCAAGATGAAATAGTGAAACAAGCAGTACTGTTATATATTTACGTCCTGAGTATCAACCTCGCGTGCCGAACACGCACCTGTCCCCTCTAAACATAGACTATTGACACACATGGCGATTGGAGCTGACCACTTCAGAAAACAATTTTAATTTTATATCGGCTATATCAGGTTTAGAGCGTGGGTCCATGTACTTTTGTTCTAACTGCGACAGGCGTGCTGACGTTCATCCTGTGGTTCACTTTAATGGCAGGTAGAACAATGGCTGCGTGTACACAGTTGAGTCTGAATGCGGGCACCGCGGCTTTATCCCTGCATGTCGGTGAGAGTCAGCGACACAGCATACAGACTGGGAATAACGTGGACTTTATCTAGTTAAGACAAAAAGCTGAATCAACAAGATACGTACTTCTGTTGCTGTGGTCTCCAAGCTGTGGAGACAGGTTACAGGGTCCCCACATAGGTCAGTCTGAGCTGCCTGTATAGGACGCATGTACCCATACACTGGTGTTGATGGTCAGCTGCACGGTTGGGCCAGCAGGTAGTGACACAGTGGTTGTTTCTATCAGTGAGGGAGAGGTCTCAGCGTAGTGAGCCACACATCCGTGACGAGGAGCAAGTCATTAAGGTAGGATTTCATTGTCCTTCATTAATGTATTATACGCTATTTCGTTACTAAGGTAATACACCACACTCCGTTATTACGGTATTAAATCAAGTTCCACCATTGAGGTAGTATACCACACTCCGTTATTACGGTATTATACTACATTCCATAGCATATCACACAAAATCTTTCGGTCATTATAGTTAGGATGTGACACCTATGTTCTTTAAACCACGACAGTTTCGAATGTCTGTCAGCCAGGAAATGTACTGTGAGACGAAATCATGTAAAAAGAAAGAGAAAAGTTTTGTCCTTTGTACAACTTAAGCAAAACGGCAGATTTGTTTCATGCTGTATCTACTAGCTGTTTAGGTTTGCTTACTTTGTTATTTACTTAACGAGACAGAAGCAATCAGGAGCATATGCATAGTCATAGGAAACAGAACTCGATGTAAATGTACAGGTTAGTCTATACAACAAAGTTGTCTTTGTTTGCTAAGACCGAGAACAAATTAGCTGACACGTGGGAAAGACGCAGTTTGTCCATATAGATGGTCGTGTAGATCATCTAATACCTGGAATGATAAAAAGCACAAACATGTACGTCACACACCTTATGTACATGACCATCACAAACACGTACGTCACACACCTTATGTACATCACCATCACAAACACGTACGTCACATACATAATGTACATGACCATCACAAACATGTACGTCACATACATTATGTACATCACCATCACAAACACGTACGTCACACACCTTATGTACATCACCCTCACAAACACGTACGTCACATACCTTATGTACATCGCCATCACAAACATGTACGTCACATACCTTATGTACATCACCATCACAAACATGTACGTCACACAGGTTATGTACATCACCATCACAAACATGTACGTCACACACCTTATGTACATCACCATCACAAACATGTACGTCACACACCTTATGTACATCACCATCACAAACATGTACGTCACACACCTTATGTACATCGCCATCACAAACATGTACGTCACACACCTTATGTACATCACCATCACAAACATGTACGTCACACAGGTTATGTACATCACCATCACAGACATGTACGTCACACACCTTATGTACATCATCACAAACATGTACCATCACAAACACGTACGTCACAGGTTATGTACATCACCATCACAAACATGTACGTCACACACCTTATGTACATCACCATCACAAACATGTACGTCATCACACACCGTTATGTACATCACCATCACAAACATGTACGTCACACGGCTTATGTACATCACCATCACAAACACGTACGGCACACTGCTTATGTACATCACCATCACAAACATGGACGTCACACAGGTTATGTACATCACCGTCACAAACATGTACGTCAGACAGGTTATGTACATCAGCATCACAAACATGTACGCCACATACATTATGTACATCGCCATCACAAACACGTACGTCACACAGGTTATGTACATCACCATCACAAACATGTGCGTCTCATACCTTATGCACGTACATCACCATCACAAACATGTGCGTCTCATACCTTATGTACACCAACACCACAAACATGTACGTCACACACCTTATGTACATCACCATCACAAACATGTACGTCACACACCTTATGTACATCACCATCACAAACATGTACGTCACACACCCTATGTGCATCGCCATCACAAACACGAACGCCACACACCTTATGTACATCACCATCACAAACACGTATGGCACATACCTTATGTACATGACCATTACAAACACGTACGTCACATACATATGTACACAACACACACCGCTTCACACTCAAGCCACGCGTTAACTGTCAATGCGACTGTCGGCACCACAGGAGAGCTGTCCAACTTACGTGACAACTGGGTGACCTGTTCCGTTGAAAGGTCACAGGTCAGTGATATGTCATGACAACTCAGCATGTACTGTCCAGATTACATGCACAGTACATCGGTGTTGACATTCGACACCGCTTCTATACAGGATATCAGCATCATGCGCGACACATCTAAGGACGTACACGCTGGATGAGAGTTAATACAGATCTGCTGATTGTATAGGTATAGTCATGTTGGCTACAGCGCCAGTTTCCGGGAGTTGAAAGGCTTCACAGTCAACGAGACTGTATTACGACACGTCGCCTGGCGGGAAGCCGAGCAGGGGGCACACAGTCATGTTTCGTTCCACAACGTTCACATGTCGTTATAACCAAACTACAGGAATAGAAATAAATGTTTATGGAAAGTGTTTATTTTTTCAGGTTGACCAAGAAAAGGAACATCACGAGATGGCGTACATGATGCCTACATGCATGGTAATAATATTAGTGTCGTCTGCTTCGGTCCTAACTGAAACAGTGCAGACCAAATATGGACGGTATATTGGTTTCATAGAAGATACGGAGTACGGAAATATATCGAAGTTTCTGGGAATACCTTATGCCAAACCTCCTATCGGGGACAGACGATTCAGCGTCCCCGAGGCTCTCACTGGACAGGAAGACATCACCTTCGATGCCGACCAGTTCAAACCTGCGTGTGAACAAAATGAAGCTATATTCAATAATATTTACGCCCCTCATTTGGCGAATAATACCATGAGTGAAGACTGCCTGTACCTGAACCTATATGTTCCCAGCAGTGTCAACAGGACGAGGCAGGAACCATTAGCGGTGATGATCTGGATTCATGGTGGAGGGTTTCAGTTCGGAGCCGGGTCTCTCTTTGACGGATCCCGACTTGCACTAACTGGAGACGTGATCGTCGTCACCATCAACTACAGACTAGGGTTACTAGGTTTCCTTGGAACCGAGGACACAGTTGCAAGGGGAAACTGGGGACTAATGGACCAGATGAGAGCGTTAGAGTGGGTGCAGGCAAACATAGAACAGTTTGGCGGCAACCCAGGGAATGTGACCCTGTTTGGTGAATCTTCCGGTGCGTATAGTGTAGGACTTCACATCCTAAGTCCGCTCTCCCGTGGTCTCTTCAATCGTGCAATATCGCAGAGCGGGTCAGCCATTATGAACGTGTTGAACAGACGGCCTCGAGAACGTGTTATCAAAGTCGCTCAGTACCTCAACTGTTCCAGTGGGAACCTCCCCCAATCCAGCCTCAGCCAGGTCAGGTGTCTCCGGCACGCAGACGTGAAAGACCTCGTCAAAGCAGACGGCAGTATCACGTCATCATTAGCACCCTTCACTCCAACAGTTGATGGATACTTTCTTCCAAAGGAACCATTTGATATGATTAAACAGGGAATATTTTCCGCTGTAGATTACATCATTGGTATGAACAGTGACGAAGGCTCGGCCACGCTGGACACCTTGCCTTCAGTGTTGTACGGTGAGGGGATGAACAGAGCCATGTTTGATACATTCCTGTCACGGATCTTTATAGCCAGTTACCCTACGCCTCTTCCAGTACGTGTAACGGATGTCGTCTGGTCGACACTACTTTCACACTACCTCCCAGACGACGACAACGTAGCAGACTACAGACGACGCTACTTGGATGCCAGGAGGGATGTTTTTGTCGCCCAAACGCTTCAGTACGCCAAATACCACTCCACCAAAGCCGATTGCTTCGTGTACTACTTCACCCACAGGCCGTCTCGATCTCAGTACCCAGACTACATCCGGGCGGCGCATTCAGACGACCTGCAGTTTGTGTTTGGGGCATCCAGAATCAGGGTACACGTGAAGAAAAAGAACTCAGTGCTGACTGGATGGAAGCCTGGGCCTCATTTGCAAAATATGGGTATGTGCACTAAGTTACTCCAGTAAGTTTCGTTGCAATGCAATGCAAATGTAATAATATCATAAATCTGATTCATTTATTCAAATGATATGGATATAGCTCAACAAAAGAACAAAGGAGAAAAATGGGCATTCATTTCAGTATAAACAGTACATACATATATATGAATGACTTAGTCCACAACCAACACACCTTGTGTTGTCTGATGAACAATGGACCCAGTAATAAGGAATATTTTCAAGAGGGCTTTTTCTATTCGAAACTTCTGGAAGTATACTGAAAGAAATCCTAAAGTATAGCCTGAGGACATTTTTCCTATTTTCAAGCATTGTTGGAAACGGCTTAGTTTGTTTTCCACTTTAATCGCCACACTTTTCTATTCTCGTAGTTCCTGCTGCGTGTACTCCCTACTGTATTGCAGAACACTGACGTCTTGATTTCAAAGAAAATGATTACATACGTCATTCTTCATTTTGGTCATTCAGAATTAGTTATGACCTACAAGAGCGCCATTTGCGTCCGTGATACCATATGAAATTATGTTTTGTGTAATTCTCTTGTAGAAATCCCAACTTCAACTCAAGAAAGATTAATTGGCAGCGCTACAGTGAGTCGACAAGATCGTATTTGGAAATAACTGTGAATATGTCAGAGTCAAATTTGAAAACGAGGCTTTTAGAAGGCGGAAGCATGCTATGGAATGACGTTCTTCCGGGAATAGTATCCATGGCAACAGGTCAAAGGCCACAGGTGTCAATGGCGGCCGCGGGCCCGGGAATGGTCGCTCTTCGACATACCATGGTTTCTAAAGGTAAACACTACAGTTCGTAATGAACAGTGGATCCTAATAACATCTTTAGATGTGTAAATAATTACATGCATGTGCTTACACTAAATATAATATAATGATGAGGTCTGACTGGATATAAGATGTTCTTAGTGGTATTTGATACGGGGTTTGGTTTACCGATTTATCATTTGTCACACACATGCAAACCTTGTCTCCCCACATGCAAGACATTACGATGAAGTCTCGCTTCTGTTATTGAAGTGACAGAAGTACAAGTGACGCCACTTACAGAAAAAGTTCTAACCACAACATTGTCTTTGTCCAACCAAGGGAGGTAACTCTAAGTCTGCAATTTTACGAACGTTACAGACATGTGCTCCCACTAACAATCACAACACATCAACTTCTTCTGTATGTATGAACGTGATCATATGTATGAAGGTGACCCGCCTGGACACAGATTGGTCTCCAGCCCTCTATCGTACGATGCCACTAAAGTGGGTGTGGGGGTCAGACTCGGTCTCGGTCAGACTCCCTGACTAAGTTTCCGTACCCCGGCGGTTTCGATACTTATTCTCACTTTCAGATGCTGTTTTAACTGTTCACAGGCCGCCATGGTAGGACAGAAGTACTCTTGTGCGGCATCAAATTATGCCAAGGACGGAAGCCAGGGCAGGATTATGCTTACTTTTTAGGCAAAGAATGTCGTGTTATCACTGCTTATTACAGATCCGCCCATACAATGTCCACTACTATTGTATCTGTTATGCCTAGTGGAATATGAATTCTGCTGACTACCGCCAATACAAACAACATAGCAGCCATGTTTTCTTTGTTGCAGATAGTGGTAAGGACTGGGGGATGAGCACCCAGCAGGTATGTACACCTACACACACCCACTGAAGGCGAGGGAAAGTAGTTGAGTGGTCAAGGCTTGTAAATTGACCACGCCACAGAGTAGACGATCGCGTGTGTAACTTTTCTGAATCATTTGCTTAATGTCCGACTGGAAAGTGACAAACTACCTGCAGAAATATGAATTGGGTGGTCCTTAAATTCTTCAACAACTTGTTATAATTGGCTTGTTTCTCATCACGTTATTACCAGAAAACCTAGTTATTGAAGACGTTTTACGACTTTCTGGAAATTGCTGACAAATCACTTACGCTTCGCGTGCAAACATTCTAAAAGTATATATGTTACAGGCAGATTGTGAAATCAGTCATTTCGTGAAATGACTAAAAAATTCAGTCATATCGTGAAATGACTAAGAGGATATGCCATTTCGTTATTGGCAATATAAATAGGTTTGGACGTTTCCATCAAATTCGATGTAAATGTGCTTGGTAACGATTGCCAATGTTCGTATTGCACGAAACAAATCGCTAAAACGCCATATATACCTTTAGGTGATGAAAACGCAACAGTTCCGTTTGGTTTTATGTAACGTTGTATCCATAAAAGTCATATATTTTCTTTTCATGTGGACATCACGGCTAATGTAACGCCCTGTTTTGTTTACAGGCCGAGGAAGTCATGTTGAGTTTGATTCTTATTGTCACCTTCCTCGTGGTTGTCTGCGCAGCGTTGGTGCGCATGGTGTGCTACGTCGACAAGAAGCGAGTTCCGCCATCAAGGGGTTTCGTGAACGAAGCTTATGACTTGAAAGTGTTTCACAAATGTTCCAATGTGGACAAGGTCAGAACTGGATGCCCCCATAAAAGCATGGAAAGTGCAACGAAGTTGTGACGCCCGACGTATTAATTACGTCATGGTAACTTGTCATCTCTACCAGCATCCCTGTTGCAACTATATTCATTCATGTTACTGTCATGGAGAAGAGCATAGCTATCGCATAAGTAAAGGAGGAAAGTGTTTCCGGGACTGGTTCCTGCAAACAATGTCCACTGCTTGGGTTTACCATTTATGCTCAGGAAACATGTGAATATATGTGTATTACTACGGATCCCGGATGGGACCCAACCCAACAAAAATATTAGACTTTGTACGTTACTAAGAAAGTGTCATCCCAAATATAACATTATGTTACATTTGACCACTTTCTAAATGGCATTGTGTATTCATATTACTACGCCACCGTTACCGGAGATATTACGGAGGTGTCGTAAAACGCCGGGAGTCTCCGACTGCATGCGGAAAGTGACGGACGCTTGCAAGTCTTTACGGCAGCTTACAAGGCACAAATGCAGCAACATACAATGGCCTCGGATACCGCGAGTAGTGACTGTTGTAACATTTTATGTTTGTACGTCCAAAACACTCGTAGTTAGGGTGTTGACTAATCGTGTATTCATGATATCGGTCATCGGTTTACTCCCAAAAGTCAGACAAATCAATCAGGCGGGACTGTGATTACAACCTTGTCTTACCCACTCATATAATGAACCTGCCCCATACACTAACGAGATGGTTTTCACATTTGTACAGAAATACTTTGATCAGAATACTAATGTTGACTGGCTTACTGTATCACTGGGTTCTCGAAATGTGTTTTCGCAATGTTCACAATATGTTGTTGAGTTTCCATTAACTTAAAGGAGTTACTTCCTTCCTAGCATTGTTTTTTCCAGCATAAACAATATAAAATATAGAAAGAAGTACAGGGTGTATGGTTAACATTCAATTATAACTGGCAAATAATAGGAAAACATTATCCACTCTACCAAATTCAACACTATCTACACAAAATCAACCTTCATCCAAACGGCAAATGTATCACTTGCCAAATTCCTGAAACAATAGCCCACACTATCTTTAACTGCTCAAAATATAATAAGCAAAGAACCCCATTTCCCAATGCTTTAAAACAGTACCTCAACAATGCTAACTCTTCTGATCTCAACATTCTTACAAAGCCCAAATTAATTAAAACAATTACTAAATATCTTATTCATACAAAATTATATCAAACAATCTAGAAACAAAAACAATAATACAATAATTCCACTTTTTACCATTTTAAAAATTGTTTAAAAAAATGTATATATGTTCCTTTAACTTTAACTCATTTTTTAACCTTTTATTATGTTTATCATTATTCACGTAATAATTATGTTTTTAACCATAGGTTGGTTGTAAAGCAACATATTAACAAAAATACAATCAAATTGTTTTGTTTCATGTCAAATAAAGTCATTGTCATTATCCATAATCTCTTCTCTTTGTGTTTGGATTAGTATTTTGGATTAGTCCATTTATTAACGAAGGTAACAGTGTAGTGAACCTCAGTGCAACCAATCATAACCTTTGTTGTTTTAGCGCGTCTAACTTTTGGGACGTCTAACTTTTGGGAGGTCACCCGGTCATCTGGCTTTATTTGTTTATCCATGATGACAATCATTTGGAATGATGCGTTTATTCATGATGTCCTTAACTTTATTATTATTTTATTGATGATGTTAATGTTTTATCCACGACCGTACCATCGGTGTCCTGTGTCATTAAATACATAGGGAATATTAGAATAAATTTTATTTATAAAGTGTTTCCTGCAAGAGGAAATCTAGACAAGCAGTCAATCCACGGATCAAAGCATGTGCCCTGGGACTCTCACTGGAATGAAGTAGGGTGGTAATACTTTGGACTACCCAATATAGCGAGGTAACTGTGTCGTTGTGGTCGACTACCCAATATAGCGAAGTAACTGTGTCGTTGTGGTCGACTACCCAATATAGCGAGGTAACTGTGTCGTTGTGGTCGACTACCCAATATAGCGAGGTAACTGTGTCGGTGTGGTCGACACCTGGTGTCTGGGCCTCAAAGGACACTACATAAATGTGTGGTAGCTGGTGTTTAACCCATCTGAAACTTTGAGTCTCGATCGTAGAAAGCTGTTCCCCAAACAAGAGACGGGACGACTTTTAGAATGGTATTGAGAAACCGGTTTATCTTGGATGTTTTCGCCTCTTACCATGCTGGAGTATTATTGAGATTTATACTTTTGATAAAATAAACTTAACACCCAAAAATAATATTTTCAAAGAATTCATATTTTATTCAAAAAAGCTTGTGCCGATCTTTTCCTTCTTCACATAAAATGTATCACGTCACGCAATGTTGACGTCGCTGATTGGATGGTAAAGAGTATGACCGAGAAGTGTTGCTTGACCTTCTCCCATTGGCTGGTGTCAGAGTCTTTAATATCAAAAAGAAGGTCAACCAGACCTGGGAACGAGGCTGCAGCATATTGGTTATGGCTGCTGGGAGCAAACAGGATATGCCTGTGTATGAAAAACAGTAGGAGTGAGAAGACGACTAGTGAACATTTCAGCGTTAATTCATCGGATTTATTTCTACAACGTTAAACACTGGATGGCTACAGATGACTTTTTCTTTGTTCTTCCGGACGATTTCTCAGGGAGGCCGTTACACCTTGTAGGAGTTGATAGCCACGTTCTGACGTTATGCAGACAAATGCTAAGTTGGTAACTTCACGTATAAATATATGTTGTTACTGATTACCTTATGTTAAGACATTTACAAAGTCCACAGTGGACTCAAATGGTCCCCAGAATAATGTTTAATTCCAGGCACAGAACTGGTGAAATCTAGACTTGCCAAACCGTTTTACAGTTTAATTAATTTTGAAACATTTGTTCCCTAGGATATGGCATCCAACCAATATTTCTATTTGTTCCTGTGTGACCGACTCTCCATTTTAAATGGTATGGACGAACATATTTTTTTTTTCAGAAGGTTAGAGAATAACTTACGGCTTACGGGGAAATGAGTTTATTTGTCAGAAGCGAATTAGTTTTGTAATTTCTGAACCAAGGCTACTAACCTGTAGTAACTCCGGCCAGGCAGTCCATGAGGGTCGAGGAACGCTCTCTCTAGTTGTAGAAGCTGGTCATTCAGCTTGCGGACGACAAGGGGTCTGCAGACACATATGTAGGTATTTGAACACACATACGACTGTCGTAACATACGCTTTGAAAACACACTTACGACTGGCGTAACGTAGACTTTCAATACACAGTTACGTTTGATGTAGCATACACTTTAGATACACACTTACGACTGGCGTAACATACAATTTAGATACACACTTACGACTGGCGTAACATACAATTTAGATACACACTTACAACTATCGTAACGTAGACTTTCAATACACGCTTATGTTTGATGTAGCATACACTTTCAATACACACTTACGACTGGCGTAACATACACTTTAGATACACACTTACGACTATCGCAACGTAGACTTTCAATACACACGTTTGATGAAGCATACACTTTCAATACACAGTTACGTTTGATGTAGCATACACTTTAGATACACACTTACGACTGGCGTAACATACAATTTAGATACACACTTACGACTGGCGTAACATACAATTTAGATACACACTTACAACTATCGTAACGTAGACTTTCAATACACGCTTATGTTTGATGTAGCATACACTTTCAATACACACTTACGACTGGCGTAACATACACTTTAGATACACACTTACGACTATCGTAACGTAGACTTTCAATATACACTTAAGTTTGATGTAGCATACCCTTAAGATACACACTTACGACTTGCGTAACATACTTACGACTATCGTAACGTAGACTTTCAATACACAGCTACGTTTAATGTAGCATACTCTTTCAATACACACTTACGCTTGATCTAGCATACACTTTAGATACACACTTACGACTGGCGTTACGTAGACTCCAAGCACACATTTGCGATACACATTGGATACAAGCATGCAACCGTCGTAACATACACTTTAAACGTAGATTATTATTGACGACTCTCGTAATATGTAATTTAAACACTGAGAGTCTATGTCGTCTTAGCTACCAATGTGAAGGGCTTTGTAACGCAAACTTTTTCGCTCAAATGTATGATTATCGTATCAAAACTTTTAACACAGAACTGCAACTGCAACTCTTTTGAACATAGGCATGTAACTGTCATAGCTCTCTTTTGGAGAACAGACTTGTGGCTTTCGTTTGAACAATTAACTTTCAAAAGTTGTAATAATCCGAAAAGCAAGACCCCAGGACCCCAAGAAGAAGCTTGTAGTAACCGTCCAGTTTGGGCACTTGACTGTTCGTAACTTACTTGGATGTGCTAGTGCCGGCCACTTGCGCCATGAAACTGGCCGCCGCTTCCGTGAACTCATCTATGACCTGTGTCAGATTGGCGTCTGGAGAAACAGAAGCACATCTATGGATCATCGATGGAATAGCAGGAGATTTAGGTCGGGAAAGGACCACGTTTGAAGTGAAAAACGGTAATTGTGAAACCAGGTAGGGATTGAACACGGTAAAGGTGTAAAACGGAAGGGAGGGAGAAACAGCACGGTGGTTGTTATATGGTGGCGGTATATGATTTATTGTACGTGGAAGCAAATAAATGAAGCGTTGGACAATGTCGAGTTCGACTGGTGGCAGAAACGTGATTACAGTTACCTCCCTTGGTGGATTACATGTTCATTCGAAACTTATCGTAAAGTTTCTAGGAGACTGGTTGCAGCTAGGCATGACTGTTGTATAATATGTTGTATATCTACTCATCTTGTGTTGTTTAGATGTGTACGAACAGATATCTGACCCTTGTGGTGAGTTATGAATCACGGGAAATCACATCGAAACAAAGAATAACGAGGCAGACGTAAAATATTCAAGAGGTGAAACATGGTAAAATTGAAACGTGAAAACATCTGGAAGTGAAATGTGGTCGGGTAGAGGCGGGATATAATGGAGGTGAAAATGATACAGGTGAAAGAGAGAAGACATGAAATACAGTGCAGGTGAAACTTTACGAAGGTGAAATATAGTAAAGTTGAAACTTGATGAATGTGAAGCATGGTGAAGGTGAAGCATGGTCAAGTTGAATCATGTTAAAGGTGAAACATAGTGAAGGTGTGAAACAGTGAAACATTATAGAGGTGAGCCATGGGAGAGGTGAGGTGTAACCTAGTCAAAGGTTGTAGAAGTGAGGCACTATCTAAGGGAAACACAGTAGAGATTAGACACGATGCGTGAGAACCAGAGAGTGAAACATTGCACACGTGAAACATCTTACCATATCCAGGCAGGTACCTGTCCAGGACGTCCCCTTTGTCGGCCACTAGCTGCTCCTTGAGTCGGGACATAGTCTCGGCGTAGTCAGACAAGTTAAAGGGCAATATGGCGGAGTCTGTAAGCTCTAGTGCCAATGCCAGCCACAGCTGACCGATTGCTCGATGGTACTGTAGAGATACACGCGAGCATAATGGATGTTCTACAAACATTGTATCACTTCCCACATTTCAAACACAGTATCAAGTTCGACCATCACTTTTTAAAGAAACTGATTATATATTTTTGATTCTGATACTTTAAACATACTGAGGACACCGAGAGGAAATGCGAAATGGCAGTGGACTGACGAGCAATGTAGACAGAGCCTGGGTCGTGGACTGGGTGTACAGTCACCAGCTGTGCCTGGTGGGTCTCACACAGGCTGGAAATAAACTTCTCTCAATATTCAGGACTATGAGAAGTTCAATACAGTCTCATAGTATTTCTTTTTTCACCAATAGCGACTAGCTACACAATTACAGTAACATAACAGGCATGAACCTAGTTTAATTTTTACCGTAAAGTTCCCATCGACGAAATTCTTGACGGCGTAGAATGTCTCGTATTCTGAGTGGTACAGGGGATAGGAAGCTATGTCCCACTTGGTCTGGAACACACAAACGTTCAATAAGTTGTACATGATAACGTCAACAGGATTACAATTACAGATTAATAACAATCACAGTCGTGGCATTTCAATTATTTCGGTCAGACTAGCGGTAACTTAAAGAAATGATAGTAAAGTGGTGGAAGGTAAAATATGAGAGAGGGAAGAGTGGTTGTAGGTGAAACACGATAGAGGTAAAATGTAGTGGAGGTGAAACATGATATAGTAAAGTGTAGTGGAGGTGAAACACGAGGTTGGTAAAGTGTAGTGGAGGTGAAACACGAGGTAGGTAAAGTGTAGTGGAGGTGAAACACGAGGTAGGTAAAGTGTAGTGGAGGTGAAACACGAGGTAGGTAAAGTGTAGTGGAGGTGAAACACGAGGTAGGTAAAGTGTAGTGGAGGTGAAACACGAGGTAGGTAAAGTGTAGTGGAGGTGAAACACGAGGTAGGTAAATCACGTGGTGGGAGGTGAAACGTAATCATGTAAAGCACATTGACAGATGAAATACAATAGACGTAAAGTGCGTTGGGAGAAGAGTGAGTGAGTGAGTTGGGTTTTACGCCGCTTTTAGCAATATTCGGGCAGTATCACGGGAGGCACCAAAAATGGGCTTTATATCTTGTACCCATTTGGGGAATCGAACCCGGGTCTTTGGCGTGACGCTTTAACCACTGGGCTACCCCACCGCCCCCGTCGAGAGAAGAACCGCGATGGAGGTAAAGCGCTGTGGGAGGTGAAACATGACAGTAAGACATGGTGAGGCTGAAACACAGTGTAAAGTCTTGCTTGATAACCGTTTATGGATCGATACCGAAACATCGCTTAAATTGTACATTTGAAAAGTTTTGTACCCCTTGGTTACCAAGCAACTTCTAATGAGCAAATCTACTTGAAGCAATCTTAAAATCTCATATATCCTGTATATCGTCCGTGAAAATCACATAACCTGAAACTACTGGCAGTATACAACAGCACACTCCATACTTACCACGTCGTAGATGTAGGAGAAGTCGAGGACGGGGACACCGGCTTGACACCTCATGTTGGTGAAGTCACTCCCTGAGCCCAGGTTGCCGTATCTGCAAAAGGTAACTGCTAGAGCGGCGTTTGCATTTATTATATCCATAACACGAGCAACCCCCATCTCTAAAATCTTCTCAATACCTGTAAACCTTCCGACCGGAAACATATATCTTGAATCACTGTTACTTTTGACGTTATGTATCCTTCCGCGTGACTGCTGGAGTCATCTGTGAGTTATGATCAGTTGTATAAATACTTCTGGCTTTCAGAAATGAATGATTATGTTTTACACCGCTTTAGCAATATTCGCCGCACAATTAAATGTGCTTCACACAATCTGGCAACGAGGGGGAATCGTCTTCAGCATAACGGGTGAGCGTTTTGACTTCGCGGCTACCCCTATCTATGGGGAATACAGGACATTGGTTTCACACATTGAGCTCATGTGGAGAATCGAACGGGACGTCGGCGTGACAAGCCAATGCTTTAACCACTAGGCTACCCCATCGACCCCAATAATAAACAAAAGACGAATATATCAGGCTACATTGGAGAAAAGGAAATTGTATGCACTTCTGGTTTAATGACATCAGCAGTCTAACCTCCATGTCATGTGTACCAAAACTAAAAATGTAAACATTTCAGTTATTTTGACCGCATGTTACTAACTTAGAATACTCGTACCGTAAACAGATGTAATATGGGATCGTTTAATGAATGCCGCCATTGTTTGAGGTTCGGGACAGGCTGACTATAGGGATCTGACCACCGCAACTGAAGAGTTTACCGCATGGATACGAGTATCACAGACATAGTATGTTAGTTTCTGCTGTATTTATTTGTAGTTTAGTCTCGTGTCTTTGCCAGGGACTGCGTTGTCCGTCTAGAGTTTTGGCAGTTGTGCACAAGGGTTATGTTTGGTTGCAAATGTTGTAGTTTTGAAACGTCCATACTTAAGCACTATGTTGACCATCACCAGCTCCACCTCAAATGTTCAAAATATACAGTTCCCATGTTATTTCGTCACTTGTGAAATGACCTTTCGTACTTTTGTATCAGTAGTTTATGGATAATTTCTAAATTGTTGGGGAAGACGAGTCACTCTAAGTACTCCCTTATCCCGGTCTGTGTAACATTGGTTTAATGCTTATTGAAATTTATGCCTCATTCCTGCATTAGCCAGATATCAGTAATGTCTTGTGACCCTGCCTCTTGAAAACATACGTGTATGATATCCTAGCATTGTCAAGTTAGTGTGTCTTTACTGGCATAATATCATGCAAGCATGGAGGAGGCTCAGAATTGTCTATTGTAGGTAGCTGTCTTCAACAAATTCAAGATCTACACTCTCAAATACATAACTGCAATCTGTCCTTTTCACGATTCTATTATGTCAACATTACCAAATTTACAGGTGACCTCAACACCAGAGACTATTGAGGCAATTGCCACTCCAGCCCATGGTGTGTACTTCGATGTCAGTTACATTACTCCAAGATGCCCTGTTTGTCAGAGGAAATCCTTTTCTCAGTTGTGTTGCCAGATGTTAGGTCGACAAAACATACATAGGAATTTTGCGATTCTCTTTCTTTTATTTGAATAACAAAATAAGGCTTTCTGCAAAACAAAAGTCAATCGTCAGTGGTCTAAAGTTGAAAACAAATTTGCACTAAACAGCATATTGTTAGATCTATATCAAATGTATCATCTTGGTGATATATAGTGCATCTTTTTCAGGTGACTCAGATTTAGCTCTCCAGTACTACACTGTGATGTGTGACTTACCAGCTTCATTGATGCATGTCCTATGCTGTTTGCTGCTTTCTATGTGTTTAACATAGAATATCAGACTGGGACTGCTGCCACACTCGAGTCCATACAGAGGTAATGAAACGTGTATTTTAACAAACTGTTGAATTGTTGGAGACAAATATGACTAGGGAAGTTCTTGTAATCGGGTTGAAAAAAACCCTCAAAGCCAGGAGCAGCAGTTCTGCATATTTACCTTAAATTGTTGTACAGAGCTATGTCCCTTAACAGCCAGGTTCTACTTATCGTGGATTGGAAGCCTAGATTCACTGATAACAGCTTTTACCCTTGTCCCCTTGTGCGTGTTAAAAGTATATGAAACCTGTCTCATTGACCTACCCACCCCCAGTATCAAGCTGAAAGATTAATTGCAGATATTGTTTTTCCTAAATATGTAATTTAGTTCTATTATCATGGCCGAGATCGGTTGTGAAAAGCTTTAACGACCTTTTAATAATACAGAAACAATGATTCCATGTCATTTCTTCATTTCCGGTGCTTCGTCCACATTAATCCAGGCAAAGGATCCAAGCTTGCAAGGGAAAAAGAAAGAAGACAGTCATGAGTGTGAAAGTTCTCAAGCTCAGCAATGAACTTGCCGATTTTAAATGGATCGAGGCCTGAATGGGCAAAGTCTGTTGCTAACATCTGCTGTAATAACGATAGATCTTGTCGGTTGACATTAAGGGTCTGGTCATACATTAACGCAGGGGCTGCGGTGTGGGGGTGGATGTCGGCGAAGTGGAAAAAAGTGCAGTTGATACGAGGAGAGCCAATAAAATGGCTCAGGTTAAATTTTGTTTCGTTTTTCTTAAATTTGAGCATTATTTGGGGACTGTCATGTCATGTTGGAAGGGGGCTCAAGTGGGAGGAATTGGGTCATAACAACAGTTACGTGTATTTGGGGGTGATATATTTTATATACAAAGGCAGAGTTAATAGCTGGAGAAGAAACAAATTATTTCTTGTTTTTTTTTGTTTTATTTTTTTTTTACACTTTACCTAAATCGGCCATGAGCTGTTGTTTTCATCATCTTTCACCAAATGAAAGCATATGTAAGGGTTATTCTCCAGTTATACTCTTGAACAGTTTAGAGATGTCAACCACCATAAATGAACCACCCAAGATGAACTACCTTCAGTTGTTGAGCATTGTTGTCTGCCCAATGCTTGGACTCAGATGTATTTCTTGTTTTAATAAAATTGCTTAAAACGTCCTTTGAGTCTTCTTTTGTTGACAAAGATATGGATTGCAGCATCTTATTACAGAGGTTGGATGGAATTAGGTTGAGGTTGGGTCGAGTTATATATTTTTTTAATTCACCATACATATTCTGATAGTCAAGTTTAAGAGTAAGCAGAAATACAGGAAGGTGCAGAGCTCATTTTACGGTAATTATTACGGTAGTGTACTGTAATATTTTACGGTAAATACTATTACAGATTGCTATTATTTTTACGGTATACCGTGTTTTTACGGTAAAGTGACGGATCCACCCACCCCTCCCACATGTATGTATACCTGTTGTGTGGCCGACAGTGCTGTTCTGTACAGTAGAGGGATCCACCCACCCGTCCCACATGTATGTATACCTGTTGTGTGGCCGACAGTGCTGTTCTGTACAGTAGAGGGATCCACCCACCCGTCCCACATGTATGTATACCTGTTGTGTGGCCGACAGTGCTGTTCTGTACAGTAGAGGGGATCCACCCACCCTCCCACATGTATGTATACCTGTTGTGTGGCCGACAGTGCTGTTCTGTACAGTAGAGGGGATCCACCCACCCCTCCCACATGTATGTATACCTGTTGTGTGGCCGACAGTGCTGTTCTGTACAGTAGACCTGTTGGGGATCCACCCACCCCTCCCACATGTATGTATACCTGTTGTGTGGCCGACAGTGCTGTTCTGTACAGTAGAGGGATCCACCCACCCCTCCCACATGTATGTATACCTGCTGTGTGTGGCCGACAGTGCTGTTCTGTACAGTAGGGGATCCATGTATGTATACCTGTTGTGTGGCCTGACAGTGCTGTTCTGTACAGTGAGGGAACCACCCACCCGTCCCACATGTATGTATACCTGTTGTGTGGCCGACAGTGCTGTTCTGTACAGTAGAGGGGAACCACCCACCCCTCCCACATGTATGTATACCTGTTGTGTGGCCGACAGTGCTGTTCTGTACAGTAGAGGGATCCACCCACCCCTCCCACATGTATGTATACCTGTTGTGTGGCCGACAGTGCTGTTCTGTACAGTAGAGGGGATCCACCCACCCCTCCCACATGTATGTATACCTGTTGTGTGGCCGACAGTGCTGTTCTGTACAGTAGAGGGATCCACCACCCTCCCACATGTATGTATGTACCTGTTGTGTGGCCGACAGTGCTGTTCTGTACAGTAGAGGGGATCCACCCACCCCTCCCACATGTATGTATACCTGTTGTGTGGCCGACAGTGCTGTTCTGTACAGTAGAGGGATCCACCCACCCCTCCCACATGTATGTATGTATACCTGTTGTGTGGCCGACAGTGCTGTTCTGTACAGTAGAGGGATCCACCCACCCCTCCCACATGTATGTATACCTGTTGTGTGGCCGACAGTGCTGTTCTGTACAGTAGAGGGATCCACCCACCCCTCCCACATGTATGTATACCTGTTGTGTGGCCGACAGTGCTGTTCTGTACAGTAGAGGATCCACCCACCCCTCCCACATGTATGTATGTATACCTGTTGTGTGGCCGACAGTGCATTTCTGTACAGTAGAGGGATCCACCCACCCCTCCCACATGTATGTATACCTGTTGTGTGGCCGACAATGCTGTTTTGTACAGTAGAGGGATCCACCCACCCCTCCACATGTATGTATGTATACCTGTTGTGTGGCCGACAGTGCTGTTCTGTACAGTAGAGGGGATCCACCAATGGAGACGCTGTATTGACCTTGATGCAGAAACAAGCGATCAAAATGCATCAGCTCTATATAACCGTCGATTTAAGTTTTAGGAAAGAAAATCTACAGATTTGGAAGCGTAAATTTCAGAGAGTGTCTGTTATTACATGGAGATGGATACAGACCTGGGCCCTGATTTTCGAAGCTCCCTTAGCGCTAAGATAGTCGTAAGTTAGTGTTAATGTATGGCACTTACGACTATCTTAGCGTTAAGAGAGCTTCGAAAATCTAGGCCCTGGCCAAATGTATGAGCATCGATGCCTGCTATTGTGGCACAATCAGCTAGCTCACAGCTGAGAAACAACACGGGCGAAACATTTCGCCCAACCGATACACATTAATCCCACGAAAGACTCAAGTTACCACCTGAGACTCCCATCACGCCTCTAACAGTCAACAAAATCAGAGACTTCCGGCGCGGGTAATGAGGAAGAGATCTGGTGATAACATTTTACTTCAACAAGTTCTGTTTACCCTGCACAGCAATATCCACGTTCAGGTACGCCACCGCCCTGGTCGTCAGCGTCTTCACGTATTCCTGAAATACGAAGTAGACTTGTTATTGCCACATGTGCATGCGGTTAGATAGGGCTTAAGCCGATGCGTACATAATTTTGTCTTTAGCCTGACGTGTCATCTTAAAATTCCACGTGACGAAAGATAAGAGACAAAATTCACCTCAACAAACTCTGTGGATCCAAACAATCCGTACTCCTCGGCGTCCCAGCTACAGAGGATGATGGACCTTCGGGGACGCCAGCTGGCTGAAGTGGAGTGAGTGAGTGAGTGAGTGAGTGAGTGAGTGACAATAAGAGAATGCGTGAGTTAGTGAGTGACAACTAAAACGGAAAAAACCCGTTTCCACCGAAAATTCAAGATGGCCTCCATTTTACCAAAATAGGTTATAACACTCTTCATGCCCTTATTCCCTACGAGGCGACGTCCGTAAAGCAGGAAGACAACAACAATAATCTCTCCTAACCGGATGTCAGTGTAACGTTAGGACGCGCTAACCCATCCAATCATTGCTTGTTTAAAACGTGCCCCGCCATATTGGTCACATACTGGTGTTTATGGCGTGTTTGAGAGTCCGGGAGATCTCCAACATGATGGCTGTACCACCGGACGGGTCCATGGCTCCAAACACCCACGCGTCTCTATGGTTACCGAGTATTACATAGCGATCTGGAAGAAAAAAACATTGAATCAAGTAACGAATCTGTATGGGTGATAAGTACAATGAGTGTTGAGTAAGTGAGTGAGGTGAGTGAAGACGTACCTGGCTCCTCTGCACCTTGTATGACTCCTACGACGTCCGAGATCCTGCTCTGTTTGTTCCTCGTGGACACGTTAAGTTGCACCTTCCTGGCGGAACACAGAACTACAATTAGTCTTGGTTGTCCTCGTGTTTAACATCGTGGTTCATTAACACCGTGTTCAATTGATTTAATACTTGCTGATACCACAATATTTACTTGCATTTGCTGGTTGATGTTTGTTGACTGACTACATTAATCAACAAAGTGACATCACGACATAGTGACAACGAGTTAATATGATTACGCGGCCGTTTTATCTCGAATCTATCCGCTGAATGCCAAAATCTGTTCTGAATGCCAATGATTCGCAGCATCACCCGTGATTAGAAACTTCACCTTCAGCAACCCCTTATCATCCAAATATATCATATATATTTAAAGATGAATTATTTAAATAATCGCGATATAGAATTTTTAATCATTGTTCGAACTTACATTTCTTGATAAAAATCTCATTTATTCAATGATGTTTCAAATAGTTATTAAATTTAATTTAACGTTACAATCATCTAATTTACATGGTGTTACAGCTTGCTTCAGAATTGTTTTTCCTGTAACTGGCCTTTTTCTCCTTCTTATACTATTGAAATAATTATTCTAATAACTTTGTACGTTGAAAACTCTGTCATTTAAAGTGAGTGAGTGAGTTTGGTTTTACGCCGCTTTTAGCAGTTTTCCAGCAATAACACGGCGGGGGACACCAGAAATGCTGTCATTTAAAGAGAAGCGAGTAATATATAAATGTTTGCGACTATAGGTATACTGGAAAATATCACAGGGCATACAGTATAACAATGTGAGAGTAACATTCTGTACGGTTCTGGTGTCCTCGTGTGGCGACAACAGCATCAACTCACATTCCATCACGGAAGCTGGGTCCCAGATTGTATGTGACATTCAGATCCCCCCTCCATTCCGGGGGTGCAGGGGGGCCGGCCAGGTAGCTGGAACCAGGTGGGAGGAACAGTTGAGGGGGTAACACGTACCGGCAAGATATACATTGATGGTAAGTGGATGGTTGTAGTGGGGAGTGTATGCGTTGCATAGAATAGCGCATTTTCGTCCAAGAGTGACAAGATTTTAAAGATTGTTTGAAATGTATTTCATTCACAGGATTCTAAAGATTAAGATGTTACATGAAACAAATATAAGCAGTCTTCACCATTGTGTATCATACACTGGTCAGTACAGATCTCTTGCAGAAAATACTTTTATTGAAAAAAATAACATTTATGTACGACACAAAATGGTCTTGCGTCAAGAACGGACCCTTAATGTCAACGGAAAACATAACCAACTATGGCTGATTGTTGCCATGACTACAAATTCGACACGTGACACAGACCTGAGTATTTTCTCTGCCACCTCAGCATCGATGGCATGTGCCGGAATAGAGGGGAGGGGAGGGTCGACCGCTTTCTCCTGGATACGATAGGCAGTTTCTGAAACACAGCCTCAGTGTAAAAACGGAACACTGAAACGGGTTCAGTCATCATTTCACAAACATGTTTCAATCCAAACTGTGTAACATTAACTGACCATGTACTGGTATAACCAATATACAGTATATCTGATCTAACCAAGACTGTCCACCATTGAAGTCTATTTTGAACGAAAACATCATGCTGTGGAGATGTCAATCTCTCCACGCTACCCGCCGTGCCAATAGCTCCCTAAAAGCTGGCGGCGTTTGACCCACGCACCTGTTGCTGGGTACCCCGGGGTCAAAGGATCTCCATTTCCGGTATCAATTGTGCCTCTCTGTGTGCCCGAGGGGGGCAGCCACCAAGAGTTAGGGTACGGGCGGGTTGTATTGTCCGGTGCATAGTCGTGTGGGTCGGAGTAGATGATGACCCCGCTAGCGCCGTGAAGACTGGCGATGCTTACCTGTGGAAGGGAAAGACACAACACACTATATATATGATCAGCAGGCTCCAGCAACACAAATGCTTTACCCTGTACCCTGTTATGTAGAAACTAACTAGACACCGATCTTGCAGTTCCTTGTGCTGTAATTATTCGTACTTACTATATCTCCTCTAAATATTCCTCCGTATCTAGCAAGGACGACCTTGTTGGTGACGTTGATGGAGTTGTTTGAGAGGGTGACGTAGTCCTCAACACGGCCGTAGTTGACGTACACTAGATCACCCTGGACAAGAAACAGTGCTCAGTTCGTGCATGGCTTTAAGGCTATAGTGCGGTTGTTGTGAAATACAGACAGTATGATGTGCTTATGATGTGCTGTGCTGTGCTGACGTCAGTAAGGGCTTTATGCTAGCAATGAGCAGTTTATCACAGGGGAAACAATCCTTACAGGGATCTGATAACGGACACTCGGGAAATGTTGTCAGTCAATACTCAAAAGGAACGGCCAATTTGACAACTCAAACCTCAGTTTGGTAGGCATGGGTACTTGGGATCAATTCTGAAACTAAGAGGCGGGTCATATTTGTGTAATCGGTACCTGGACGACTCCAGCCTTGGCGAACGCCAAAAAAGGGGGGACAACTCCTGTTTTGTTCTCCTCTGGGGTGAGTATTTTCTCCGTCTTCGGCGACGAGTATATCGGGTTTCCAGTGTTGTCTAACAACGACACTATGTTTGGGTTCTCAGTGTCGGGTAGGACAGTAGTACGTCGTATTCCCGAGTTTGGACATCGTCCAGACCAACATCCCTCCAGTAATTGTAGATCCTGCGGCCCAGCTCCTTGTTCCTGTCACTGCCGGCGATGTGGGGCAACTCCGACAGCCATCTGTCAACAAATACCCCAGTTGTCGTCTTTAAAACATTCTTTATGGTGTGTTTATATTTCCGCGCGCTCCACACTTGGCTGGACACGTATGGTTAGAGACAAGACCAGTATTGGGATTAATGACGCCAATATGTCTAGCCACCCAATCTAATTCAGTCGCCTCTTAGACAAGATTAGGTTTCGTACATGACAAATACTACTTTCTACGTAGATGTTACTATCAAGAAGATATTGTAACCAGAGCCGATGATTCGATAGCAGATAATACCGCACCAGTAGATGGCTGTTGTATCAGCTACGTAGCTGGTGATGTACTTCAGACTATGGAACTTACACGCGCCAACAGAAATGTTACACGTACAAGTACAACTTGTGTCCCACATATCCATGTACAACACCTTCTCCAGATATTACTGTATCCATGGCCGTCTTAGATGCCGTATTAACCTTTCCTTCAAACAGAGGGACATTTTCGGGTAGGACTTTTTTATAACTTCATATCAACAGGCGACAATCTAATATTGTAATGAATACACAAAGCCATTTAGAAAGTGGTCAAATGTAACATATGTTGTATTTGGGATTACACTTTCTTTGTTTCTTTTGTTGGGCTGAATAATCCATAATGTATATAAATTTCAGTATTTTATAACTCGTAATAGTTATTCTATTGGCCACGTGACTTTGTTAGGGATTTTACACTCTGCCGTAATAGTATAAAGTTTCATCACCCGAGATAGCACAGGTGACAACTATTTTCATGATGGCTACGTTTCTTTAAGAATCATTTGATTGGACAAGGAGCCAATCAATGAAGGTATAGTTTGGTATAGCTTTTAACAGTGGACGTTTTTCTTACGTCAGGATATGACTGTATAGAGTGTTCGCTTCCACGTGCATATTACATAACATGTTATACATTTGCCGCACATCAAACCTGAATTTATGAGGGTCAGTTATTACCCCAGACACAAGACTTGCCAATCAGATTGTCACGTGCTCTGAGTAGTGTTACCACTAATTAACCCTGTTATATATTCATCACCTGGGCATGAAGGGAACGATGACAGAAACAGGTCTGGGTTTATAACCACCAAACATGGATGTCAACAAGAGAGTAGTAATCGTTCTATTGTATGTAATTTTGCGGCCTAATACACTAAAGGATTTTTGTGGAAACAGGGGTGAAGTGTTAGACTGCCAGTCGAAGCCATAGGTCAGTACCCTGGATCAGTATCCTCATAACTACATTTTTTACAAACAAAATGTTGTATTTTAAGGACACGAAATAATTGGTTTTATTCATCAATTTATACTCGTACCTAGTCCCGCGTACCACACAGCCGAATCCGCAATACCCTCTAAACTGACCCCTAGACCAGCGTACCACAGAGTCGAATCCGGTATAGCCTCTAAACTGGCCCCCAATCTCGCGAACCACACTGCCGAATCCGGAATACCCTCTAAAATGACCCCTACTCCCGCGTACCACTCAGTGGAAGCCGGAATACCCTCTAAACTGGCCCCTAGACCCGCGTACCACACCGCCGAATCCGGAATACACTCTCAACTGGCCCCTAGACCCGCGTACCACTCAGTCGAATCCGGAATACCCTCAAAACTGGCCCCCAATCTCGCGCACCACACCGCCGAATCCGGAATACCTTCTAAACTGGCCCCCAATCTCGTGCACCACACTGCCGAATCCGGAATACCCTCTAAAATGACCCCTACTCCCGCGTACCACTCAGTCGAATCCGGAATACCCTCAAAACTGGCCCCTAATCCCGCGTACGACACCGCCGAATCCGGAATACCCTCTACACTGGCCCCTAGACCCGCTACACTCAGTCGAATCCGGAATACCCTCTAAACTGGCCCCCAATCTTGCGCACCACACTCCCGAATCCGGAATACCCTCTAAACTAACCCCTACTCCCGCGTACCACTCAGTCGAAGCCGGAATACCCTCTAAACTGGCCCCTAGTCCCGTGTACCACACCACTGAATCCGGAATACCCTCTAAACTGGCTCCTAGACCCGGGTACCACAGGGTCGAATCCGGAATACCCTCTAAACTGGCCCCCAATCTCGCGCACCACTCAGTCGAATCCGGAATACCCTCTAAACTGACCCCTGGACCCGCGTACCACACCGCCAAATCCGGAATACCCTCTAAACTGACCCCTAGACCAGCGTACCACTGAGTCAAATCCGGTATAGCCTCTAAACTGGCCCCCAATCTCACGCACCACACTGCCGAATCCGGAATACCCTCTAAACTGGCCCCCAATCTCGCGCACCACACTGCCGAATCCGGAATACCCTCTAAAATGAGCCCTACTCCCGCGTACCACTCAGTCGAATCCGGAATACCCTCTAAATTGGCCCCTAATCCCGCGTATCACACCGCCGAATCCCGAATACCCTCTAAACTGTCGCCAATCCCGCGTACCACAGAGTCGAATCCGGAATACCCTCTAAACTGACCGCTGGTCCCGCGTACCACACCGCCGAATCCGGAATACCCTCTAAACTGACCCCTGGTCCCGCGTACCACACCGCCGAATCCGGAATACCCTCTAGACTGATCCCTGGTCCCGCGTACCACGCCGCCGAATCCGGAATACCCTCTTAACTGGCCCCTACTTTCGCGTACCACATCGCCCATCCGGAATACCCTCTTAACTGACCCCTGGTCCCGCGTACCACACCGCCGAATCCGGAATACCCTCTAAACTGACCCCTACTCCCGCGTACCACACCGCCGAATCCGGAATACCCTCTAGACTGATCCCTGGTCCCGCGTACCACGCCGCCGAATCCGGAATACCCTCTTAATTGGCCCCTACTTTCGCGTACCACATCGCCCATCCGGAATACCCTCTTAACTGACCCCTGGTCCCGCGTATCACACCGCCGAATCCCGAATACCCTCTAAACTGACCCCAATCCCGCGTACCACAGAGTCGAATCCGGAATACCCTCTAAACTGACCCCTGGTCCCGCGTACCACACCGCCGAATCGGGAATACCCTCTACACTGACCCCTGGTCCCGCGTACCACACCGCCGAATCCGGAATACCCTCTAAACTGACCCCTGGTCCCGCGTACCACACCGCCGAATCCGGAATACCCTCTAGACTGATCCCTGGTCCCGCGTACCACGCCGCCGAATCCGGAATACCCTCTTAACTGGCCCCTACTTTCGCGTACCACATCGCCCATCTGGAATACCCTCTTAACTGACCCCTGGTCCCGCGTACCACACCGCCGAATCGGGAATACCCTCTAAACTGACCCCAATCCCGCGTACCACAGAGTCGAATCCGGAATACCCTCTAAACTGACCCCTGGTCCCGCGTACCATACCGCCGAATCCGGAATACCCTCTTAACTGACCCCTGGTCCCGCGTACCACACCGCCGAATCGGGAATACCCTCTAAACTGACCCCTGGTCCCGCGTACCACAGAGTCGAATCCGGAATACCCTCTAAACTGACCCCTGGTCCCGCGTACCACACCGCCGAATCGGGAATACCCTCTAAACTGACCCCTGGTCCCGCGTACCACACCGCCGAATCCGGAATACCCTCTAAACTGACCTGAATCCCCACACTCCGGCACGGGGATGACTTAACATAATATCACTGTCACAGGCTAATTTGCATATCACGTGACCGGACTTTTCTCTTGTTTGTAATCAAACGCGCATATTCATGATAAGAAGAGACTGGACTCACGAAAGCTTTTCGGCGCTCTCTTCATAATGTTTTACATTGTTACATGTATATTCTTCCACAACTGCGACAGTAAGGTCTATGACAGTACATATTTAGATATCAAAGTGGCTGCATCGTTTGCTCTCAAACAGCTTCGATGACAGCACGTGGAGCCGTACAACCTATGTAAACAAAGGATCGCTAAGCAAATCGAAATAGTGTTACATGTTTTGGGATATTTTCTCAGTGAAACTAAACCATTCTATTAAAGATGTTATAGTTAGATGTGTAGACTCGTCAAAAATAAAACAGTTAAAATAATCTGTACATTATATTGAATGGACATTGCAAGATGTGACGAATCGTCACATTTTCTGGCCTGTGGCAGAGATACTATGCTGGCTTGCCGCATGGAACTCTGGGTAGGAGAGTGCCCAATCCCGCGTACTACACCGCCGATTCCGCAATACCCTCTAAACTGCCCCTGGTCTCGCGTACTACAGAGTCGAATCCGGAATACCCTCTAAACTGACCCCGAAACACGTGTACCCGAGGTTTGGCAGCCTTTATTGTCTCAGTATTGAGCAATAGCACGGAGACTGAAGGTCACACTGAGCACATACACATCAATACGTATAGACTATTCTATGTAGTCAGCACTTTTGACCTGCATTATGTTTGCTGTCTCTTGTCTTACCTCAAATTATCTTCAATTTTCGTCTTGCTCACACCACTTAGAATAGCTTGTAGAGTATCATCTGGTATCGTGTCTCTATACATCTCAACAGTTGGTGGCCGTGTAGTATCGTCGCCGTGATCGTCACACAGGACATACATGCCGATGACGACGCCTACAGCGACACCGACACAGAGGGTGAAAAAACATATCACAGAGAAACAGCATCTGCTAGTAGGGTCTTCCTTCGGACCGGCCATCTTGCCGAGGTGTGGTAAATAGTCTCCACCAAGGACAGGTCTTCTCTTCAGCCACAATCCTTTGTTGCCTAGGCACACGTACCTACCATGCAAGAAGGGGCCCTGTGGGGGTGACTTGCCAAGTGGGTCAGTGGTCAGCCATTGACAACTTTAAAGTTTTTCTTCAGTTTCTAATTTCTGTTTTGTAAGTCTAAAATTATAAATATTATTATAAAATGATGCTCCTGTAAACCTTGAGGGGTTGTCATTTGTCAGCGAAGTGGACGTCCGACGGACTATAAAGTCATTATACATTATATTAATTATAAATATAGAAGATATTATAGAAGGATTAACTGATCATTACAATTGGATATTTTAACCCGTTTTGCTCTCTTTGCCTTGAGTAGCTTAAACTCAAGATTCTCTTATCTCAGCATGTCTTATTCCAATACTACACTCATGAACAAGCCAATTTGAGCAAGGAGTTAGACCGCTGGAGTGCTATGTTGAGCCATGTCAGCGCTTCACCTCACGACAAAGTGTTTGAAGACGTTACCGTTATACTACGGGTCATTGCTTGTCTCTGGTATGTCCTAGATGTCTCTTGTCCCTGGTATGTCCAAGATATTTCCTGTCCCTGGTATGTCCACGATGTCTCTTGTCCCTGGTATGCCCTAGATGTATCCTGTTCCTGGTATGTCCAAGATATTACCTGTCCCTGGTATGTCCAAGATGTTTCCTGTCCTTGGTATATTTTAGATGTCTCTTGTCTTGGTATCTGGTCTCTTGTCCTTGAGTATGTCTTAGATGTCTCCTGTCCCTGGTATGTCTTAGATGTCTCTTGTCCCTGCTATGTCTTAGATGTCTCCTGTCCCTGGTATATCCTAGATGTCTCCTGTCCCTGGTATGTTCTAGATGTCTCCTGTCCCTGGTATGTCCTAGATGTTTCCTGTCGCTGCTATGTCCTAGATGTTTCCTGTCGCTGCTATGTCCTAGATGTTTCCTGTCCCTGGTATGTCCTAGTTGTTGCTCCTCATGGTATGTCCTAGATGTCTCTTGTGCCTGGTGTGTGCTAGATGTCTCTTGTCTCTTGTATGTCTCAGATGTTTCGTGTTCCTGGTATGTCCTAGATATTTCCTGTTCCTGCAATGTCCTAGATATTTCCTGTTCCTGCTATGTCCTAGATATTTCCTGTTCCTGCTATGTCCTAGAAGTCTCCTGTTCCTGGTATGTCCTAGATGTTTCCTGTCCCTGGTATTTCCTAGATGTTTCCTGTCCCTGCTATGTCCTAGATGATTTCCTGTCCCTGGTATGTCCTAGATGTTTCGTGTCCCTGGTATGTCCTAGATGTTTCCTGTCCCTGGTATGTCCTAGATGTTTCCTGTCGCTGCTATGTCCTAGATGTTTCCTGTCGCTGCTATGTCCTAGATGTTTCCTGTCCCTGGTATGTCCTAGTTGTTGCTCCTCATGGTATGTCCTAGATGTCTCTTGTGCCTGGTGTGTGCTAGATGTCTCTTGTCTCTTGTATGTCTCAGATGTTTCGTGTTCCTGGTATGTCCTAGATATTTCCTGTTCCTGCAATGTCCTAGATATTTCCTGTTCCTGCTATGTCCTAGATATTTCCTGTTCCTGCTATGTCCTAGAAGTCTCCTGTTCCTGGTATGTCCTAGATGTTTCCTGTCCCTGGTATTTCCTAGATGTTTCCTGTCCCTGCTATGTCCTAGATGATTTCCTGTCCCTGGTATGTCCTAGATGTTTCGTGTCCCTGGTATGTCCTAGATGTTTCCTGTCCCTGGTATGTCCTAGATGTTTCCTGTCCCTGGTATGTCCTAGATGTTTCCTGTCCCTGGTATGTCCTAGATGTTTTCTGTCCCTGGTATGTCTTAGATGTCTCCTGTCCCTGGAATGTCCTAGATGTCTCCTGTCCCTGGTATGTCCTCCATGTTTCCTATGCTAGGTATGTCCTAGATGTTTCCTGTCCTAGGTATGTCCTCCATGTCTCTTATGCTAGGTCCTCCATGTCTCCTATGCTAGGTATGTCCTCAATGTCTCCTATGCTAGGTATGTCCTCCATGTCTCCTATGCTAGGTATGTCCTCCATGTTTCCTATGCTAGGTATGTCCTCCATGTTTCCTATGCTAGGTATGTCCTAGATGTTTCCTATGCTAGGCATGTCCTAGATGTTTCCTATGCTAGGTATGTCCTAGATGTTTCCTATGCTAGGCATGTCCTCCATGTTTCCTATGCTAGGTATGTCCTCCATGTCTCCTATGCTAGGTATGTCCTCCATGTCTCCTATGCTAGGTATGTCCTCCATGATTCCTATGGTAGGTATGTCCTAGATGTTTCCTGTCCCTGGTATGTTCTGGATATCTCCTGTCCCTGGCATGTCCTAGGTGTCTCTTGTCGCTGGTATGTCCTAGATGTTTCCTGTCCCTGGTATGTCCTCCATGTTTCCTATGCTAGGTATGTCCTAGATGTTTCCTGTCCCTGGTATGTTCTGGATGTCTCCTGTCCCTGGCATGTCCTAGGTGTCTCTTGTCGCTGGTATGTCCTAGATGTTTCCTGTCCCTGGTATGTCCTCCATGTTCCCTATGCTATGTATATCCTGGATGTCTCCTGTCGCTGGTATGTCCTCCGTGTCTCCTATGCTAGGTATGTCCTCCATGTTTCCTATGCCAGGTATGTCCTCCATGTTTCCTATGCTAGGTATGTCCTAGATGTTTCCTATGCTAGGCATGTCCTAGATGTTTGCTATGCTAGGTATGTCCTAGATGTTTCCTATGCTAGGCATGTCCTCCATGTTTCCTATGCTAGGTATGTCCTCCATGTCTCCTATGCTAGGCATGTCCTCCATGTCTCCTATGCTAGGTATGTCCTCCATGTCTCCTATGCTAGGTACGTCCTCCATGTCTCCTATGCTAGGCATGTCCCCATGTCTCCTATGCTAGGCATGTCCTCCATGTTTCCTATGCTAGGCATGTCCTCCATGTCTCCTATGCTAGGTATGTCCTCCATGTTTCCTATGCTAGGTATGTCCTCCATGTTTCCTATGCTAGGTATGTCCTAGATGTTTCCTGTCCCTGGTATGTTCTGGATATCTCCTGTCCCTGGCATGTCCTAGGTGTCTCTTGTCGCTGGTATGTCCTAGATGTTTCCTGTCCCTGGTATGTCCTCCATGTTTCCTATGCTAGGTATGTCCTAGATGTTTCCTGTCCCTGGTATGTTCTGGATGTCTCCTGTCCCTGGCATGTCCTAGGTGTCTCTTGTCGCTGGTATGTCCTAGATGTTTCCTGTCCCTGGTATGTCCTCCATGTTTCCTATGCTATGTGTATATCCTGGATGTCTCCTGTCGCTGGTATGTCCTCCGTGTCTCCTATGCTAGGTATGTCCTCCATGTTTCCTATGCCAGGTATGTCCTCCATGTTTCCTATGCTAGGTATGTCCTAGATGTTTCCTATGCTAGGCATGTCCTAGATGTTTGCTATGCTAGGTATGTCCTAGATGTTTCCTATGCTAGGCATGTCCTCCATGTTTCCCTATGCTAGGTATGTCCTCCATGTCTCCTATGCTAGGCATGTCCTCCATGTCTCCTATGCTAGGTATGTCCTCCATGTCTCCTATGCTAGGTACGTCCTCCATGTCTCCTATGCTAGGCATGTCCCCCATGTCTCCTATGCTAGGCATGTCCTCCATGTTTCCTATGCTAGGCATGTCCTCCATGTCTCCTATGCTAGGTATGTCCTCCATGTTTCCTATGCTAGGTATGTCCTCCATGTTTCCTATGCTAGGGTATGTCCTAGATGTTTCCTGTCCCTGGTATGTTCTGGATATCTCTGTCCCTGGTATGTCCCTAGGTGTCTCCTGTCGCTGGTATGTCCTAGATGTTTCCCTGTCCCTGGTATGTCCTCCATGTTTCCTATGCTAGGTATGTCCTAGATGTTTCCTGTCCCTGGTATGTTCTGGATGTCTCCTGTCCCTGGCATGTCCTAGGTGTCTCTTGTCGCTGGTATGTCCTAGATGTTTCCTGTCCCTGGTATGTCCTCCATGTTTCCTATGCTAGGTATGTCCTAGATGTTTCCTGTCCCTGGTATGTTCTGGATGTCTCCTGTCCCTGGCATGTCCTAGGTGTCTCTTGTCGCTGGTATGTCCTAGATGTTTCCTGTCCCTGGTATGTCCTCCATGTTTCCTATGCTAGGTATGTCCTAGATGTCTCCTGTCCTACATGCGCTTCAGGTGTGTCATATACTTTTGCTTGGTGATTCGTATCCTTTATAGTAGTCAATTGTCCTCTGTCACAATGTGACATAACTGCCCCCTGATTCTTTGAAGTAAGGATTACATGTCCAGCGTCCCCTATAGTTTGTGGCATCGTAACAATCAGGTTTCTCTTTTACAGGTGCATATGACTACAATGTGTTGGGACCACGGGCAAACAAATAGCGTTATCGTGGAGAAAGGAGTGGGGTCAACACATGTGCTAATTATCATGCTGATATAAAAAGGCTTCAAGTGCCACCTAGTTTCATTACCATCTGTTCTCCAAGACAGTGAGTCCCACGTCGACCCGAGGTACGTTATAGGTCTAGTTTTAAACCGTTATGTGACGGTCAACATCTACAAATATGTGCATGGGTGAGAAGTTAGTTTAGGACTGATGTGATTTGTTTGTTTTAACAACGTTCTCAGCAATATTCCAGCAATGTGACGGAGGCCTAATAATCGAGTCTGTACCAGGATATCCAGTGATTAACATCATGAGCATCGATCCAAGCATTTTGGATGCAATGATAGCATGAACAAAGGCATCGAGCCTGACGATCCGAGCTCTTTAGACTCGTCTGAGGCCAGCATGGGTCGATGGAGACTCATCGGGGTGACTGCCGATGAAGACCAATTCTAACCAAAACCTTCACAGGGTGCTTGCCCAATGCGATCGCCGCTTACGATCGCCAACAGTGTGATGGGAACACATTCTACCCTGGGTCCCCACAGGGAACAATAAACAGTTATCATTGATGGTTGGAAAGTAATGTAAACTGACATACAAAACCATGTACAGACATGACGTTTTGGGATTGTGTTCTTAGAAGCGACTTAAATGTTGTGTGTTTTGATTGTGGCTAACTCGTCACAAGCATAAGTCACAACCAAAACACTTTACAAAATATTAACGTTCCCTTGGAAAAATATCCCAAAGAACCATGTGTGTACTTTCTTTTGGTACGTCAGTTTAGGCTTTAGTGTTATGGTGAACTGTACCAATTACATCCTTGTAAATCTTGAGTCGTCATGTCGCCCAAATAACCAATCAGTTTTCAGAATTGCTAAAATGTAAACAGGTCCTTATTCCGTATCGCTCAGCCAGTCTGGGCACTTTTCATGCTGCCTCGCCGTAAAGTAGAGGAACATGAAACCTCCACGCAACTCCTAAGTAGTCGCATAAAGTTATCTAGAAATGTTGCCACATGAGACTTAGTATTAAAGAAGTTGTAATCCATGCAATCGCTACTTTGTATTAGGACAAAGACAGTGATTGCCGATAAACATCTTATGCAAGAAACTATGCAAGTATTTTTGAGTGTTCCCTCTCTTTGAAAGAGTTCCTTATCGGCACTTTCAAGTGTCTAAGTAGTGACAATATGAATAGTAATAACCTGCCACATTAAATGCTTCACATCAGTCTTATATCTCTGCCGTTGCCTTTCAGGCTAAAATGCTGGTATATTTGACCTTCACCTTGGTGCTGTTGTCGTCTGCTGTGGCCATCAATGGCCCATGTGCTCCCAATGAGGATCTACTGAGTTTCCTGAAGGTCGTCCACAACACCCCCTCCTACAACACCCTGTCTGCCGAGAACAAGGTGATGATGACGGAGATGGTGTCGGAGGTCCAGACCTGTCAGCTCACAGCCTACATCAACACCGTCGGCTTCAGCAAAGTCCTCGGTTTGCTGGACAGTAAGTAAACCACTGGACTACTGGCATGTGTGCTGGCGCTACACCCAGCATGTCATTCGTGTGCTGTGCTTCCTCCAGCATGGCATTCATGTGTTTTCCGGGCACAAACCCAAAAAGAATACCATTTAGTTTCTGGTGCATCCTGGCAAACCAAGGCATGGATAAATACGTTCTTGTGCTTACAACAAAATCTTCGACGTTAGCAAACGTTTTTACTTATAAATCCTTTGACATTGTAGTATCAGAAAGTGTCATTGTCCCCATGCCATAAATGGGTAAACCTCTGTGTCATTTCAGGCCTGACTCCTCAGGAAGCCCACGTGTTGAACTCCTACATCGTTAAGGTGAGTATGTGGCGGCAGGACTCGGAGGCGAATGTGAATGTGAACAGATTCAGTACTATTACCTGTCAGAAAGGGTACATTGGGGGAAGACGGGATTTCTGTTGACTATCTATATTTTATAACATGTTATGGACAAGGTATATTTACAAGTTGGTCCGTAAGTTTTAGAAACCCTTGGTTGTGTTCGACCCAACAGCAACGGAAGAGAATATTCATCCTCAGCCTGTGTTATTTATATCCGTTCTTGACTCACTGGCATGTCTGACTACAGACCTTACAAGATATCATTAGAGTACGCAGTAGGTATAGAAGATGAGTCAGAATTGCCCTCCATCGTGTCTTCAGCGCATGTGTTCAACTCTCTGTTGGATTTCAGCATCTTAACATTGAGAAGGCTGTGTTCGACAAGCTTAGCCACACAACAACTCGTCCACACACTTCTCACTGATACACGAGGGCAGGACTTACTTATTGCCGAATCTGAAAAAACATGAAAGTGAATAAATATGAGACAAAATATCTTCGTTCTTACGTTTTCTGTGCTGGTAATGTGGCTTCTGTTTAAAATGAAGTAAATAGATGGTCCCCATCGACTGATATACATACAAACAAACAGGTTATGGCCGCCAAGTATCTTGGAGGACGACAACGCTCATATGTGAGAAGGCACAGTTGACGTTTTTGGATCGATAGTGGTAAAAGCCGCCACGACTTCTCAGGCATTCGATCACTCGACGCGGCATACCGTGTGTAAGTTTCCCCCAAAAGGCATTTTGTCCTACTCCTTTTGGAGTGCTTGGCCAGGTATCATGGCCAGTAACCTTTAACGCTCCAGACGATTTCATTCGGGAAATGGTAGGGCTCATTGCTGGCCATGGTATCTCTGATGGATGCTGCAATATTCCAGCAACGCTCACGGCGGGGAACACCAGAAATGATTGTACCCTGGGGATTCGAACCCGGGTCTTCGGCGTGACGAGCCAACGCTTTAACCACTAGGGTACCCCACCGCCCCCATGGTATTCTATGGATGCTGGAAGTGAGCTGCGCACGGTAGGCAAACGTCCTGCAAACGGGACTACACACAGTGTCAGAGTTTTACGTTTACTGCCCAGCAACCGTTACATGTACAATGTGAGGTGTGGTTCGTTAAGGCATGGCGATGCCACCCACACCAGACCCGATCCACCGCCAAATCTGACAGACACGCCCATCAAGTGAGTCGGGATTCGTCTGACCAGCGACGACTATCCACGTTTCGTATTTGTGTACATCGTTGACGACTGTTGGCAATATTCCTCCAGAGACTATAGGAATGATAGGCCCATGCCAGCTGGCCAACATGTGTTCCAAGCACAATAGGAATGGCGGGTTGATGGCAATTAATCTACATATATAATTAAGATCCCTTGTGCCATTGGCCACGATCATGTTTTGAACTCGAAGTGTGAACTCTCTTTGCAATAACCAATTGGCATTACAGTCTCACATTTTTTATATACTGTTTCTCTGTTAGACACAAAATACCCCTTAACTGCACAGACGCTGTTCATCGCTATAAACATCTGCTGACATATAGGGAAGGCTCGTGCCACTGAACGACACATCTGCCACTCAAAACAGCCAGTAAACGGACACACGACGAACTATCGGAAAAGTGTAACCGTTAATCCTGGACAAGAACTGAAACATGAGTTCGACCACAGATGATGCCGATGATGACTGATTGATTGATTGGTTGATTGTTTAACTCAGCAATATTCCAGCTATATATGGCAGCGGTCTGTAAATGATCGAGTCTGGACCAGACAATCCAGTGATCAACAGCATGAGCATCGTATTACGCAACTTGGATACGATGACATGTGCCAACCAAGTCAGCGAGCCTGATCACCCGATCCCGTTAGTCGCCTCTTACGACAAGCATGGGTTACTGAAGACCAATTCCAACCCGGACCTTCACGGGTGATGATAATGATGATGATGATGATGATGATGATGATGGTGGTGATGATGATGATGATGATGATGATGATGATGATGATGATGATGATGATGATGACGACGACGACCACGACGATGATGAACCAAATCAGGAAGATCCGGCGTTACAGAGCTAGGAGTGTGACACGTCTTTCTATTCAGTGTTAATTCAGGCCCAAAGCCATCACGTTTACACTAGATTTGACAGGTGTTATTCCCAAAACAAGCCCGATAAGGTGCGACATTCCAGTCTGGCGTGTTCACACACTATCTCCACTGATCTAGTTCTTTGGAATATTCCACCTCCCAAGCGGATCAGATATTCTGCGCTGAATCCAATACAGGTAAATACAGTCCACAGCGTCTCCTCAGGTAAGACAATGTGTGACAATTTGTGACAATGTGACCGTGTGACATATATACCGTCTTTGTCCCACAGCGTTATATACCTCAGCATCTCTCCACTCCCTACAATGCTCATCTACGTGGTCCTGGCGTTATTGCTGTCAACCTCTGCTGCTTCGGGGCCCTGTGCCCCGAACGAGGACCTTCTCAAACTGCTGACTGCCATCCACACATCCCCATCATACAGCACGATGTCCGCTGACAATAGGGCGCTCGTCCCGGAACTGATTGGGGCAGCCGAATCTTGTCAGCTGACGGCGTATATTGCAACTGTCGGCTTCTACAAAATCCTGGATTTGTTGGACAGTAAGTAATGGTATATATATATAGTTTCAGTGGGACTCCTGTCAGTTTCGGACTTCCTGAGTATTTGTTGATAAGGCCTGTGTGGTATTTCATCTTCGTTGACAAATGGGTTTATATGGTTTGGAGTGAGTCCAGTCTTAGCGCTGTTGTGTGTGTGAATGGCGAGGTGGCACATGGAAAGCATGGTTGCCGATTAGATCTGTATAGGCTGAACGCAAGAACATTATGCGTCCACAAGTGTCAATACTGGTACATAGCAAAGCACTTGGTCACAGCAACTTATCATACATGATCTAATCGGTTTCAGAGCACATATAAATAACGTATGTTTGTTTGTTATTTAACTCCACACTTATCAATAGTCCTACTGTATGACTGTAAGCAATCGAATCTGGACTAGATAATTCTGTGATTCAAGCATGGGCTGCTGAAGCATCGATTCTAACCAATTGAAGTAGACCCCTCTGACAGTCAAGCATGGAGCATAAGCTGAAGATCAGTTCTAACCACACCTATATGACCCTCTGACGACAAGCATGGGCTGCTGAAGATCAGTTCTAACCCGACATAGACCCCTCTGACGACAAGCATGGGCTGCTGAAGATCAGTTCTAACCCGACATAGACCCCTCTGACGACAAGCATGGGCTGCTGAAGATCAGTTCTAACCCGACATAGACCCCTCTGACGACAAGCATGGGCTGCTGAAGATCAGTTCTAACCCGACATAGACCCCTCTGACGACAAGCATGGGCTGCTGAAGATCAGTTCTAACCCGACATAGACCCCTCTGACGACAAGCATGGGCTGCTGAAGATCAGTTCTAACCCGACATAGACCCCTCTGACGACAAGCATGGGCTGCTGAAGATCAGTTCTAACCCGACATAGACCCCTCTGACGACAAGCATGGGCTGCTGAAGATCAGTTCTAACCCGACATAGACCCCTCTGACGACAAGCATGGGCTGCTGAAGATCAGTTCTAACCCGACATAGACCCCTCTGACGACAAGCATGGGCTGCTGAAGATCAGTTCTAACCCGACATAGACCCCTCTTACGAGAAGATGACCCCGAAATATAACTAAGTAAAACACTGGCACATTAACCACCTTGTCACAGAAATGAACAGAACCGACCAGTGAGGTGAAATGAGAGTCACTCAGTAGATATGTTGCAGGCGTGAAAACGAAGGACGTATATCGGTTAGACGTCTTTGTTTGAAACCTGACTATTATAATTATAATCGCATCCTATATCCCATCGTGATCCATGTTTACTTGTGTCTGTTCCAGGTGTGACGCCAGCTGAAGCTCACTTCTTCAACTCCTACCTGTCAGCGGTAAGTACAGGTGAAACTCACTTCTTTAACTCCTACCTGTCAGCGGTAAGTACAGGTGAAACTCCTTCTCTGAATCCTACAAGGTGAAACTCACTTCTTTAACTCCTACTTTTGTCAGCGGTAAGTACAGGTGAAACTCACTTCTTTAACTCCTACCTGTCAGCGGTAAGTACAGGTGAAACTCACTTCTTTAACTCCTACCTGTCAGCGGTAAGTACAGGTGAAACTCACTTCTTTAACTCCTACCTGTCAGCGGTAAGTACAGGTGAAACTCACTTCTTTAACTCCTACCTGTCAGCGGTAAGTACAGGTGAAACTCACTTCTTTAACTCCTACCTGTCAGCGGTAAGTACAGGTAAAACTCACTTCTTTAACACCTACTTGTCAGGGTAACTACAGGTAAAACTCACTTCTTTAACACCTACTTGTCAGCGGTAAGTACAGGTGAAACCCACTTCTTTAACTCCTATTTGTCAGCGGTAAGTACAGGTGAAACTCACTTCTTTAACTGTCCTACTGAAGCTGAAAACTCACTTCTTTAACTCCTGCCTGTCAGCGGTAAGTACAGGTGAAACTCACTTCTTTAACTCCTACCTGTCAGCGGTAAGTACAGGTGAAACTCACTTCTTTAACTCCTACCTGTCAGCGGTAAGTACAGGTGAAACTCACTTCTTTAACTCCTACCTGTCAGCGGTAAGTACAGGTGAAACTCACTTCTTTAACTCCTACCTGTCAGCGGTAAGTACAGGTGAAACTCACTTCTTTAACTCCTACCTGTCAGCGGTAAGTACAGCTCAAACTCACTTCTTTAACTCCTATTTGTCAGCGGTAAGTACAGCTCAAACTCACTTCTTTAACTCCTACCTGTCAGCGGTAAGTACAGCTCAAACTCACTTCTTTAACTCCTACCTGTCAGCGGTAAGTACAGGTGAAACTCACTTCTTTAACTCCTACCTGTCAGCGGTAAGTACAGGTGAAACTCACTTCTTTAACTCCTACCTGTCAGCGGTAAGTACAGCTCAAACTCACTTCTTTAACTCCTATTTGGCAGCGGTAAGTACAGGTGAAACTCACTTCTTTAACGTATACTTGTCAGCGGTAAGTACAGGTGAAATTGAGGGTACTTAGCTGATTCAAGATGGCTCACGTCCCGTGCACACGAAGTGTCATTGGTGAAATTGACATTGTCTTTGACAACTATTCACGTTTGAGGTTTATGTTCCAGCATCTCAAGTTCGAGCAGTCCCTTGCCGGGCTGTACACGACAACCAAACCAGCTCCCACTCACTCATAGAACGCATGGAGGATCAACAGAGCAATTTGCTCATATTTGGTTTGTTTTCATACAAATAATAAATATTTGCCCCGAGTTTTGTCCGCTGTTAATGCGACACCAGCGTCCTGAGCCGTGATATAAGAATGTAACGGAGGTATCACCATGTCGTCACATTCAGATCGCTGATACTCACCAGCAATGTGAGGGAGGTTAAATCACGGTGTGTCAGCTTGGTGTGGATAGAGTGAGTGAGTGAATTTGGTTTTACGCCGTTTTTAGAAATATCCCAGCAATATCACGACTGGGGACATCAGAAATGGGCTCCACACATTGTGCCCATGTGGGGAATGGAGCCCGGATCCTCGGCGTGACGAGCGAACGCTTTAACCACTAGGCTACCCCACCGCCCCTGCTGTGGGTGGAGTACCCGACGATATATATCTAACGCATTGGTGAAGCCCAAGGGCTCGCTGTATAACGATAAGATTAGAAACATAATCAAAGCGACCCCATAAGCATTAAAGAAATTCAGTTACTGCATGTAACGTTCTCTCGAGGATTTCAAAGACTAGACCTTTTATTGATGCGGTGCGATCTCTCACTGTCCTTTGGGGGTATTTGGGGTGTTTGACAACGTAAGTCACGTCTTCAATGGGTATGTTTGAAACCAGACTCAAAGCACAATAACGTACCTGTGACTAAAATTGCCGACTAGGCGGTACGTCTTCCCAGTCCCACAGTTGCTGTAGTTTCTGTGACAGAGATCTATCTGCATAAAATGTATTTTATAATGCTCCAAAAGAAATGATTGAAACTGTAACTGAGATGGTGAAACATTTGATGATATTGAAGTATAATTGAATTTATGTTTAAGATCAACAGTATGCGTAACACTTACGATAATGCACCTTTAAACACAAGTTCTTGCTCTACCTTCGCATGGGTATGTGACGTGCATAGCGACCAGAATTTGGATAAACAGTCCTCAATACGTACCCACACCTAACACAAACTGGCCTTATCAAGCAAAACTTTGCAGTGCATTTTGGGTTGCTTTTACTAACGCTTCTAGCAATATGCTTGCCCGGCAGTTTTTCCGATTGGGAAGGATCTACTTGCCTTTATCTGGAAAATCTCATATTATAACATTTCCACCGCTATGTTTCCTTGTTCCCCTTCTAATCTAGAATGGTTATTCTCTGCCGTAGACGTCAGATATTTTCAAAAGGAATGTTTACAAAACGTGTTCATATACTCTCCCAAAAAAAAGAAACGCATCATGAAAATAGCAATTTCATGTAGCAATGAATTAAAACGTGATTCATTTTACAAAAGGTTTTGCTCTGTTTATGAGTCCTATGGTGTTTATGTTTGGAAACATCACAACAAAACGCACCATCCGTAAAATACCCGTATTTAACAGCATGATTTTCAAATTCGGCGTGTAGTGTCACAGAATACACAATTCACATGTAATGCACGTGAAAGTTGGGGATCAGATAGTCTCAATGATGGGTATAAAAGGTTGATCGCTGTCTGTCGATTATTCACTGTATTTGGAATATTGTTGACGAACGCAAAATGCCACGTCTAAGTGAAGCCAACCGTCATATCGCCATTGGTTTGCTTGAAGCTGGCCAGTCTCAACGTGCAGTTGCCCGACGCACGAATGTTCACCAAAGCACCATTTCACGACTCTGGGAGAGATATCGCTGACAGAATGCGGTAGCAGATGCCCCTCGTAGTGGGCGACCGCTACATCCGGATACATCACCTGCGTCATCGAACAGCTACGGCGACCAGTACCGCTCGACAAATACCCGGATTGAGGAGGCTTTCTGCACAGACCGTCAGGAACAGGTTGAGAGGGGCTGGTTTACGTGCCAGAAGACCTTATTTTGGCCCTGTGCTTCGACAACAACATCGTCGACATCGAGTTCAATGGTGCACCAACGTTCAGGCCTAGAACCCACCGAATTGGCGTAGAATCTGGTTCAGTGATGAATCACGATTCCAACTGGAACGACGCGATGGAAGAATGCGGGTGTACAGACGTCGACGTGAACGTTTCGCCGACGCTTGCGTTCCCCAGGTGGACAGATTCGGCCGGGGAAGTGTTATGATGTGGGGGAGCGATCACCTGCCGTAGGAGAAGTGACTTGGTGATGATCCAGGGCAACCTGACAGCTCAACGGTACTGTGACGAAATCCTACGCCCACACCTCCTTCCAATCATTGATCGCCAGAGGGAGTTGTTTCAACAGGACAATGCCAGGCCCCACACAGCACGTCACACTAGAGACTTCCTCCAGAACCACAACATCAATGTGCTCCCCTGGCCCTCAAGACCACCGGACTTACACCCGATCGAACATCTGTGGGATGCCCTGGACAGACGGGTGCGACGCCGTAACCCTCAGCTCCAGACACTTCAGCAACTCGCACAGGCACTACAGGCAGAGTGGGTTGCGATTGGGCAACACGATATTCTGAGACTTATTCGTTCGATGCCGAGGCGATGCCGTGCAGTTCTGGATGCCCACGGTGGTCACACGAGGTATTGACTTCAGCGCCACCACACGTCTCCATGTGACACTCAAACTGACTTTCCTCGAGTTGGTGCCAAAGACGGATCAGTCTGCATTCCCAGTGTGCAATTTCGCTATATTTCATTGACTCATAAAGCCTTCAAGATGTTTCAAAATAAACATGAAAATACAGTGGAAATTCCTATATGCGTTTCTTTTTTGGGAGAGTATATTTGTAACATTGCTTTTATTCTGTTTGCATTACACATTTAGCAATTGTAAGGAAAAGAAATATAATATGATTTATTAAAGATGATGATGACTTTGGTGAACAAGGCAATGCCACGTGGCATTCTTGCGAACAGATAACCCGGCATTCCTGGACATAATACAATTGTTAAGGAGATATTTTGAAAGGGCAAAGCTATGAAAATAAGTATCTTATCAGTTGTCGGGTCAAATAACAATCATATGAGATTAATATGTTTGAGTGAGTGTTTGGTTTTACGCCGCTTTGAACAGTAGTTCAGTTATAACAGACTGATGTCGGAGGGCACCCTAAGTAAACATTATGTAATAATAGCCCAATCTAAAAAGACATTCACTATCCCCAACGCTTCACGGAAGTTAAAGAATCAAAACTACTTACTAGTCGTAGTAAAATATGTATATGATTGATGACATAAAGATTTTCCATGACACAACTTGTAACATAACGATTTCTTCCTCAGAAGCGAGGTTGTGGTCGAAGTAACAATAATACTGTAAGTAGTGTTATATTGACACCCACCTCGCTTCCACGAGAGAAATTGTTATGTTATACGCTATGTCATGCAAAATCCTATTGGCCATCAATCAAATACATATTTTACTACCAGTAGAAAGTAGTTTTGATTTTGTAACTCGGTGAAAACAAACCTAAATGGCATTTATGCTCAGACTGGCGGATGTTCGCGATAGGGCGCCGCCATTTTTGAAAATCGTGAAGTCACGGGCTAAAGTCTGTTAGAATTAATGAGATTATGGTTTGTTTTCATCAAGTTAGAAAATCAAAACTACTTTCTTCTCGTAGTTAAATATGTATTTGAATCATAACCAAAAGCATTTTGCATGACACAACTTATAACATAACGATTTCTTCCACGGAATCGAGGTGGGGGGTCGAAGTGACAATACTGCGCGATAAATTTCTTACAACATTCACGTGGTCAACGTGCACTCACCAGTATGTAGATACTAGTCAATGTACGTCTTTATATTTGGTCTTATAATCCTAATTAGTTTATTATCATACTTGTATGCATTTTGAAACTAAATAAAAAGCAGGCGATCTGTTGATACTCTAGTGAATTTATAACCGGACTGTAATATCTAGACCTTTTATAGTTTGCCAATGTGAATGTTAATTCGCACACACGCCCTAGTGTATGTCTCATTACACTTCACGGCGAAAACAACGATTCTGTTGAATGCTACGACAAATGAATAAAAACAAAATGCAAATATCAAAACAGATTAAATTTATAGGAACAATGTCAGGCTATTACCTTGTTCGAGGAATGTATCCATCAATATCCACAAAAACGAGTGATATGCCATTCATC